CCCCTCCCAGGACGGGATCCCCCAAGTCGCGCGCGCGGCGGCGCAAACAGGGGGCAGCCCGCACCCTCTCCCTCAACCTCCCAAGAAGGGATCCCCCAAGTCGCGCGCGCGGCAGGGCAATCATGGGGCCAGCCGTCGCACTCCTTCCCCCCCAGTCAGGACGGGCTGCCCCGGGTCGTGCGCCTCGAGACGCACCTGAGACCCGATTGCGTGCACTCCTGTGACCGGGACGGGCTGGCTGGGATTGCGCGAGCTACGCTGCAACCTGGAGTGCAGCCCGGGCACTTACCTCACCACGACGGGCTCCCAAGGATCCCAATGCAAGTTGCGGCCCGGCTGGTTCGCCGCGAGAAGCTGGGTAAGATTATCTCCTCCTTTGCTCTAGAGCAACCTTCGAATCCAAGCCTTCTTCCACAGTTCGACAAGTCGCTTACAGCAAGTCTTTGTCAAAGAGTCGATTTGCAGATGCGTGTATTCGAGGCCTCCCGAGTTGGATAGATGAAATGCGACTTTCTTTTGATGACGTTCTTCTTATTTCGCAGCGACGAAACGAAAGCGAGTTGACCACGAAGACGTCACTCCTTCCAGCTCCACAAGAGACGGTGAGTTCCGGTGTGATGACTCTTTTTATACGGCGGTAACCGGCAGTCACTGAGTGTCCAATTATCCTTGGGCCACTTTGCTTTGAGTAGTCACACCGTTTCCAAGAGTGCCCAGATTCGAGGCCGACTAAGATTGTGTCCGATGAATATAAGCTCTAGGATATTGTTTGCGTGAAAGGCAGAATGACGTGGTGCGGCCTCCTTTAAAGAGCATTGCGCATGTCATGACTTAGGCGTCCGTTCATCGCGATCGATTCACTGAGACGCGTCTGTCTTGCAGATCCGGTTGTTCCAGGTGTACGTTTCCAGCCCAATAGTGGAGGATTGTACGGTGTTTCCGCAACAGGTCAGTGAGAGCAATTTTGATTCTTCTTTTGTCGCCACATGTTCAGATCAGATCCATTGCCTCGACCTGGTCGTCATAGATGAGTCTGAGTAGTTCAAAGTTCGAGCAGTGCTGTCCGAAAGGATACCTCTTCAGTGCCAAAAAGGACTGAGCTATTGTGTCATCTGCTTTTAGCAAGCAGAGTTCTGAGACTTGTCATCTTCGAACTTTTGGGACTCCACCTTCGGCAATACTGTGTTCTGCTCACATGTCGAGATGCTGCACATACTTCATTGTGTACTTTGTAGAAAGCTTGTCTAAAAGCTTTGCTTGAAGAGATAGTGTATGGGAAAGCCCAGGCTCCTGGAAGCTTCGTTCAATATTGACCAGATGCTTGTCGTACAGGGGAACTGGGCGGATCCACCCAACGGTCTGGTGGGGACGTGCGTCTACCGTCAGAGTCCGGCCAAGAGGTGAAAAGACATGGGCGACTTCTGTTCATCAAAAAACGTGGCGTGCGACGGCCAGCGCTCCGCGAGCTGATCCGGCCGATTTCGACCCCCGCTGAGACTCGGCTGTTCTCGGAGCTTTATTCCAGGCACTCCACCAAGTCGTCCACCAATTGGATCAATATGTGTCACGAGTGGAATCAACGGGCTGCTCTTACGGTTTCTCAGATCTCAGGGCCTGACAACGCAATCCATCAGAAGAACATTCCTCTTCTGAAAAAGTACGAGAAGGGCCTGGTCAAAGACTTCATTCGGAAAGACTCCCTGAACGCACTCATCGCTCACAACCCCGGTTCCTTGCAGCAACCCAACTATGCACCGTCGACCTCCATCAACCCGTTCGTTGGTGGAATCCATCCTTATCCGCCCACCTTTGCTCACAACATTCCGTTCGCACCCTCCGCATACCCACCGTTTGCAACGTTGCCCATGGAGGGCGGCGTTGCACACCCCATTTTCTTCCAACCACCGCTCACAGACACACGTTTCCAGCTTCAAAGTGGCCAGTCGTTTCCTGCCCGACCATCTAAGAATAATATAGAGGTGGAAAAGGTATCAAAAAGCACTGTAGAAAGCGGCCTGGTTGCGGCTTACCAATAGGACAATGCAGGTGCCCGAAAGCATGAAACAACTTAATAGTTACAGTAAGAGTCGCGGTTGAAAGGGCAACCTTAGTTGTTTATTGACCATGTTTATTGTCGTATCGCCACAAAGTTTATTCATCCGTTTGTGATATGTTAAAGAACTCTAGTCAAAGTTTTACCGATCGATTTAGTGATATCGGAATCTTGTCAACTTAATAAGATCAATGCATTCATGCAATGCATCTTTGAAGAATTGGGGTGTTAGCTTGAGCCGGCCTGCTGTTTAAGATAGTTCTGACGGAATTCGGCTGTGCACATACTACTGCATATAATATGCGTACTTGTGCCAGATCAGTTAGCTACCTGATGTGCCGATGATTAGATGATTGTAATCCATCTTGAACGGCTTGTCTTCCTGTCTTCCTGAGATTCGCATTCTAGACGCGCGTGGCCGCGCCGTATGGTACGCGGTGGGCATGAGCCCTTGAAGTTCAAACTTCAGGGGCCCCCGAGCCCCGGGGCTTCGCCCCGTAGGACCCCCTGGGGCCGCCTTCGGCGACCCCGAACCCCCTTTTTCGCTCAAAAAAACGCCCCGACCTGTACAATATTTTTTCCCGCCGGCAGTGCCTCGGCGTGTCGGCCGGGGCCGCCGACTGGGCCCCCCGGGGCAGCCGCGCCCTGACCGTCGTTACACCGACTCGAACCTTGGCCCAAGGCTTGGGCCCCGGCGGCAAGAGGCACATACCTGCCGAATCTTTTGTCAACTTTCGAAATCGGACGCCGGACGGGCACAAGCAGTCGTTGTCCGCAGTGCCATATTTGAGGACGCGGTTGGTACCGGGCCTGCTTTCGCCGGACTTAAATAATGCTGGAGTTAGCCTGCAAACCACATTAAAATCCTAAAAACAGTGACTTAGCCGTTAGTAGGAACCCTAATCTGAGAGCAGTCACAGAAAAGGGAGTAACCCTAACAAACCGTCACAGGAAGTGGCGTAACCCTAACACACCATCACTGCTTTGTAGCGCGAGACCCTAATGTCACTAGGAGTGCCCGGTTGCTTGTTGACAGTGCATACCTTCTGTACGCAGTCAACGGTGCCGCCCGAACCGTACGGTACTGAGTACGGTACCGGACTCGGCCCTTGACATGTGGCAGCTACTCAGAGCGTAGATCCTGCGGACGGTACACGATCGGACGGTGACACGCATCTGACTTTCCGCAGTCCGCGTGAGTCCGGTTTCGAAAGTTGACAAAAGATTCGGCAGCTTTGGCCGTTTTGCGCCCCGGCGACTATCAGGAACGTAATACAGTTGGCGGACGTTCGAACTTTGATGCGGGGTACGCACCTGAGGCTTCGGACGTAAGAATTAGGGTTCGGTTCCGATCGGTTGTGTACATCTTGAAAATTTTACCTAGGGTGTTGCACTCAGAGTAATAGAGTCATGGATCATGGCAATGCGCTGCGACTGACTCTGTGTCATGGCATCAGCTTCAGCTTACTCACAAGACGTGCTCATGAGACGTGCTCAAGACGTGCATTGGGCTGCTTGTGCTGGCATGCTCAGGCTTGACTCTTGAGCATCTTGTGGACATCGGAGGCTGTGCAAAGTTCTCTCCTGCCAGTGCAAGAGGGCTGGAGGGCTGCAGCCAGGGTCCTGGAGCACTTTTCAACTCTGAGTGATCATGGGTTTAGATTCGAGCACCTCGGCGCGCTATGTAGCAGTCGATAATCAGCTCAATCTATGCACCATTACATTGTAATGGGCATAAATTTCCAACCTGACCGTCACGAAAAGCAGAAGAGTTCAGCTGCAGTGCACCGCTGCAAAGGTTTACAACCAGCTGCTTGCACAATCTGCTTGGTTATTCCATAGGGAAAGAGAAGGAAGCAGAGATAGTCCTTGAAGAGGTGACCGGATCCTTGGAGATAATTGCTTTTGCCTTGCTTCCTCGGCTTTGCCCTTTGAGACACTGCGTGCATCCAAAATGGGGGAGTTGCAGCAGATCGTTGACAAGCTCAACCAAGCCCCATTCGACTTGGCGCTGTCGTTGGTTTCTTTTAGGTGAGCTGCAGCAGCCATTGCCCTGTGGCATTTGGAGCTCAATCTGCGGGGCCTGTCCCTAAAGGTACATTCCTAGCTCACCACAAGTCACTGAGCGTTAAGTTGCTAGGGCTAATATGGGACTTCATGGACACTTTCAATTGACTTTGAGAATGTGGTCCCCTGTTCTGCTCCACCATGATTCAATAAGTAGCATCCTCAACCACCATTTTAGTACTTTCTTGTACGTCTGCTTACTAAATTCCTTATCTATCGGTATTTGCAGCCAAAAGTCACCTCAGGAGCTGAGAGAGCTGCTGAACGATGTCCTTGCCACCATTGATAACAGACAGGTAAGTTTTGGAGAACGCATACTAGTTCAAAAAGCCTCACATCAAGAGCCAATCACAACAATGTCAGTCAAACTTGATCAGCTTGACGCATCCTCTGCTCTTCACATCTGCAAGCACTGCGCAATGTGTTGATGAAAGCTATGAATCACAAGAAGGTAACAAAGGCGTTTGCGAATGATTGGCAGCGGCGTGAGTTGCGGGATGAGACGCCAGATGTCACCACCGCGCGGCACCTCGACCTGCTGAGGGTGCTCAAGTATAAAGTCAGTACCGATGGGTGAGTAGAAAAGAAGCACCTGCCACTTCAACATGGAATACAGAAGCGTAGAAGTTGCATTTGTGGAACCATCACTGTGAAACTGACAGTCCGATAAGTCTTTCACTCTGTAAAACTCTGCTTATGCACCTTCAGTGTATAGAGGAACAATCAAAGGGAGTTGCCTGTGGTGGTGTCTTATGAAATGTGAGTCTGACAATTGTGTAACGATATTGTTTCTTGCAGGGCCACCTTCCGACAGGGTATGCTCGACGCAGACCCGCTTACTGTCTATCCTCTGCTACTGTGGCTCCTCAACCAGGTGACCCTCTAGACCCCACGTTACACGGACTCTGATATGCAAGTTGACGCAATTTCAAACTCGCCACTTGTTCAGTCATGCCTTCTTTCACCTTCCCTACTGGCTGTCCCCCTCCTTTCCCTCACTCCATAACACATTCCGCCGAATCCAGAATCATCGAGCTATCCCAGATCTAACACCCGGCGTCTTCAACGATTCGCTTCAGACTCAATATAGCTTCTCAGCACCTGCGCCCGCACATCCATCTATCCTTCCCCCGGCCTTCCCTCACACAACATTCCATCTCCACATCACCTAAACCCTTCCACTTTCCCTGTACTCAAGCTTTTCTGTTTCAAACTTCGTTGATATCCAGCTCTTAAGGCGAGCTCCTCCTTGTTTAGATTCTGTTGATATCCAGCTTTCAGCCCTTGATATACTCTCTTTTCCTCCGGCAGCTTCCCCTACTCCAAAAACGCGCCTACCTGGCTCAATTCCTGGTGGACGAGCCCATCCCCGAGGAGCTGTTTCTCGATCCTGAGATCCAGGACACGCACGCGCTGGTCAAAGAGCTCCAAGAGCAGTTCAAGGAGGTGCATAAGGCGGTGGACCAGAGCCGCAAAACGCAGCGGGACCCCCGCAGCCTGAAAGCCCAGCTGGCGGGGCTCGAGGGAGAAAAGGAGCAGCTGGGGGGGCGGGTGGAAAGGGTTAAGGAGAAGACCAAGGTGAGTTGGTCTGGGGTGACCCTGCGGCTTGTAAAGGTCAGAGAGAAGACCATGGTGGGTGAACCTGAGGTAATCGCTGCAGCTAAGAGCGATGATTGACCACGAACTAAGACTGAGAGCGCGATGTTTGTTTGTTCTTAGGTGCGCATGTGCTAAGCGATCGGCTGCAAGCTGAAAACGCACACAAGTTGGCCATTGTGCAGCAACAAAGAGTTTCCTTTTCAACAGATCGCTGACTGAAGCCAGATCTATACGGACGACTTCTGAGCCAGAGGAGGACGTTTGCGGCTGCCCTCTGACGAGGGTGACTAATTCCAAGCTGCCCTCGAACCATCTCGTTGTGGGAACGTAATTTAGTTTACTTTCGAAAAGACTTGTTTTTGAAGTTCGCTCGAATCCGCTACGGCGATAGGCTCTTGGCTGAAAACAAGGAGGTTTTGGTGCCGCAGAATGTTGCTGGGGTGGATGCCTTCCTGGAGGTCGCCTCGTTGCTGCGGAGGCAGCAGGAAGAAGCGGGAGCGCTGGCGCAGAGCTTGGCCCAGCAACAGGTGAGTTGATCTGGCAGACGAAGCTGCTGATAAACAAAATAGTGGAGCCACAGGATGGAATCTAGAAACATCGTATTCTGCTACGAAGGATGATGGATGTTCGCAACGCTTGGCAGTGGTTTGAGTCTATGCTCCGTTGCTGTTCGTGTCTCCAATCAACCAGGCCTACCCTCCTATCTACTTCATAACGAGACGTCAGAGACATCAGAGACGTCCTAGAAATGTATCTGACTGTGCCTCTGACACAATATGCGAGCCCTGGCTTGACCTGGCTTTTCTGGCCCCTCCTTCGCTTTGCCCTTCGCATGAGAACCCGACGTTTTTTACGCTCGAGGAGGCAAAGCGATGCTAGGTAAGCCATTTCTCAGTATGCATTCCGGACCAATCTCCCTTCCAAAGAAGCCTGGCAGAAGGAGGCGTGCGCGCGTGTCCCACAGCATTGGATCTCCCAAAACCACATCCACTTTTCTCCGATCCCTCCCGTCCGCTTTGCAGAACCTCTTGGACGCTCCGACAGAAGGAGTCTTGCACGCGGGCGTCCCGCAGCCTTCATTTTTCTCCAAAAGCTACATTCAGTCACCATTCATAGGTCGTGCCAGGCGCCTGTGAATCGCACCCACTTTCGGTTGGGCGCCCGCGATTCACGCTCGAAACGCTTGCCCATCTTTCCGTCCGCTCTGCAGGACGTCTTGGACGCTGCCGGACAGAAGGAGGCGCGCGCGCTCGCCAAGCTCCGCGACGCGCACGCGCGCGCCGCGAGCGGCGCCGGCCCGGCGGCCCTGCTGGCGGCCCTGGCGGAAGAAACGAGCCTGGCGCGGTACGGCGCGCAGGAGCGGCTACCAAAGGAAATTGCGGCGCGGCGGGAACGGTTGCAGGCGGTACAGACCGTGCTGAACGAACCGGTCAGCTCGGAGCAGGACCTGGCGGCCATGCAGGTGGGCCACGTGGCTTGGGTGACTGTCAGCGGAAGCGTGTTGTGTATGTGTGGCTCTGTTGAAAAGAGTTGAGTTCTTGCTTTGCCGTTTCGTCTCTTCTTCGAATTCCAATCCCGTTCGCCTCGCCTTGCTCGAACTTTGGAAGATATCGCGGGTGAGAAGCATGCTCGGAAACAGAGTTCAAATCCCGAAGACTGAACGGAGGGCGGACTAAGGGCGTTATTATATAGAATGCTAAAGATGGAAAATCCTTGGGTACCGATGCGGATCTTCACGATATCTTACGTTCTGGCGTTCGAATTCAGTGCGAAAAATGCGCTCTGCGGTTTGGAGCTTTGCAACTCAAATCTGTGATCTGGCAAGGACTCCAAATGCGGGAATTGCGACATTTTTTACGGTAATCCTCGTCAGGTGCTTGGACGAAGCTCGACCTTGACTGCTGCAATCTTCCAAGAATCTGGGATGTGAATCGATCGCATACCGCTTCGCTTGGAATTGAGTGCTTGCAATCAGCGGGAGTTCGCAATATATTGCGCACAACCGCTATCAAGCTTACACTCTACCTTTTCACACAGGCTGAGCTCCGGGCCCTTCAAACCGATGTAAACGCGCTCACGGAGCGGCGAGACGCACGCGAGGCGACCGGGCAAGACGCGGTGCTGCGTCAGCAGCAGCAGATGGCAGCCATCGTGGCGCGCAAGAAGGACGCCACGTGGCAGAAGCTGGAGGAGTTGAACGCGAGGCGGAGTGAGGTGGCGCAAGAGCTGGGGCAGAAGCAGGCGGCGGCGGCGTCGGTGAGGTGCCACATGGCGCAAAGCTATTGGATGACGAGCTGTGCTTGGCTTCAAGCGGCTTCCAAACGGGACTTTCAAAACTCTTGTCATTCAGGGTTGTGAACGTTTCGTTTTCGTGCTGACTTCGAAATTTTCCGCATGCCTGTCAAGAGGCAGCAGCTCAAGGTGTTGAAAAGGTTCGGCGCCGTTTCGCGGCGATGCAGTCAGACGACGGTTAGATCAGGAGTTGGGCATGTGCGGTTCTAGATTGTTATTTCTTTTGAGCCTTTTCCCTCTGAGGACTTCTCTCTCTCCAGTTTGAATCGCCGGCCTTCAGGTCCTCATGTGGCAAACCTCGTACCTTCTGTATTGTCGCGAACAGTATCCAGGTCGCCTGAAAATACAGAAACAATCCCTCACGTTTTGCAGCAGAATTGTACTATCTCAAAGAAGTCCGTATTGGATCCTGTGCCCAAGCACGGAAAGTCTCCTTGTCATAGCGCGAAATCGTTGCGGACATCTTGCGTTTATACTCAAAAGGCAAAACGGTACCCCTTCACCTGAACTTCTGTTGGACAAAGTTGATTGGCAAGAGTCCAAGCGGTCTGCGGCATTGCGAGAGCGAAGACTCTGCTCATTTACAGGAGTCAATCGCTTCTGAATTGTCTGCGTATGACGTCATGCCGGGTAGTTGAAGTCATGCACAGAGTCCGCAGGGGCTTGCCGCGTGCTCAAGGGCGAGCCGTTCGAGCGGGACGCCTTATTGCTGCGCAGCCAGGACAAACCTCGCTCACTCTAGAAGAACGAACAGTAATTCGAAATGAAGCAGAACGACAGTGAAGAGTGGTGCTCGCTAAGCCTACTTTCCTGCACCGTGCACGGGTCGGCATTCTCGAAGGCGAGGTGTTCAAGCGGAACGCGCCACTGCTGCCCAGCAAGAAGGGACTCGTTCTCTGTAAAAGAAGAAGAAGAAGAAGAAGAAGAGTAAGATTAAGATAGCCAGAAAAAAGGAACATTCGTTTCGCCCCTGCAGGAGTCGGGCCTCGTCCTCAAGGCCGATGAGTCGAAGCGGTATGGAGCAAGACAAGAGTCGCTCACTTAAATAGAAGAGAGCAAAGCCCGAAGCAACAGTCGGAAGCAACAGTTGACAGAGCTCCTGCCCCGCACTGTGCAGGGTCGGGGCGCTTGCTGAAGGGTGACGAATTCAAGCGGCACGCGGCGTCGCCGCGCAGCAAGGAGGGTAATATTCAATTTAAAAGAAGACTGAAACGGCCGAATTAACGAGGAGACTCGAACACTTCAAACGAAACCTATTAAGACCCTGAGCATATATTTCGGCAATATGCAGGGGTCGGGGCGCGTTCTCAAGGGCGAAGAGTTCAAGCGCTACGCAGCGTCCCTGCGCAGCAAGAACGCGACGTATAAGCGGCTCAAGAAGGAGCTGGACGACCGGACGGCCGAGTTTGGCGTCCTCATGCGGACGCAGCAGATCCTGCAGGAGCAGGCCGCGGGCCTGCGGGAGGCGATCGAAGACGCGGAGAAACAGGGCGGCATGGCGCGTAAGTTCCTACGTTTGGAGTTTGGAGTCTGGCGCAAGTTCTGGTAAAACCACAACTTTCGGGAATCAACACGGTCCAACGATTGTCAAATCGGGACAATCATCTCTCAGGAGGGCGGATGCGCGCGTCGAAAGCTCGGACGAAACAGTACAGCAAGCGTAGGTCATGTACTAGCCCCTCATGTCGCCCTCAAAGCTCAAGCAGACTGAAGGCCTTTGTGTAGAAGCCGCTCCGTCATCCGTTGGCCGGAACGTCAGAAGTGGGCATCGAAGTAAGCGGAGGATGCAGAAATCAACCGGGTGAATTTGGCCCGAGAGTAACGGCGAGCGAACGCTGGTGTTGCGAGCTTTCATTCGCGATTCCCACAGCCATCGCCCCAGAAAGCAAATGCCGCGACGGCTCAGCAGCCGAACGCCTCCAAATCTGGCGTCGCTAAACTCGCGGCCGCTCTGCAGGCAAAACCTCTCAAACCTCGGCGACGCTCGCGGCCAGCGACGACCACAGCCCGGAGGGGCTCTCCCGCGCGCTGGCGCGCGTGAATGACGCCATCAAGGAGCGGAAGGCCGCGCTGGCGCCACGTGTCAAGGACCTGCGCGCGCTGCGTACGAGCCTGCAGGAGGCGGAGGAGGAGCATGGGGCGCGGAAAAAGAAGTTCGAGGAGGGGGCGATGGTTTTGGACGGGTGAGCTGAACACGTCTGTAAGAGGGCGAATACAGAGGGCGAACACAGAGAGTTTTAGGGACATTTGGGAAAGGCTTTTGGAGGGCTGGAAGAAGAAGTTCGAGGAAGGGGCGCTGGTTTAGGCTGGGTGAGATGCTTCAGGAGTTTGGATGCTTCTTCTTTTGGAGGGCGACTAACTATTCTGAGTACGGACGCTTGAGAAGCAAAACAGGGAAGGATTGGGGACGATTAAGATATTTGGGAACGTTTTGAAGAGGGCGAACTGAGAAACGTTTGCTTACTGATTCTAGATAGAGCAATTAGGAAAGCTTTGAGAGGGCTGAAAGAGGAAGAAGTTCCAAGAAGGGCACGGAAGGGCTGGACGCGTGAATTGACAGCTCTCGACGTCATATACTCAACGAGTCATGGGTTCAGTGGATTGAATGAGGAAGACTTCAGGGAGGAACCGCTGGTTTAAGATGGTTGGGCTGATGTATAGTCGTCTGAACAGAACACAAACGGACCATTTTTTGCGAAGTTCCCATCCTGAGCGGTTCGTTGACAACGGAAGACTGAGGGCGCCGCGCCGTGTTTTTGGAAGGGTGAAAGGGTTTCGACGGTCAAACGCAAATTTGCGGACAATCAATGGCTTGCTTCAAGACCTCCATCACTCACATCCGTTTATGCTCCGGTCCCGCAGCCAGCGGAACAAGTTCGAAGCGGAAGTTGAGCGCGAGCGGGCGGACCTGCAGAGGCAGGAGAAGCGGGCCAAGGAACTGGCGGAGGAAGCGGCGACTGTGGAGACCAACATCAAGAGGGGTGAGTCGCTTTCACCGGGGATTATAGGACGGAATATCTGACCCTTTTCGGATCATAGCAGGTTTGGCTCTGATCCTGGCGATCTGAATGTATAAGTGACAGCGCTTTGGGGACTCTTGGATACGCGTCCATTACGATTGGGGCAGCTAGGAGTGAAGACATGCTTGTGTTTGAGCGAGTTTTCGAAGACCAGTCACTGGTCACCGCAGCTAGCCCTGTCGATTGAAGCTCGTACTCATCATGGAGTCTCAATGCGATCAAGCGGGGAGAATACTTCACTGACGACCCTGGTGAAACTGCGTGCTCTTTGAAAGATCACAACAGCCACAAAGACCCGATGCGATCAAAAGTTGAGAGAGCTGGACTGACATATTTCGTGAGATATGACCCTTGGCGCTCTTTGCAGGCGTGAAGGACGTGGCAGGCTTCTTTCTCTGCGCTTCCTTCCCTGGATCATTTTTTGATCACCACTGTTTTCGTAGCTAGCCCCGTCCACCGGTATTGACTACCGCCACATACATCCGGATGTAATCAGAAGATGAGAGTCTTAAATGAAGCTTTTGGTGAAAGTGCATGCTTTGCGCCAATCACAACCGCCAGAAAACCCCAGTGCGATTGAAGAATGATGACATTGGACTGACGTAGTTTGTGACACACCGCGGGCTGCCTGCAGTTGTCGAGGACGGAGCCGGCTTCGTGGAGCGGTACAAGAAAGACCTGGCCGCGCAGGAGGAGCTGGCCAAGACGCTGCAGGAACGGCAGCGGAGGCTCAAGGTGAGGACACGTGTCCCGAGCCCTATCGTCCTTTCACGCCAAAGAGAGACGAGGTTTCGATTTCAATGCTTTGCTAAGGGGCGGCGCGCCGATAGAAAGAGTGGCGTCGATTGCTTTGCAGTTGGAGAAAAGGCCTTGTCTTCGACCGTTGATACGGGTCGGCTGCCTTCGTCAGAGTTGACACAACCCACTGCGTCGTTTACACCGCCTCCTTCGATTTCATTTTCCGAACGCCTTTCCGCCTTTATCGGCTGTCAATACATCCTTTCTCAAGTCCTCTTGAGCCTGTCTCAACTTTGCTTCGTCACACCTTCCTCACATGATGAGACAACCAAGCGTCAGACCATTACCACAACAGACGCAGAACGGCCTGCCCGACACTACCTCAATCTGCAGTGTCTTCCACATTATCCAGAAAATTCTAGTCGTGCGCCTTTTCATCCAGCCTGTCATGGTGACATTGCTAACAAGTGCTTGCGAACGACGATTGTCCCAACTTGCTACTCTGCGAATTGGTCAGAGCGCTTCGTGCACTTCTGGTTCTGATTTTCCCGGATATCTATCTGCAGGACCAAGAGCGATCCGCCCAGAGCCAGAAGGTCATGGTGTCCGACCTGCGGACGCTTTTGCAAGTGAAGCTCAGGCTGGCGTCCGGCAGTGCCACGTGGGCGGCGTCCGGCGGAGCGCCGGCGCACGCCTTCAAAAGCGTCGAAGTTGTCGACAAGGTGAGGCCGCCACAGTGAAGGAGGGGTTTAAAGAGACCCCGGCGCAGCTTGAAAATGGATATCGCTTGTGGCGCTCTAATTTATGTTTTGAGCGTCTTCTGAGAGGAGAGTAGGTCAGCATGATTTGAAAGCATCCAAATTCTGTTCGACCGAGTACTGTCTGTTTTTGCGCATCGCAATGCTAGTCAGAATCACCAATGTCGTCGAGGCCGTTGACCTAAAGATGGTCTTAGACGTGGCAGATGTTGAGAAAAATGGGGCACAAAAGTGGATTCGGTTGGCTCAACAAAGTTTTAATCTTTGCAGGGAGGAGCCAACCGTCTTGTTATTGGCGCATCGGACTGAATGAGAGAACTTCGAGAACGCATCAGTGAGGACTTCTGTCAAGGAGACGACGGTTGTTGCCGTTTTGTGACCGCATGATGACAGTTTTGTTGTCCCTCGACGAAGGCACCATACGTCCCATCAATGGCTGTCTGATGTGGATCCTTGGGCATTGTATGAGTTCGTATGAGCTGTATGCACAGCATGACGGCAATATCGTGTTCTTTGCAATGCGTCATTGTCCACGTTACACTTATCTGCCCAAGCGACCCCTTGGGGTCAGGATCTGCCACGTAATTCTGAATATCGGCTAATTAATGAGTCAGATCGAACCTAGATCATGCAATAATTACTGCAGGGAGCTTGATGTAACTAGTAGCTAGCTAGCTAGCTTGACCCGGACCTGTATCATTTGCATGGCCGATTGGATGCACCATGAGTGGATTATCTGCGTATATTGTACTGGCGTCAGTGCTGGCAGGCTTGAGCAACAAGGGTAACTAGCTGGCCGATCAGGCCTAGGCCACATGACCGTCCCTGACCAAATGACACTGTACAGTCGTTTTTCCACTACGTGATGACACCATGAGATTGGCCATTCTGGAATGATACTTGCAACGTGCAGCCGCGCCACTGATTCATGGGAACATTTAATCAGTGAGGGCCCATGACCGATTGCGCTAGCTTAAGAAGAGTTGCACAAAGCTTTCGCACATCAATAACCATTGTCGCACAGGAAGCCTCGAGACACGGTGTCAATGCTTGAAAGAACCACAGGAACTCGGAACGCCCATCGGCTTTTCCCACTCAATTGAAAGGTGAAGGACTAGTCTCGACTCAGAATGATCATCCACTGAATGACACTAAACCGTCCAATTATTCGCTTCGAAGAATGCATTCGACTGCAGTCTACGATCTGTCCGACGGATGCGGACCAAAAGTGTATGCCCCTGCTGCTACGATAACCATTGAGATGCCAATGAATAACGAAGCTGTAGTGCTTGGCCAATCTTTACTTACAAGAAGACATCAGTCTCGAGGGACTTCAGGACGTCCTTCTGATTGTTGAGCTTAGCAACATCGCCGGGTGTCTTTCCGTCCATATTGCGGAGAGTACTGCAAGACAAGATAAGATCCGACATCAATAATCTGAGCAGGCAGACCGTGCAATAAAGAGCCATCGCCATTGACCAGCCACCAGCAAACCGAGAGAATCTTCTCAATTAACACATACGGGCACCCCAGGAGATTGTAAATCAGATCCTTCTGGACGTTCAAATCTCAAATCAACCTAGAGATAGCCTTCGAGATTTCCAAAACAAAGTCCCAGCCCCCTCGGGCCTCAATCCTCTCTTGCCCTTCTCAATGGTGAAAATCTCAACGTGATTTAGAACCAGCAGACACTGCAAACGAACACGTCAAATGCGACAAACGCCCCCTGTTGTAAGCATTCCTTGCAAGGCCGCTCTGCCCAAGCACTTACCATGAGGCACCAGCCTTCACGAGCATCTCAACGCACTCCGCCCGCCCATAGCCCGCCGCATAGTGCAGCGCGGTATTCTTATTCTTGTCGGTGGCGTTCACGTCAGCGCCCGCATCCAACAGGGCCTCCGCACATTTCATCTGGAGGGGACAAGCGATATGCTCTGAGTACAAAGCAAGGGCACTTAAGCAAGGGGCACTTTCCCCAAGCAAGTCCCCCCCTCCCCATTTGGCGGCGGCGCAGGATCTTGTTGTGGAGGGGCTCACTCATTGCTATAAAATGGTGCTGCCAAGCCCACTATAACAGACAACTCTTTCCTAAAGGCCGCTCACAAAGAATCTCAAAATCCAAAAGCACCGCTTACGACCTGCGGCATGTGCAACTCAAGCCAAGTCTGTCATGGACAGATATTTGGGACACACAGTGAGCCCTTGACCATATTGTTGCTTACCTCTCCATAACCAGCTGCGAAGTGCAGCGCTGTCCGCCCCTCAGCATCCTGTTCGTCCTTGTCCGCGCCCTCGTCAATCAACTTCTTGACCTCCTGCACAGCACAAGCAGAGGTCCAGTCACTGCCAGCATTCAATCTTTGCAGCTTCTAGCAAGAGCGCCACCCTTGGGAGGGGGAAAAGGAAAGGCGAAACCACAAACGCACTGAGCAATTATCCAGACTACTCAGAACCTTGTATAGCCATCTCAGAAACCTTTCCAGCAGTTTATCACACAGAGAGTACTGCCGCTGTGGTTCGAAACCGATGCATGTGCTATCCGCCCACTCCTAGTTCACGCAGTGGTGACCCTAGCTATGTACAACCACAGCTTTGTTGACGTCCAGTGCCTGGACTGAACTGCATCGAATCCCATTTGCTGAGGGGGGCGGCAGACACCACAAACTTGCGTAACCCTGTGGCCCAAGCATGAGTGCTGATTTCCGCTACCTCGTGACGACGCTCTCATGGCCCGAAAGCTGAGGTATGCCATGCCCAGCTCTAAAAGCAGCAAGCACCCTCACTAGACATTTTGTCCATACCCCTTTCCCAGGGTCAGCGCATGTCTCGTCAATCTACCCCCGTAATAAAAGCCTTCAAAACCATTGTGCTTCTCTCCATATCTCTGTCCCTGGAATTTTCCATCCAGTGCCGCACTTTGGTGAACAACTCACGAAACCGAGACTCATCCACAGCCAATCCTCTGCTGCTGACCTCATGATTCCCGCTGCTAGCCGCTGCGTGCAGTGGCGGCTCCTCTCCCTCCTCGCCGTCCTCAACTTCGCCCTCGCCCTCGTCTTCTTCCCCCTCCTCAGCATAGCCCTCGGGGAACCCCCCCGGGTACGCGCCAGCCCCTCCAGGGAACCCTCCAGCTCCACCAGGGAACATCGGGAACCCGCCGGCGCCCGGGGCAAACCCTCCGGGGAAGCCTCCGCCCATGCCACCCATCGCCTTGCCGAGCTTTTGCAGGATGTCGGGGTTGTTCCAGTACCTGAGGATGTTTCACCTTGGTCAGGACTTGTGTAGATTCCATGGAGAGCTCTAAACACGTTCGTGAAAATGCGCCAAAGACAAAGGCGCACTTAGGTTGAAGCAGGAGCGCATGGAGAATGATATGAACAACCTGCCAAGCGGATGCCGAAGGGGCCACTGCATTTTACCCAACCCCTGGGCGAAGTTGTTCAGAACACGAGGCCTGCTCTCCTTTGCAGTGAATAAGCTTCAGCATTTGTCACACAAGACGTGACAACAGGGGAATGATATGAAAGGACCATCCAGACACCCAGAGATCTGACCACCTCTCCACTAGAGCTTCACCATTGAACACGTACATCATTCTAGACAAGCCAAGCAGACAAGCACACACCAAGTCTTCCTGAAGAATGTCAGAACTGAGAATAATTGGTGCACTTACTTCATCATGGCGGTCGGGCCGCCGGTCTCGAGCTCCGCCAGAATGGGGCCCAGCTCCGGATCTTCCTTCAGCTTGGCAACCTTCTTGTCCATCTCTTCCCGGGACTGCGGGTTGTGCATCGTCTGGAACACTTGGGCCATGTTGGGGTCCTGCAAAACAACGGTAAGTGTTTGAAAACTGTCTGATTCTATGTATAATAAGCTAATGAATCATGCGTCATTCTTACCGGCAAAACCAAGTCAAAACCCTAATCCCAAACATTCCCACGCTCCACACCCTGACCCACCCTAACCGCCAAGCCAACCCCACCCGTTCCAAGGGCTTGACCTAGTTAATCATAGAGCTTAGATACCTGATTCACATTCATCGAGGCTTGTCAGTGTCTTAAGGACAACGCTGAAACTCTGAAAAACAATCCTGACATCTCCTTGGGTACTTCCTGACGTCTCCATCGCCTGACAACCTCAAACAACACCAGCAATTGTTCCCGGCTGCTTTGCCACCTCTCGAGTCACTTCAAGCTTTTGAAATGAGAGCGCTGGAGGGTTCATAACAAGCTCAGAGAGCTGATACCTGAAGATAGTTCCTGAGCATTTCTCTGATCGTGAGTTGTGTACAACGAGGATGCTGACATACAACCGAAGGAACCTGTTGCCTTTCTCCTCTGCAATGCTGCACAGACCAAAATGCCGTTCTTCCATTTCCTCTGGGAACAGAACAAACTCATATCAAGCCTGCTCAGAGGCACTGATCCTTTCATCCTATCACTGCCATGTGCTGGAAGCAATCTTCAAGCCCAGGCGATAATGGTTAGAAGTAATGGGTGGCGCCAAAAGCTTTCAAAATGCACTAACCGACATCAGCGCCGAACCGAGCTTCTCGGCCATCTGCACAAACTGGGGGTTCTCCATGACCGAGCGCATGGCCGTCATGTACTGCTGGGGATCAATCTGAGGGTTGCCGTCAGGGCTGGCCGTCATGCTCTTCTGCAGCTGCTGCGTGACTTGACTGAAGGCAGGGTCCTTGGCAATCTGCTCCGCCATCTCCTTGATAGCGGGGTCCTGGTAAGCAGGAGAGTATGCTCGAACATGAACGCTGTAGAGTCACAGCGTCGTCTGCTTATCTGCATCTAAATGAAGTCTTATTCAATGCCATAATCTGAACCGTGACTTTCAAAAGCCTTGGCCATCTACGTGATAGCGGGTCCGCAGATGCACCAAGAGTATGTCTCAGCAACAATGCCGTAGAGTCACAGCATCCTCTGCTTATTGGCCTGTACTCTGGGAGAAGTTCAGTACCTTCAACTGAACTGCAACGTTTGCAATCGGACAAGCGGCAGGCCACAACAAAAGAAACACTCAACACAGACACAGGCAAATAAACTAGCAAAACCTTACATGCACTGTAACCCTTTTGATTGACCTTTCCATTCAAAGGCAAGGATGATGAAAACCTTCGCCACACATGCACTTTTTGAAAGTGCCGTTGCTTGTATCTCCCCGGTGCACTCTTCACGCAGCCTCACCTCCAGGAGGCTAGACATTCCTGAGAAATCAAAGGCTCCCCCAGGCCCGCCCGCCGGAGCCAGAGGGTTTGTTCCGGGGGCGCCATTTTCCGCTGCGGCTCCATTCGGGGCAGTCTCTTCCTTCTCGGCCACTGCAAAGAGGAGGGTTGTACTTCTTCTACCTCCGTCTGATGAGTTTGTGGACCTTGATGGAGAACCTGCATCCAGATTAAACAGCAACACCTTGCCATGACCTGTGGGGCTGGTCCAGAAGTAGACAACACAACTCGTTGCTGGCAGCATTCAACCATATTGTCAACTTACCTGCGGTGTTCTTCTTCTCCTCCCCCATCTTTTCAAAACGATTGATACAGAACGTGCGCCTTTCCTTGGCTCCCAAAGCAAAGAAGGCGCGCTGCGCTACTAGCTAGTACTTGCAAGATGTTGCTCGCTTTGATTCCTGAACTTGAAGTGGAACTTGTGGAAGACCGTGCAGCTCAAATGTGTGATTCTTCAACTTCAAGACATGACAGCGATCTTGAGCCAGAGCCAGAGGTTGGAATGGGTTGAAACTTGAAATCAAAGATGATACCAAAACCTTACAGCTTTTATTTGGCGTTTTGCCTATCATTACAGATTCTGTGCAAGGGTACGCCACCGAAAATCCGCAGCGCCGCGCTTTCATTCGTTGCTGGAGAAGCAAGAATCGTGATGGTGGAGCCTGGTTGGCGCAGCACCGTCTTGAGAACACACGGACGAATGTAACGCTCTGCATTTGTCTATATTTGAGTACAATTTTATGAGCCCTTATGAAGCTTCAGTTATAAGCTAATATACCGTGATTTTAATGTCCTAGCAACAACGGGAAGGGAGAGCTAGGGCATACAATGGAGGACGACTTTCTGCCAATCAGGAAGACAGTGGGGCAGGAAGCGCTGCTACTGTAGCTGGCAGGAAGGGCCGATGAGTTGCAATCAAGTCTCCTAGGCTAGGATCAGGGCTGCAGTGGAGAAGTGCTGCTCGACATTGCGCTTGGCAAAAGGTCCGCGTGCCTTTTGCAATTCAGCAATTCATTGACTGAAGGTGGAATGATGACGAGCAGAGGCAAAAGGCGAGCAGTTGTCATACTCTCAGACTCGGATTGTGACTCTGGTGTGGATGAGGATGTGAGTGGGATAATCGCTAAGGAGGATGCCAGAGGGTCCCCAAAGTCACGCAAGCCGTCAAAGAAGTCGATAAAAGGACTGGGACTATCCAGGAAGGGGCTAACAGCTTCCAGCAATGGAAATGTGAGCAAAGTCAATAACTGCTGCTCCTGACTGAGCTCCTCTGACACCTCGCTTCAGTTTCTCCTAATAAGGGAGCTTGCAGAAGGATGTTGTCCGTGATCATCGGAGCTGATGCTCCTGGTTATGATGGGGAGCTGCGAGTGCAATTCATAATATCAGACTAATCCAAAAACTTTTGAAAGTGCTCGTTGCTCAGAATTGCTCATAAGTGACCTCTGTGCCCTGGATTCTGCAGGGCGCAAAAGCAGCACAGGCTCAGAATGTGGAGCGCTTTGTTAGGCGAGAGCGCGGTGAGAAGCCTCCTCTCAAACTTAGAAAAGATGCAAGTCTGTTCCTGCTGTACAGTCTGCAAGATTATATCTGCATCTCACTTTGAGGGGTGCTTTATCGACTGTTTCAGAGCGGAGATACTGTGTGAGCTGAAGACATTCCTTTGGATGCAGAAAGTGATCCTTTGATCCAGATGTCAGTTTGACAGCTCCTGGAAGCAAGGAAGACTGCAAGCGATGCAACACATGGCTTCAAGGTTGCTGACAACATTCTCGGGAAATCTGCCCTTGCTCAACCGGATAGAATGATACACGTAGGAACCTGAGGGCACCCAGCCCAAGCATCTTCTGGCAGGTCTTTTGTTGCATCAATCTTGATCAGCGTTATTCAACACACTCCCTGCTAAAAAGGCACCATCTGACGAAAGCTGTCTTCTGGCTTCTACAGCAGAGGTTGGGGGTGCCTTTGCCTGGCCAACCTTCCAACCTCCGGCCAAGAAGCCAAAGCTCGACCCCGCACCTGACAGCAATCCAGAACGTCGGGGCACTCAAGACAGCCTGCTCCTAAAGACGCCACGCACTACAATCTGGGCCGACAAGTACTTTCCTGCTTTAGAAGAGGAGCTGGCTGTGCAGAAGAAGAAAGTAGGCGAGGTGAAAGCATGGCTGGAATCGTGCCAATCAGGTTCCAGCAGCAGCAAGGTGCTTCTCTTGGTCGGGCCCCCTGGTGCAGGCAAGAGCACGACAGTGCACGTCCTGTGCAAGCCTCTGAACCTCCAGGTCACTGAATGGCAGACGCCGGTCCCAACTCTCTGGGAAGAACACGTGCACCATAGAGGGGTCGGTCCCGGCTACTCTTCCAAGCTGGACGACTTTGACGCCTTCCTCGACAAAGCCGAGAAGTTTCCGCTCGTCCCACTGGTTCCCTCCCTTGCAACCCTGACCCTAGACCCTCAAACCTCCAACGGGTCCCCCCCCAATATGAAGCTCAGCCAGCAAGTTCCGCAAGGGAAAGTGGTGCTCATAGACGACATGCCGCTCGCAGCAGAGGGAGACAGGAGGCAGCGGTTGTGTGACAGCCTGGAGATTCTTGCTCGCAGCGCTCGGTTCCCGACCGTTGTGATACTCTCAGAGGGGCAGGCGGGCCAGTCGGGGCAGGGCGACAATCAACCGCGGTGGGGGGCAACCGCCGCGTTTCAGCAGGCCCTCGAAAGAGGGGGCGCAGCGAGGGTAACCCGTTTGCGGAGCCTTCCGTTTCTTTGTCGGTGACCTGACTCCTCCGTGCTTGGGTACTGTGATGCAGTTTCAAGATCTCTTTGGGAGTGTCTGTTCGCATCGATAGAAACATGACGGCCTGATCTTGATCCAGCAGAAGCTACGAACTGTGAGATGATTGTTTCATGCATTCGTGAAGTCGAAATTTTTCTTTGCAGATTTCCTTCAACGACATTACGAAGGCCAACATTTGCAAAGTCCTTCGCCGGGTTGCCAACGAGGAACGGTACGACCCCCCTGAAGAGGACCTGGCTGCAATTGCAGAGGAGAGTGGGGGGGATCTACGGCAAGCGCTCGCGACTCTCCAGTTCCATTGCCTCGGGCAGAGCCAGAGCGCCAAACCGGTGAAGAAAGCCAAGAAGAAAAAGGCCGCAGCAAAGCGCGGCAAGAAGGGGGCGCTCGAAGATTCTGAGGATGTCGGTCAAAACGGTACTCAAGCGTCGGTCGTGGAGGACGACCTAGGGGTACCTGATTCTCAAGCGGAGAATCGACCGGAGCTCAGGGGCCGGGACTCGGGCTTGTCCCTCTTCAGGGCCCTTGGCAAGTTTCTGTACAACAAGCGAGTCGACGCTGATGTCAGCGGCCAGGTCAGCGCCAACGGTGACGTCAGCGGAGACCAGGCCCTCCGGGAGGAGCTGCGGCGGCGGCCGATGGCTTCGGCGCAGCCCCCCGAGGCGACGCTCGCGCGCGCGCACCTCGACGGCCCGGCCGTCACCGCCTTCCTCCACGAGAACGTGCTCCACTTCGTGGACGACGACGCGATTGATGACGTCAGCGTGACGTCGGCGTACTTCAGCGACGCGGACCACATCCTGCGGCGGCGTGCGGGGGGCGCGAGGGCGTCGCCTGCGGAGGACCAGGGGGCGGAGCCGGACCCCGGGAGGGTGGGGCATGCGGCAGCGGCAGCGATTGCAGCGCGGGGGGTTTTGTTTGGGATCGTGCACCCGGCGCCGCGGAAGTGGCAAGCGTTCCGGGCGCCGGTGTCGGGGCAGGTCGAGCGGAGAAGACTGGAGACCTTGGTAAGCGGGAGTTGACTTCGGGGGAATGGGTGTCGGAAGGGCTGTAAGTTGGAAGTTTTGGAGGACGTAGAAGACGAGATATCTGGACTCTGAGGCCTGTTGCAAGGAAGCATCGCTTAGGCTTGAATCAGTTTTGATGCTCTGTTGGTCATTACCTGCTGGCTCAATATCTCGAGCGCTTCAGGACCGCCGTTGGCATGCTTCGCCAAATCTTTGGATCGGCTTGAGAAGCTCCTTCTACAGATGCGAACAGCCGCGAGCCAGTCGCATCAAGATAAAGGTTGTTGTTCAAAGGGCTGCTCATGTTCTTCTCGTTCAGATTGTGGTTTCTGAACAAGGTTCGCTTTCTCCAATCATCCTTCAGCTCGAGGCCAGACAGAACATGGTTACGAGGCCCAGACTGGAAGGCAGTCTAGTAAAGATCTCAATCGTACTTACGTTCTCTTTACAGGCTCAAATCCAGCGCGCGTCTCTCTCGCAAAGCTCCAGTTACCTCGCTCCAGGAGCTGCAGGGTCAGCGGTCCTTGCTTTGGAGCTACTGCCATTTATGAAACACATCGAAGCACTGCGGAGGTGGAAAGCTGCAAACGGGGAGGGCACAGCGCGGCAGGAAGAGAGCCTTGAACATGGCATATCACTGAGCACGTGGGGGCCTGTTTTCGAAATTGACCGACGAAAAGAGTCGGCAGAGGTCGAAGAAGAAGCGGAGGAGATAGAAGAATGGTAATGTTCTACTGATCGTATGCTGTACACAATTAGGAGGGTTCGTGTCAATGCCGCAGTTCACATGTACATTATGAAGCACCTAGAGCTGCCAGTGAAGCAATGAAAGGCGCCTTGGATTGGTTCAAAATCTACTGAGGAATCAGTACCTAAGCTGTGGTGCATGATCATGCCTGTAAGCGGTCTGTTTCAATCAAGTTGTGCACTGATCAAGATTGCACAAAGTGCATCTTTCGAGTCTGCATGTGCATCTCTTGCTCTGCTAGCCGGCCGATTTCTGCATGAGATGCATATACGTAGCTGCCTGCATGGCAGCAGGTCGTGAACAATCTGAAGATATGATGGCCGGTCACTGCCACACGCCGCCCACCATGATCGACCAGTGGCTAGGCCGTGACTGAACAGCTGCGCATGAATTGATGCATACATTTACCATATGCAACAGCCGCTGTGTATGCCCTCATTTGTGACTGAGGCGGTCGCGCGTGGACTCATGGTGCATGGCACATTATACGAAATCGCAGTCATTATTGGTCACCGCGTCGGCCCCGTGCCATGCATGATGCCGGCCTCTCGTCAATTGAACTCCCTGGCCAGCCTGCCAGGCGGCTGCATATACTAGGTGTACATGTGTGCTGACAGGAAATGCAGGCTGCACTGATAATCATGAAGATTGTGTACGGTGCAGCTTCATTCGAGCACCATGCAGACTCAGGAAGGCGGCTGCGCCCATGCACATGTGTACTTGAGACAAGTTTGCTGCAGGCCAATCAGGCCTATTCACCAACAAGGCCTATTCACCAACAAAGGCCTGAGGATGCAGCATCCACACCTTGATCCAGGATTCTTAGGCGGGCTTCCTACTTCTTTGAAGTCGTCTTCACGACAGCCAGAGTCCGCCTAGTTTTGCAAGTCCAGACCGCAAACAAGACGACACCTGCTGCGATCTACAAACGTGCCTAGCACGGCCACGTTGGACAAGATGCCAAGACCTCGCTAAACGGGGCCGTACAGGAAGTCCTGCACCTTGATCGACAGCTCCTGCCGCTCGTCGTACGACTTGTGCGACAGCCCGAAGCCCTTGCCGTACAGCTTCTGATACAGCTTGACCGGCAGATACCCGACCGCCACGCGCTTGCCGTTGAACACCCGGTTGTGCAACGCTTGCGCAGCTTTCACCGCCGACTCCTCCCGCGAGAACTCCACGAAGATCTTCCCGACGCCCTCCGGATCCTCCACGCTTATAAACTCCTCCTCTTTCTTGACGCCTGCGCCCGCGTCGCCCAACAACACAACCCGCTTCTTGTCATCGTCCTCTTCGACGTCATCCTCCACTTTCCCGTCCTCCGCCGCTTTCCCGTCCTCCTCCGCTTTCCCGTCTTCTTCCATCTTCTCGTCTTCTTTCTTTTCATCTTCCGTCTTCTCATCCTCGTCCATGGGCTCCGTTTTCACCGTTACCGCCCCGCCGTTCTGCAACAAACCTGGCTTTGCATCGGCATCGCTCTCCATCTTGACAATGGTATCCTTCGTATCGCCCGCTTCTTCTTTCTTCGCGGTCCGGACCGGCTTGGGCACGTGCGAGGACTTGACGGTCCCGAAGCGCGCGCACTCGAGCGTGATGTCTTCGATGACCTCCTCAACTTGCTCTTCCGTCAGCGTGAGCAACTCCTCCCGAGTCACCTGTAACGAAAAGCAGAAAGGTTAGAGCGGAATGTGGCGAATGTTCCCAGTGGAATGGCTACAAATACTGACAGAACCCGTGGAAGGAGAACGTGGACTCCAGTTTTCCATTCTGGACCCCCACAATGGTTGGTACCCCCTGCGCGCGCGTCTCAGTAGATTGGTTACTGCGCGAGGTCACCCAGTCGCTTGTCTCTACATCCGGGAGGCCGAAACTGCACGTCGATACCGTACGGCATACTGAATTGGAACCCTCGGTGAGAGTTCAATCGGTCGGTCGACTCAAGTGCAGGAGGTTACGTTACCATTGAATAACCCTTAGGTTACACGTGCCAGTCCGGAGCCTTCAGCTGCTCGCGCATGGGGGTACCAAAAGGTGTGGGGGTCACAACGAAAACTGGAGTCCACGTTCTCCTTCCACGGGTTCTGACAGCCACGAAGCACCGTGATGTATTTGTACATCTCTTAACGGCGCCTACAAACAGCTTGAGCAAGTTTTCGGGGCTCCGAAGCGCTCCGACGGGTGTTTCAACACGGAGGGAATCGTAAACCTCAGGGAGACAGCGCTTAAAACACCTCGTGACCCCAGTGTGTGTGCCAGGCAAGACTCTCTGCCTAATCAGCAACGAGAAGCCGGAAGTGGAGGGCGACTCGATACAGTCAGGCAACACGACAAAGAGCGCCATCTTCAGAACCCCTCAAAACGTGGCCGCTTCCATGTCCAACTCAGTTTTTCCGCCAAATACCCCAGTCAACGATACGCGAAACCACCCCCAGACCATTTGCCGACCCTTTAGAGGTTTTCAAGTCCCACTTACAATGTTGGCAAACTCTAGCACTTTCGACGGCTCCTCCAGCAGCGGCTTGGCGAGCTCCGGGACCGCGTACGTGGGCTCCTTGCCCTCCGCGCCGCCCAGCTGCACCGTGGGCGTGGCATATGCCGTCACCAGCGGCTTCCGCGCCAGCATCAGCCCGCTGAGGCCCGCGATCGCCTGGGGGGTCACAGCGGAATCCATGTACTGCACGATAGAAGCGAGGACTAGATCACTTGTCGAATGTTTGGCCCACGTGATTTGAAGTGAGCTGGCACAAGAGTCTTTTGTCAAACACCGATTGCCGGCCACAGTGCCCGAACTGCTTCGACGCTGAGAGATCGTTATCCGTAAGATGCTACAGTGGCGAACTTCGAGGGCGAAGTATAGACAAGCATTCGCTGCATAGTCGCGGCCTGACCAGAATCTGCAAATGCTCGTTAACGCGATGAGCATGATGACCCTTCCACTTCGCAAGCACAACGAGGAGGGACGAGCTTCGGTTGTAGGGTCAGCAGACGAAACGGCTCGCTGATGGGTGTTCTAAGCACCAGACTTAGCAGTGTAGAGGCTATGGTCACGAGCATTTCACGAATGAATCCCTGACAACAAGAAACCGACCAATCAGATATCAGCGCAGAAGAGAGAGGGTTCTCCTTTTCTGGCCACATTGATCGTAACAAATGCCAAGTATATCCCGAACGGTAGCCCTAGATCCTGCGACCCTGAAAGCAACACTCAATGGGTACACGACCCACCTCAAGGAACGCGTACACTTTGAAGGGCTTCACGTTCTTGTTGTACTTCATGACGTAGTGCTTCAGCTGCCCGAACGCGGTCAAGATCTCGCGCAGCTGCACACACAGAATCTTAGGCTAAGTTTCGCGGTTCTCGTTCCGGTTTCGTTTAACCCAATTCCGAGCTGGGCTTCAAGACCAACACGGACGTCCCAAGTGTAGATTTTGCGCTCCTGCATCTCACGAGCGAGTCCGGTGGAGAGTCGACCGATTATTTGTGTTGAGCGGTCAGGTTTATCAAAAATAAGAGTATGCTGAGGCGAAACGGTAAAATTATCGATAACCTTGATGCGGACGCTTTTTTCGCCAGCAAGCGGCTCCCATCGTGCAAAACCACTAGCCCTGAAGGGCAACCAAGTTGGAAGCAAACTGAGATGCAACGCGTACTTTCGTGCGTGTGATATACAGAATTCTCGTTGACGTACTTTCCAAAAGATGACTTCACGCGATTCTGCCGCAGGGACGCCTACAGAGATTCTAAGATGTGGGCGCTACAGGAACCGGGGATGCAGGGAAGGCAACCCACCTTCTCGACTGTGATCGACGGATGGATGTTGCCCAGGAAGATCTGCACAGAAGCAAGTAAATTGTCAATATCATACCACGTTGCTCCATATATCAGCACCAAAAAGCCAGTCTGATGGGGTTCAAAAGACGTCCGCCACCCTTTCCTGACGCAACAGATGCTGCGCAATCTCATCCCACTCGCATCCTCCTTGCACCAACCCGTGACAGAATTCCAACGTCTCCCAGTCCCCCCAGCAGATTCAGCTCAAAAGCAAGCATTTGGGAGTTGCAGACACCAAGAAAGCCTCACCTTATTTGGACCGTCCGGCACGTCCGTGGAGATGTAGCCCGGGACGATGCTCTGGGGAATAGCTGCCAGGGGGATGGAGCTGGCAGTGGTCACAGTGCCTGGCGCAGCCACAGCCGGCTGCCCGGGGAGACCAACCGCCCCCTGCAAGAGACACCCAAAATGTAAGGCCGGGTGGTTTGAAAACGGTTTGATATTTAATGAGGGAATGTTAAGCGGACACGACTCCCAGGTGCTAAAACTCAGGAACGATTAACGAATCCCTTGTCTGGGGTTTCGAAGAAGAAGGACGCGGATTAAATATGACACTTTGAGAAACACAAGGTCGCACGGAAAACGGCAGTCCCGTCTAGAGAACAGAAGATCAGTGGCAGGAGGATAGAGAAGAGAAAGAGGTTCAGGCGAGTTGAGGAGAAGCAACAGCACATAGCTCTGCCACAGCGGAGTAAAAGACACAGACAAGATCCTCAAAGAGTTTGAATAAACAAGTCAACCTGCCTATGTCTTCTCCGGAGCAAAAAACAGATAAGCACGCGCTAAAGCTGACACCAAGCATCTCAGAGTGACCACATCGTCGGTGTCGCTTACCGCTACGGCAGGCATCGCGCCAGCAGTTGCTGCGAGCAACTCGGTGGGTGGCGGGACATAGTCCCGGGGCCGCCGGATCTTGAGGGCGTTTCCGTGAAGGACGATACCATCGAGCAAAGTGCCGATGGTGGCGTCCTCCGGGTGGGTGAAGTCGGCAAACCCGAAACCCTTGTCCAGGGTTAGCTGCGGGAAGGGATGAGGGTCAGCTAAATGATTAAATCTGGGTTAGAGCCAGGAGCGAAAGCAGGTGCAGGCGCAGGAAGGGTGGGTGAACTTCGCAAACCCGAAAGCCTTGTCCAGGGTTAGCTGCGAGGAAGGAATAGGTTGGCTGCAAACCTTAGCTTTTAAGTCAAGCAGGCTCTACTGCATGCAGAGGGAAGGTTAATGGGCTCGATTGGCAAGTCGGACTTTGGGGCCCAGCATAGCAAAACAGAAGAACGAAATGTAACATTCACGAGGAACTTTCCCTCTTTAAGAGGTGGCACGTATAGATGATTGCAGCTACTCAGCGATTGGTGGAAGGCCGGGGGTGCACAGCAGGATACATGCTTGCTTAGCACGCAGCGCAGCGTGCCAGCAATCCGTGATCTGCAAGCTTCAGACTTGAGCATCAGCAGCTTACATCAGGGCTGAAGTAAGGACTGCACTAAGGCCCGAGAGAACGCCGTACTTTCTCAAATGGGAAGGAAGCATCGTCTCAACTCTCACAGACTGGTCAAGATTTGGAGGCGCTTTCGGGTGTAGTCACCAAACCGTCGATGTTTTCCGCAAGCAGAGGATCGTCGAAGGGCGCTCGGCCAAACCTATTACTGACGAAAAAAACGACTGGCCAAACACTACAACGACCAGGCTGGAACAGTCGAAATATCCAAAATGACCCCTCACCTGCACTGCTGCAACAGGCCTCGTGCCGGGGACGTGCTGCTGCCCCCCCGAAATGATGGCCGCATTCAGAAACTCGAGCACCTCGCCATCGGATACCGTCGGGGGCAGGTTACCCAGGTACAGCCGGCGCTGCGACCGGGTCACGGCAGGGCTTTGGACGGAACCCATTCCGGTTAGGAGGGGGTTCAAGTTGGGCAGGCTGCTCGCTGTGAGGGTTAAGACAGATTGTTAGTGGGTAAGAAGTAGGTTATGCACGACTGACTTGGGGTTCTGATTGGATCAGTGAGTTGGACCGTCCATGCCCGTAAGGAGGGGGTTCAAGTTGGCCAGGCTGCTTGCTGAGAAGGAAAAGGGATATTTGTTAGCGGGAACCAGAGGTGGGTTATGCATGACTTGATCTGAGGTCCTGAGAGGTCCTGATCGGATCAGTGAGATGGACGGCGCCTATGCCCTTAAGGATTCAAGTTGGGCAGGCTGCTTGCTGTGGAGGGTTAAGACCAAATGTTAGTGGGGATCGAAAGTGGCAAGTGGTGGGTTATACGCGACTTGATTGGGTTTCTGATTGGATCATTGAGTTGGACGGTGTCCATCCCTGTAGGAAGGGGGTTCAAAGTGGGCAGGCTGCTTGCACTGGATGAGAAGGGAACCGCTTAGGGGGACGAATGGGTTATGCACGACTTGATCTGACTGTCTAAAAAAACAACCAGGTTTGGAGTTTAAGTTGGACAGGATGCTTGCTGAGGACAAAAAGAGCAAGATTGTCAGCGGAATCAAGAGTTACAGAAAGTGCTCATCCGACTTCTTAAAGAGTCACGTGGGATGTTTGGAGCTTTGGGCACTGTCGCCGGCCACCAGCGACGAGGAACAATCATGATAGAAGACCCCTCCACAGTATGGCATAGTAAAATATTGTTCAACACCGCCTCTTTCCTTGGTTTAAGCATCGCCGATGCAGGTAAAACGTCCAAGGACAGCACCCGCTCCAGAACCTCTAGGTCCGAAAATTACAAGCAATAGACCGTCTATTTTGGAGCAAAAGTTTCTTGTTTTTTTCAAGGGGAGGGGGGGTGCAACAAGAGAATGATACTAAGCAATTGGAGCCTTGACAAGGACGAACTACAACTAGTGCCACCATGCCAGACTCTTATGCCAGAGAACACTAGCAGAAAAGGAAGGTTGCCCCTACATGCCCCCATTTGAATGAACGGGTTCGCCCCTGCTGCCGCCGCCATCTGCTGCGCCATCGCCATCTGCTGCTGCCACAGTGCAACCGCCGTTGCGTCCATCCCAGGGGGGGGCTGATCCCATGCTCCCCCCCCCCCTTGCTCCGCTTCCGGTCCGGCGACAGCGATGGGCTATCCCTGTCTCCATTCTTCCGCCTCCTCGGAGAGTACCCCCCCAGGCCGCTGGAATAGTACCCCGCGCGCTTGTTAACGGGCCGTGAGGAGGCGGGGCTGCGCCGCCGAGGAGAGCTCCGCCTGCGCGCGTCTCTGGGGGAGAGGGAACGTGAGCGGCTGCGATGTTTCCGGCGGGGAGGGGAGAGGGGCCGGCGGCCGCGGTCCCTCTCGCGCTCCCTTCCGCTCTCCCGCTCTCGTTCTCGGTCCCTCTCTCGGTCGCGGTCGGAACGCCCCCGGTCGCGGTGGCGGTCGCTCTCCCGGGGGGCCGATCGCCGTCCGGCCCTGTCCTTGTCAGAGCGTCCCCTTGCGAGATCCTCCCGCTTCTCGTCTCCTCTTCTATCGCCGTCTTTCGCAACCCTCTCGTCTTTTCTGGGTTTCTCATCAGCCGAGGGGTCCTTTACTCTGGCGGTTTCCGCCCCCTCCTTGAGAGCATCCAAGTTTACTTTCTCGACGTCTGCATTTGGTGGCAGGGGTGGAGGAGGCGGCAGCGGCACTGGCGCTGACTCCTTCTCAGCGTCCCTCTTCCTCTCGCCGTCTCTGTCTCTCTTTGGCGGATCGTCCCTCTTGCTTCTGTCCCCTTCCCGCCTCCCCTTTTCCTCATCCCTCCCAGGCTTCTCCTCGCCTTTCCTGCTGCGGTCATCTTCCCGCTTGCTCTTATCCTCCTCCTTCTTGCTCCTATCGTCCTCCCTTCTACTCCGGTCATCCTTATGCCGGTCCCCATCCCTACGATGACGCTCGCTCTCGCGCCTCCGCTCATCCTCCTTCCTCCTGTCCTCTTGTCGCTTCTTCTCGTCCTCTCGCTTCGTCTCCACGTCCTTCTCAGACCGCTTGCCGCGACCCTCTTCCTTCCTCCGCTCATCATCCTTCCTCCTCTCACTTTCCCGTGGATGATCTGATCGTGACCGATCAACCTTGTCTCGCTCTTCCCTCTTCTTCTCATCGCCTCTCCCCTGCTCCTTTCTTTCTAATGCCTCTTTCCTATCCCCGTCCCTCCCACTCCGATCTTTCCTCTCCTCCCCACCTTCCCTGTGGCCTCTGCCGCTCTCCTTTGGTTTCGCATCCTTCTTCTCGCTCTCATGCTCTTTATCTTCCCTCCGCCGGCTGCTCTCCTTCTCAGACCGCGCTCTCTCACTTTCCTTGTGCCTTGAGCTCTTCACAGGCTCTTCCACTTTGCTCTTGATCACTTCTGGCTCTGCTTCAACCTTCTCTTCTGGCTTTGCTTCAACCTTCTCTTCCGGCTTCGCTTCTACCTCCTCTTCTGGCTTTGCTTCTACCTTCTCTTCCTTCAGATCACCCGTGCCTACTTCTTCACTCGCTACTGCAGGCGGTATAACGCTCTCAGCTCCTGCCCTATCGTCCATGACTGGGAGCAGGGCAATGCTTTCGTCGTCATCCGCTTTCTCCGCTTGTGGTGCAACCTCTGCAAGACAGTCACTACTATCAGACCAGGGTCTCTGTCAACTACCACCATTGTACATGGGCATTCATCGATGGATCACACAAACAGAACACAAAAAGAACAGGTGATGCCTCGATAAAGCAAGAACCTCAAGAAAGGGCTATAAGTCTTCTAGCAACAAGAAATCGTATCCAGAGTGCAGAGCAGAGCAGTTACTGCAGGTAATTGCAGTTATCAACAAAGCAGACAATCTTTCCATGTAGACGTCCTGTCCCGAAATACTCAAAACCTTGCCAAAGTATCCAATAAACATTCTCTTGCAGTTCACGACACATATTATTGCAAGCAGCACGACCAGGCGCAAATTGGTAAAATGCAGTCAAAGACCAGCAATATTCAACATAGCACCATTCGAAGACAGCTACACCACTCAACATCACTTGGACGTTCCAGTAAGCACAGGATGCGTTGGCTGAGGTGCCCTCAACATCATTGCATCGCACAATAGACCCTCTCTCAGCCGCCTCATGTAGAAAAGCACGTACCTGGAACGGCTTCCTGTTCTGGCTGCACAACAACCTCCTCTGCCTGTTTCTCCTTGTCTTTGGCATCGTTTGCGCGGGTAGAGCGAGTGCTCCTGCGCGGCGCCATGGTGGTGCTCGCAGCTCCCTGCAGCAATGGCAATGTACTTTTTGAAATTGAAGTTTCATTGCCAAGAATCCACACATGGTGCTGCTTCTTGCTCTGCGGCCCAACCGGCCCGGTATCGGTCTTCCGGTCATGAGCACCACCCTTGTGACTACAAGGCAGTCCCCGGGAAGTGGCACCCGGGATGCCCAGTAGAGGGATTTCTGGGAACACGATTTCTGGTACGTAGCGAAAACACTTTTTCGAGGGCGAAGAAAGTTTTAACTTTTTGACTCTGACTCTGACTCTGACTCTGAGCCTCGACTCTCGAGGGAGACAGGGATCTGCTCAAGATCAGCATTGTGGATTGTACGTTGCATTTTGCAGGTGCCCGAGGGCTACTGGAAGCCATCTGTATGTATGCACACAAATAGCGTGGGTCCTTGATTGAGAATCACCATGGTGCAGTTTGCCTGTGATGTATGTGGGAGCGAAAGCGTGATCCAAAGCGACTTGGGGCAGTACATCTGTGCGGACTGTGGCACCCAGTCTCAGGTATGCTGCTTTTCAACACCAATCGAAAGCTTCAACACTTTCAGTTCGACAGTATACTTGTCAGTCTTTCTGACTCCTTGTGTATTGCTCGCAAGAAAAAGAGGCTGAGAGAATTGCGGTGTGCTTGCCTGCACCAGTTGGCTCAATGAGTCGCCAAGGTATGGAGTGAGTTTGTGCTGAGAGCAAGCAGCCTCCCAAATGGCCACAAGAACACAATGCGCTGGAGTGCCCTTAAAATGCTACACATCAGTCAACCTTCCCCACCCCCCCTTTCCACCACCACCCCTCCATCATGTGTGATGTAAGATGTCACCGTCTGCCTTTGGCTGCTTTATTACTTTTCATGTGCATCCTAGAGATGACCCAGATTTGTAAAAGCCTCTGGAATGTTTTTCAAGGGGCTTCCTCTTTGTCTTGGACCCCACAGCAGCCCCCTGGTTAACAGACAATCGACTCTTCTTGGTTTACTATCATGCATGGAGAGCTTTGGGGTGAAGGATCACACAGTGAGTATCGTAGCACCTGCTTGAATATCCTTCTTATTTGACAGAGCTTTCTTCTTGCCTTATTTTCGCAGGAGATGATGGAGGAGGCCGCCGAAGACGGCATGCTTAACAAACCCAACGCCTTTGCCAGGACCATCGACAGCCACGTGGAGCGGCACGAGACGCAGGACGCAGAAGAAGCCGTGCTCACGGCAATGGAAGCCTCCGACGGGGCAGCCATAGGCGATGACCCCGTGGCTGCGACCGCCATAGCTTATGTCACGGGGATGCAGCTGGTGTTGCAGGGGGTGTTGGAGGCGCTAGTGGCCAAGTTTGGGTGTAGCGAGGAGGTGATTGGAGTGGCGGGGGAGATGTGGCATAGCCTGGTGCAGCAGTCGGAGGTCCTCTGCGACGGTCTTGAGCGGTGAGGGGCTGTTGGCTAGAGGAGCAAAGAATTTTGTCCTTTTTCCCTTCAAATAAAAAACACCAGGCTGATAAGTTTGTATTACCCGCCATGTGAGGCTGCCCCTCGATCGACTTACCCACAAAAGCCAACGGGTTTCTAGCGATTCCGGTTTGGAATGGGCGAGTATTGTTTTCCAAAATTCGTTCTTGGCTGTGATGGGCCAACGATTCTTCACCAGTCGACACCAGCACAGTGAAGTCAGACTTGCAGTTTTCGAGTAGAACATATCTCGTTTGCCATCCTCTTCCGACATCAAACGACTAATGTTTGGATGTAAGGTCGAATATTGCTTATTTTAGAGCCTCTGTGCCCATCATATCAAGGGCTTTCGAAGATACTTATTTTTGTCCACTTTCTTGTTTGTGGGGACACGTCCTGCTGACGTTTTGGTCAATCGCACCACGTGAGTCGTCTGAACATGGCTCCCTGTTGATTGATTCCGTCTTGCCGTTTGATCGGAGTTTGATTGGGACTACGAAGTGACCTCACCGCAGCAAATCGCACCTTCCTACTTTCGTTAGAGAGTTGCAAATTCGTATTTCTGGGCCGTAACAAAATGTCTCACTTGAAATTCGCTCCCCCACTGGCAGGGAAGCCGCAGCATACGTTCCCCGGAAAGATTGGCCCGCTGGCGAGGAGGACGTGGCGGGACTGGACGATATTGATCCGACCATTGATGAAGACGAGCTGGCGGATGCTGCAGCCGCCGATTCCGGACCTGAGCCGGAGCCAGAGCCCCAAGTGAGACAAGTGACCGGAAAATTCCGTTCATCTCCCTGCAAGCTCTGGACTACTTGTTCTCGAGTGCCAAATGCTAGCTGAGAAGAGGATCGGGAAGCTGATGCTATTTTTTAATGCGGCTGTCTACAGGTGTTGATTTCAAGCGAGTTCTCCTCTACCATTCTACAGGGACCATTCAGTGGCTGTTTGAGCCTGTCATAGTGCCTCGAGTCGGACTCATGCTGATAACCAATGTCGCAGACCTCCTATTTTCTCATACTGGTCCGCGCATCTTGAGCCCGCTTTCGGCATCTGTTAGAACTGCGAGGATGCGTCCCCTGAAGCGAAGACACTCCCTAGAAAGCAAGGGTTTCAACAGTTTACGTCGCTTTCGTAGAGGACATCACAAAAACCAGTGTATCTTGCAGCCGAAGAAACGCCGGAAACGGAAAGCGCGCAAGGTGCTGAAGAAGGCGACCAAGAAGAAACCGAGCACGGGGATGGGTCCGGGGCAGCAGGCCAGGCGCATCTTCGGCGTGCTGTCGAGACGCCTCCCGACAGACCTTCCGCTCTCGATCGCGTACCTCGCGTGCTTCTGGTTGCGGGAGTCAATTCTGCCGACAGACATCGTCAGGTGAGTAGAGCGCTTCACGCTCACCTCCTTCCCAGGTGGATACTCGAGGGCCAGCAGTCTGTACCTTGCTCCCTCTCTCTCAGTCTGCAGAGCAGTCAGAAATTCACTATGGGAAAGTTCGTACGGGAGGAATTTGAACGGATCAATCTTCTTCCCTCCTTATCGGAAGACTTTTGAGGGTAGCATCCTTTCCGTGGCTTTTCTCGTTTGCTACCTTCCAACAGCAAAAGTAGTCGCCCGTTAGACATGGAGTAATCGTAGGCGTCAGAATCTAGAATGGATTTTCCCCCCACCCCGCCTCTAAGTGGACACTCGAGAGACAAATCCCCGTACCTGGCTCCCTCTTTTCTCGCCACTTCCGAACCTCAAGTTACACATGAAAATTCGAAACTGTTTTTATCGAAAGCAATTTGAGCGGTTCCCTTTGGCCCCCGCTCTTTATTTGAACGCTCGAGGAATAGCATCCTCTACTGACTCCCTCTCTCGCCCTACCTTTCCACGTTAGGAAGTCGCACATAAAACTTGGAGTTCTGACTCAACAAAATCCAGAACCTCTCTTTTTGCCTCCCCCTAGTGGAAGACGAAGACGACGACGACGCACGCACTCGTACTCGCTTCATAAGCAAGTCGCAGATGAGAAATGAAGTATTCAATCTGGTGAAATTGAAACACTTTTCCCCGCCGCTCCCCGAGGTGGACGCTCGATGGGCACAACCCGTCCCTTTTGCCACCTCCCTTCCATCCGGACTTCACACGATAGGACCGTAATGTTCATTCTATCAAGGAACTAGAACGGTTCCATCTTCTTGCTCGAGGTCACACATGGAGCGTCTGTACTCAAGAAGAACTGAAACGGTGTATTTCTCCCCCCCCTCCCCCCAGGTGGACACTCGAGGGGCACATTCCGTACCTGGCCCCCTCCCTCTCGCTCCCCCCCCACATCGAACAGCGCCTGCGCGGGGTCGCCGTGCATCCTCTGAGCATTCCCAGCCCGCGCAACATCGAGTTCCGCGCCGTCGTGATTGCTGATCGCCTGAATCTGGAGCTGCCGCCGATCAATGCACACCTGGTCGCGGCCAGGCTGCTCAAGGACCTCGGGCTGCCGGGTGAGAATACGCCCCTGAGACTCCTTGCGTCTGCCCGTGGGCTCGGGGTTGGGAATGCAACTGCGCCTTTGGACGTTGCGCAGTTGGCTCTAAGAATGCGCGTTTGAATTCCTATGCAAGATCGAATGTATATTGCTTTTGATTAGTCCTGCAAGAGTGTGGGATAGGAAGCGGGCAGACGTGCCCTGCAAGGAGACCGAGACGCCTCGGTTGTTCTGAGCCGCCCTTACCTTTAATCGACAGTTTGCACTTTGGTAAAGGCGTCGACCATTAGGGCTGGTCCTTTCTCCTCGGTTCTTGAACTGAACCTTTCATGCGTCTAGTAGGACATAAATCATACAGTGAAGTTACGGTAACCAACCGTATTGAGCTTTGACGTGTACGAGTTGGGGCGTGGAACTCCGCAGTCACTGCCGGACCTAACGGACGTATGGAAAGTTTTCTTTGCAGACTCGCTGGCTGCACCCGTGGACCGCCTTCTGGACTTGGTCACGCCGCAGGGCTTCTGGATCTCGTCGAGCAAACGAGCGATTCCGCCGAGGGTGAGGCCCTCCGCTTCCTTCTCTCCCGAACGCTCTCGTTCGCCCCTTTGCAGTCTTTTGCGAGTGGCTACTCTCTTGTCGCTTTCCATTCACTTCCTCCGTTTGCCTGAAGCGCCTCGTTGACTGTGTCGCTGCGCATTCTTCATTATCCGACAACATGAAACCGTTGTTTACTGCCACGAAAATGCGCAATTTTTTCCGCACCTCTCTCGCACCTTCATGAGCGCGCAGATTGCTTTGTTCTCATCATCCACTTTCGCTTTATCTGCTTCTTTTACCGCAGACCTTCGTGGCGGCCATTATCCTGATCGCAGTCAAGCTGTTACACCATCTCGGCGGGCCCATCACCTCCAAAACAAAGGGCAAGCAGCACCAGCTGACCCCCAACCCGGAAGTCCTTCGCAACCTGACGCCTCCTTCCAGGGGGCTCCAAATGCCCAGTCCTGCGCCCCCTCTCATCACGAGGTGAGCTGTGCGTTAAAAAGAGCATTCCCTCCTCCGACCTTGTAGTGTGATTGCATCCCTGTGTGCCGGTATTCACAGACTTGTCGTCCAGAAAGACCCTCGCAAGTCTTACGTCCTCGTTTGGGGATCAGGAGGATTTCACGGTATCCTGCTTTTGGATACCGGGTTGAGCTCACGGATCATGCTGAGGGTTAGACCTCGTGTTGAGACTTTTGGGTAATCTTGTTCGGCAGGATTCATTGACCACAATAGTCATGGTATAGGTTTGCGAGAGGCCCTTCCACGGTAAAGTTTTGCACCCCGAAAGCAGAAGCTCTGCGGAGAGTCTCGCACGTCAGAGCCCTCAGCAAATGAGCAAGCCTGTTCCGAACACCGCCGCTTGTGGTTGCAGGCCTGGCGAGCCCGTCGACCTCCACAATCTGGACCGTTACCTGCGTTACCTCAAAGAGGTCATCTTCAAGAGAGCCGAGCCAGCCGCAGGTGAGAGCCACAGTGGAGCGTCCGAATTCTGCTGACGGCTTGTTTAGGTGGAACGGCATGAGAGTGCACTCATAGTCTGCGAAGCCGGGAAGTGGGCGGTTCCGCTCTGGGCTTGCTGTTCTCTGCGTTTATCAGGAAGGCAGGTTAAACGGCGTTATGCGAGCATGAGCGTGCGTTTGTTTCTGAGGTCTTGGGACCGCACCCGGCTGCACGACGTAAGCTCCTTTTCAGGACAGCAGCTTCGCTCGTTGAGAAACGCTCAGTCCAACGCCCTTACAATGAAGGTGCCTGCTTCTTAACAGCGAAGTTGCCAAAACGAAGCTCCTCGTCTAGGTAACCCGCTGAGGTCGTCGTCAAGAGCGGGTCACCCGTTGCTCTAGCTTATTTCCAGCCGAAGTCGTACCTGATTTTCAACCTAATTCTTGACTAAAGCCTTACTAATGACCCTCCCTCGCTTTGCAGATCTGAAAGAATACCACACCGCGTGCGAGAAGCTCTTCCAGGGGGCTGTATCCGCCGCGGCCGCCCGGCCCCGCACTCCCCCGGCAAAGGATGCTGACGTGGTAGGGCCCCAGAAGGCGGACTGTGACGTCGGCGTGCTGACGCCGATGCTGGATACGGAGGAGCCGATGGAGCATGAGCTCATTCACTATCTCGGAAACAATGTAAACGCGAGCGGGCACCGGGACTACGTCCGGCTGCTGCGCTCGTTGGCAGCTGCGATCTGGGTAGGTGGCGAAGCTCCTTCCTTTCAAACGCTCTCTTGTTCAGAAGTCGCTTTTTGTTCCTCTCTTTCTTTTTTCCCTTTCTTCCCTTCTCCGTTTACAGGAGTCGGTTCATCGGCCGCAGTCGAGAGAGTGGATACGATTCTCCCAGAAACGACAAAGCCTTGACTCGTGACTCAATTGTAGGGAGTCGTCTCAACCAGCTGGGAGCGGAATGATCACAAGGGCTTCTCAGGCAATGAATCAGTGGACGAAGTCCGAAGCAGTCGGGCATCGTAAAACTGAGCTTTAAACTCACGGGTGGCGGCAAAGAACTGACATTGAACGCCTCGTTTTAATCCAGGTGACTCCCACGGGGTTGCACAAGGTCGTCAAGGAAGTGGAGCTCGACCTGATTGATCTGGAGCGGAGCCTCCAGAAGCACCTCTCACAGAGTGACACGTGGCAAGCTGGGACCTGACAGACGCGCACGCTTCATGTCTGAGACACCGCAAACGGCCGCAGCGTGCGAGTCTGTTGCTGGTCCGCAGAACTAGAGGGCGAGACCCGGTAAGTCTGTGAGCAAGAGTTCCTTCAGCTTGCCGAGGGGTTCTGGTGAAGGTGATTTGCTTACGACTGAGTTACGACTGCGTCAGCTTCTCTGGAGGCCCTGTTTGATGATTCCCTTGCTTTCGGGTCAGCCGAAAAGGTTTCAACACCTTTGCTGTGCATGGTCCCACTGTGGTCCTCTGACCAAAGGATTGCTTTTTGGGAGCGGAAGCTTCTTAAAGTAAAGTGGTTACGGTGGTGCAGAGCGCGGCAACCGAGCGCAACCGAGGAGGAATGTATCGGAGAGTGGTTTGACAATCGGGTTCGCAGGTGCGGAGGCGCGCAGCAATGTTTTATTGCCGCATGTATGCTTCGACCCCAAGCGATGGTCGTGCTTTTGGACGTAGTTTGGCAGAAAGAGACATGTATCCCCGATGCACGTCGTTGAGGGGTCTCTGGTTGATAACTTGACGTTCTTCGTTTACGTGCAGTTGCTGTCAGCAGAGTGAATCCAACATTCCGCTCGTAGCTCAGCTCGAATCGTGGTCGGAATAGCATTTCCGTGGGACCCAAATATGGCACGTGCAGAAAGTACACGAAGTCGACGCATCATTGGATTCTCCACTAGCCTAGATTTGTGGCGACAAGAAGGGAGCTCAGAGTGTTGCAAACTTGTTGGCCGCATTACCTGCATGAAGGAGCTAGAGAGGCGTCGATCATGCGCGCGCGGCATGTGCGTAAACTACCTCAGATTGGAAGTGCGTAGTAATGTTTTGCAGATCTATATGGACCGATATTGGCGGGTCATTTCTAAGCCGCCGCCTAGTTTGTGTGCTCCAAGAACGAAGTATCGCATGTACATAACCGCCATACTGAGCTAGCTTGCAGCCTCAGCAGGACGCGTATACACAAACGCCCACGGTTTCATCGAGTTCACAATTAAGGCACTCACTGAAATTGCATGACGGTCCGCGTATACGCACACTCGATCAGATAGGTGTATACTAATATCTGCACGCAACTCAGCATGTGCTCGGCCAGCCTCAAATCGCCATGTATATAAGTTGCGTGGGCCAGCAGTGCCATAAGCATTACTTGACTAGTATAGGCGGGCGAAATCATGAACTTAAAAACGTCAGGTCAAAATTGTCGATAATGCACGCGTGTCGGACCTTCAATTGTTGGAAGCTCGCACAAAAGTATATCTAGTTGCGATGCAGAAAAGATGGCCGCGCTTTCCAGAAAGTATGTCTGGTCGAATCTACAATGAATCACATGCGCGGCCGGATGCATATGCACCTTATGCGCGCGCCGCCTTTCCAAGCAGTTCTAATCATCCATTGAACCGCGGGTGCAGTCTGCATATGGCCGCTTTTTATACCAACTATGGTACAGAATTCGAGCGAGATCCTTGCTCTGTATATCACTCACTTGATATGATCATGCAAGTTTCGTTATTCGACATACATCATCGTCGCATCATCCGGCAGCCCTCTTTGACTCTGCAAGCCCCTACCCGCTGAGGCATCATCTAAACAAATCGCTCTCCAGTACCTCTTCAACCTAAAGCTCGCACTCGTGCCAGGTGGGCTACTCCTCAAAGATGGCTGTTGGGTTCGATAGGTCCATGGTGTACAGCGAATGTCCACCATCCACGGGGATGGTCACACCGACGATGTACTGTGACGCTTTCTCGCTCACGAGGAGCAGGAGGACGCCCATCATGTCCTTCTCCGTGTCTCCGTACCTGTGATTTAAGATGGTAATAGAACATTGAGAACATGCATAGAAGCGGGGCAGGTTCAACCGTCATGACAAGGCGGCCTTTCACTTGACAGACTCGAGAGCTTGCAGGTAGGTTTGTATTCATATTAACATGCTCGCGTTTGTGACTTCAGCAAGATCACAGTCTCCCAAATCAACGTCCAGGCCTCCAAGCATCGAAAGTTGCGAAATTAAACCCTGTCCTGGTCGAGGAGAGGACGAGGGTCAAATCCGACGGAACAATCGGACGGCTGTCAAACAAGCGCTTTGCACGAGGGAAAGATTCTTCAATGGGCTCCCTGCAGATCCTTTGCTTACACGCGTGGATGACGTCAGGGGCCCTTTCGGCAGAATACAAACTACGAAGATAGCATTCTGCAGTGTCCCTTCTCCATTCGATTCGAATATGATGGGAAAGGGGAGGGGGATAACCAATCACGACGAGAATTCGATCCGATCAACATATAAATGAATCGAGTAGCTTCAAGGATGCTCCAAAGGATGTGGCCGACTGGTTGTGCGATCAAAACACGGATATGGAAAGCAGAAGCAGCCCTGCAGAACGTTGAAAAGGAACTACGTACCGCCCAAGGAATGTCAACAGGAAAGTCCAAGCTCTTCCTGAGAAATGATTTGAGCGATAAAATGAACAGTTTTGAGCAATGACAATCAATCGACAAAAGTTGACTCCAAAGACAAGGAAAAAGAAATATATGTGACTGAATCCAAATATGGAGTTAGTGATTTGGAAACCGACCTGCGCGCAGGGAGTGCCTTCTGGACTTGCTTGGCTTGTTCGCTCTCAGTAAATGGGCTCGACATTTCTGACGGGAAGACGCCGGGCGCGATGCTGTTCACATTGATGCCCTTGGGAGCTAGCTCGACCGCCATCGCCCTTCAGACGCAATCACGAACTTTGCTGATGTCAGCGAAGGCGTCAGACGTAAGGGAAAAGCAGAAGCAGGTAAGTCTGCCTTTCAACGACGAAGCTTCGGCAGGGCCGTTCCACTTCGTTATATGTATATCAGAATCGAAACAGATTTCAGTCAGGCACCGGATAATCTCTGGAGAATGCTTTACCGGAGGCTTTTCTCCTGTCCTTTCAAACTAGTGCTGCAAACCTCTGCCCGGCGGAAAGGTAGAAGCAGTCCAAGTTGCTTTGAGCCAGGACGGGATCGAGGAGAATCATATAGAGCTTCCAGGCGAAGAGTAGGAAGACTCACAACTTTTGAAGGCAGGAATCCTCCGACAGTGCCACGAAATAGTAATGGACCACGCAGGATGAAGTCTCGTATATGAGCTCACTGAGAAGCGAAGCGCACAAGCCATCGCTTCTAACCCACCTGATCCGTTTCAAAAAGCACTGAGTTCGAAACTCCGCTAACCCACCTCATCATTATTCAAAGCGATGAAAGCGCAACCTCAGATTGTTGTGTCCGACCTGGTTTAGCTGAATTAACCCAGCCAACAGAACCGCTGACCCACCTGGTTAGCTGGATAATCGCGGCCTTGGAAGCAGAGTAGATGGCGTACCCAACTGTGACCATCTCCGCCCCAGCAATCGAGCTCGTGTTTACGATTCTGCCCGTAACATCATGATCGACCATCAGCTTAGCCACGGCTTGAGCGGTGAAGTAGAGACCGCGCACGTTGGTGTTGAAAATTTTGTCGAACGTCTCTTGCCGGTCATTGAGAAGGCCCTCCCCACCGGCGGTCCCTGCGTTGTTCACCTGGAGAGTGGAGACACACTTTCGGGCAAATCGAGTTTCGTATGGCACTTTTCACTGGGCGCATTGCAATCGCAAGTCATTGACAAGCTTGCGAGAGCTGTGGGGCTGACCAAACCTCGTGAGAGGCGCCCATCAACAGCTGGAACGACCGAGATGTCCATCTGGAAAGACGGACGAGGTTATTCTCGAGAAACTCATCTCGTGCAACGACTGAGGTGCTATCTGTCCAGATGCAGCTTGTGGAAGCGCCTTTTGAGTACACTCAGCGGACTCGAAACGAATCAGGACACTGCCGGCCGTCTGAGCTAGAAACAGGTGTTCCGCTTCTATCTCCCTACAAGCAGCATATATTTTGTAAAGGGATGAAGCGGGCAGAACGTTCGTCGGTTCAGAGGGTGAGGTCTATTGCTTTCCGCATCGGTGCCTTTACGTTTCCTTCCTTACCAGAATATCCAGCTTTCCAAAGGCTGCCCAGGCTTCGTCCACACTCCTCTTGATCGATTCCTGGTCCGCCGACACATCCAGCTCGACTGCCTTTGCCTTGCCGCCCGCCTTTTCAATCTCCTGCACACGGAGTAGATCTCAACGTCATGCACCGGACCCGCAGGAAAGGAGAGTAGTCAGGAAGGTCGAGTGAAGCAGTACCTTGAATCCAGATAAAGTACTGACTCTGATTGAAGGAAAGTTTGAGAGACATACAGATTCCAAAGAATCTTGACTGCAATCTTCTCGGTCTCTTTCCTACAAATTTTCTAATTTGTGGATGGTGGTTCAATACACGCTGATGGGATGTAGTTGCAAAAGGTCCAGTTCCATTGCTTGACTCGTGTTTACTTTGATCGAAGATAGTCCTGTACGTGTCAGCCTTGCAGAAATCTAAAACTGGCAGCGGTCGGCTTCCGTGAAACCGGTGTGAAATATCATCTCTCAGTCACCTCCTACTCTCATGCTCCAAGCGCACAAGGGCGTAATAAAACCAAATGAACCCAATTGAAACCCCTAGAAAGGAACGATTCCTGACCTTCACAACATCTTGCAAAATGTACAAGGGCGCCCGGAAAGTAACCTTAATTGGAGCCGATTAAAAGGAATGATTTCTAACCTGAACAAGGTCTTGCAGCTTGTCCTTCCGGCGAGCTGCCACCACCACCGATGCCCCTTGTGACGCCAGAAATACGGAGAAGCGGGACCCGATGCCCGACGATGCCCCTGTAACCAGGGCCGTCTTGCCCTCGATTGAGAAGAGATCCTTGTAGTCGGGGGGAGCCATGCTGACGTTGCAAACGACGCCTGATTGTTGGAGGTATCCAAGGCAGCTTTGCTGTGACAGCCCAAGACTATTCCTGATTAAAAGACTTCCTGCTTTGCTGAACCCTTCGAGCAACTATTCCTGGTGGAAAAACTTTCTTGGTTTGCTGAACCTCCGAGCAATGATAAGTCAACTGCATGCCCAGCAAAGCAGCACTGTGGAGCCACGGACTGAGCATCATGGGCTCGAGGATCGGCCAATGTCAACTGTACTGAACAATAGCTTGAAAGGACTTGAGGTTGACATACCCCAACTTGACGAAGGCATGCAGGCACGTTCAGGAAGGGCTCACGGAGAAGCGCTGTACTGCTTTGTACCTCCGTGGATCGGCAGAATGCTCCAAATGCAGCGCCGATAAGGATGACTTAGTATACGGACTGCATGAGGAGTCTTCCGTGCATTGACAATGATTGGCGTTGAGGACGTTTCCGACGAAGTAGATGGTTTGGTCAAATGCTGGTGCGACGGTCGCCACTCGCGCCGCAGTGCAGTGCGTCGATCGGCTGTGGTCCAGCTCTGCAGCGGGGGGCTTAGAACCGGCATGCAAAACAAGCTGCGAGTCTATATAATTTAAGTAAACCACCATGCTGAGCCGTTCATACATCATAGTACTATGCATGTGCCGTAAAGGAACTAAGAGATTTGGCCAGAGATGGTATCAACAATGATGAGGGCCAGGCGAGGGCCAGTCGAAGGGCTTAATCTCTCTTACTTTCTGACAGAGTGACCACGGTCAATGATGCTAGCAAAACCCAACATATTCGTGTGGTATATCCTCATTGAAAAAGAGCAGAAGCGCCATCCGCTGAGAAAATATCGGAAATATCAGTCCGTAACATTTTGCTGCACTTTACTGCACTGCGGTGTTTATATGATACACTCTCCTCATTAGTAAAGTACATGTACATCATGTGTAGTACACAAGATCTGCTTCCTAGCAACTAAAATCGTTGTTGCATCTCGACTCTTTTCTGACGTTCTCAAGCTGCTAACTCACTTCCGCATTATCTGGACGAGAGTACTTTCTTATCACCGTGTTCTAAGCCCTGCGTCAAAATCTATTCCTCAAAGATGGCCGTTGGGTTCGACAGGCTCATTGTGTACAGCGAATGTCCGCCGTCCACGGGGATGGTCACACCGACGATGTACTGTGACGCTTTCTCGCTCACGAGGAGCAGGAGGACGCCCATCATGTCCGTCTCCGTGTCTCCGTACCTGGAGGAAAAGAAACGTAACAGGCATTCAGAGATTGAAGAACAGCGAGGAGAGAAGCGGACTCATTTTCTCCGATAAGTGCAGGGCTACTTTCGGATAACCGGTGCGCGTAACTTGCAGTAGACTTCGACCAGCCACCAGAAAGTCGGACTCATAATTCCTGTTTTTTCGAACCGCCATTAGTTGAATGAATGGGGCCATGTTGACATCCGCGACAAAATACTTCGCCCAGAATTGGTCAAAAAGTGGGTCCGTTCAACGAACCACCTGATGCTCTGAAAGGTCAGAACCCAAAAAACGGGTCGGTGTCCTAGTTCCCAACATCTTCCGACCCTGATACCGCCTGAAATGACCTTTAAAATCTGGTCAAGAAGTTCGAAACTCTGCTAGCAGCGTGACGTAAGACAATCTCAAGTGACCGCAGCGGCTGAGGACCCAAGTGGCCAGCAAAACGCCAGGAATTGCGTCCGACCTGGCGCTGATGTAGATCCCAACAAGCAATTGAAGCAGCTGACTCCTTACGACGTCAGCAACATTGGAATCTTACAAGACGGTCTAGAAAGCCACCCAGTCATAGGCTCATTCAATCGTCTCCTGCTTTGAAAAATAGGAACCAGATCAAAGCTGACGGATAAATCAGACGGCCATTTTAAAAGCCGAACGCTTCTAAGGACTTTCTCTGCTGGGCTCTCTTGTCCTTGCCCTGACAACATCTAGGGCCCTTCGACCTGAGCGACGAGTGCGCGAAGGTCTTCTGCACTGTTCTCTTCGCCCTCTCAGCCATGAGCGACGAGAAGTCAGAAGCAAACGTGACACCGAAGGTGTCGCTTCAACTACGCGGAAGAATGCTTCGATAGGCAAAGGCGAATAATAGAGAGTATTGCTCGTCCTTACAAAAACGGATTGCGAAAGGGAGAACATTCTGCAATGGGAAAAACGAGCAGCACGCCGAAACAAGCAGCATGAGCGGCACGAAACCACAGACCTTGTTAAAAGCGCAGGGAAACTTTTGCTTCCTAAAGAAAAATGTCTAGAACTTCTCACGAGGAACACGGGATTCAACCAGGTTGAAGTTGGATCGAGCGGAAGTTACACCAACCTGCGCGCAGGAATTGCCCTTTGGACTTGCTTGGCGCTTTCGCTCCCGACCACTTCGCTCGTCATCTCCGACGGGAAGACGCCGGGCGCGATGCTGTTCACGTTGATGCCCTTGGGGGCCAGCTCGACCGCCATCGCCCTGCAGACGTAATTGAAGGCTTTGCTCACGTCAGCAAAGACGTCAAACGTGAGAAAAAGCACACACCGGGCGATTCTTCCACGATCTCGAATCGCAATGGCTCTGCAGAAGTCAGCAGAAGCTTTGTCGTTGAACAGAACGGGAAATCGCCCAACTTCAAGCCAAACCGTCGAAGAGACCTCTAAAGTGCACGAGACTCGCCTCACATCAAAGAACAAGCTGAACATGTAAGAACCAAGAAGCGGCTTGGGAGTAAAAGCGCGAGACATGCTTCGAAAGGGAGCGCGCAGAATTGGAGCGACAGCCAGGCTAGACCTACGAGCAGGTGTCTTTGCCCCTAAAAGATGTATAAAAGGCTTCTGAACATAATCTACGCTTGCAAAAGCTGAACTTGACAACGGACAGCTGGACCTCCCTTCGACGATCCCATCAAGACCAGAGGAACGCTTGAACGCCAATCGGCAAGATCAAGTCTGACGTCCCGCCATCCTGTGCACAGTGAAAAAGAAAGCACAGAACCCTCTTCATCAAGCGTCCTGAATTCCGCAAACCCACCTGGTCATTCTGACATTACCCCACCTGGTTATCTTATCAATAAACTGAATGTCAACTTTAAACACCGCTAACCCACCTGGCAAACTCGAGAAGCAGAGAAGAATTGCGTCAGAATTTGCTGACCCTTCTGACTAACTGGAAGGTGGCACACAGGACGCCCAGCTTTTAGAGGCGCTGACCCACCTGGTTAGCTGGATAACCGCGGCCTTGGAGGCTGCGTAGATGGCATGCCCGACTTGGATCACCTCCCCCCCCGCGATCGAGCTCGTGTTTACGATTCTGCCCGAGATGTCGTGGTCGACCATCAGCTTGGCGACGGCTTGGGCCGTGAAGTAGAGGCCGCGCACGTTGGTGTGGAAAATTGCGTCGAACTTCTCTTGGCTGTCCTTGAGGATGCCCTCGCCGCCACCGTACCCCGCATTGTTTACCTGAAAAGTGAGCAGGCGCAAATCCAATCGATCACGATCAACAGAATCGGCTGAGCGACTGATTCTCCATTTCAACAAATAAAGGAATCCATTCTAAAGCGAGTGCCGGTTTGTGCGACGATGGAAAGTAAGAGTGCTGATTCTCTGGACCAATCCACATTGTCCGGTTCATCTTTCTGAGTAGGTATCCAAAGACACTGTACAGCGATGTTGGAATAGAATCTTCGAACTGAGGGAGGGACTGAAGGGCAAAAAGATGCTAGAACTTTGAGGTATGGCAGTATGTCTTTCAAGCACGCATAGTATGTTCATCGATTGGATGAAAGGCTGGGGTCCATCTCTACAGGAACACGACAATTCCTTGACGATTCTGACCAGCCCGAAAGGGTGGAACACAAAGACGGATTGGTATTAGCGGAACGGAGATACAGCTGAACACCCATTGTCTCAGATTGGCAGCCAATCTCGACTGGGAACTAGCATCAAATCAGGAAAAGTTTCTCTTCATGATCGCCCGATTCCCCTTCCTTACCAAAATGTCCAGCTTGCCGAAGGCTGCCCAGGCGTCGTCTACGCTCCTCTTGATTGATTCTTGGTCTGCTGACACATCCAGCTCGACAGCCTTCGCCTTGCCGCCGGACTTTTCAATCTCCTGCAATAGTAAGTGAGTTTTGATGAGCATGCATTGGGCCCCACAGGAAAGGGAAGCAATGAAAGGGTACAATCAAAGCAACAGCTTTGCAGCCAGGAAAAGCACCCACTCTGACTCATGAAGAACTGAATAGACTTCTGGAAGAAAAGCATTGACTTGGTGGGATTTTTGCTGATCAAAAGGCAATATCGACTTCCCTGATAAACATTCTGTGTTGAAAACCATCCTGAACTATCAAACATCTTCCCTTCTGCTTTCAACGGGAGGACAATTTTGAGCTCTTCAAGTTTGTTATTCCCCCACCACCTATCAGACAGCAGTCTGATCGGATTGGGTATGGCAGAGTTCCTGAACATGCGAGTGCAGCCTCTGGATTGCTTCCGTGATGTCTTTTCCCCTATTCTTAGAAGTAACTGGATGCGTGTTGGTTGGCACGAACCTTTACTTGTGTGGTTCCATGTCCCCCTTCACATGAGAAATTCACACATCCATACATATCCTGCATGTCTGGCTTTTGCGACACCCATATTCCACAGCAATTGCCTTTGACACACCTGGTTCAAAATGCAATCCTCTGTCAGCATTACGCTGTCATGCCCCAAGTATGCAAAAAGAAGAATGATAAGACAGGCCATAACTGGGGACTGAAAACATATAGAAACAGATAGATTGTAGTCCCGACCAGCACAAGATCTTGCAGCTTGTCCTTCCGGCGGGCTGCCACCACCACCGATGCCCCTTGCGATGCCAGGAACACAGAGAAGCGGGACCCGATTCCCGATGACGCCCCCGTCACCAGGGCGGTCTTGCCCTTGATCGAGAACAAGTCTTTGTAGTCCGGGGGAGCCATGTTGCTGACGTTGCAATCGGCGCCTGTTTAGGTAGAACTTTACAGCAAGTCAGCTGTAACAGCCTGCAATTTCGCTCTGGTGAGCTGCAAAATGTGGGAGGCATTTCCGGTGTTGCTGTGGCGTCCAGCCCAGCCCTGCAGGGCAGCAAGCTGGGGGCCATCATAGTGGCATGCAGCCTTCATGCAGCGTTCTAGGAGGGGGTGGAGAAGTCAATGCCATCATGCATGTCTGCCTCGTGGAAGAGAAATGCAGGGAGGTTTTTCCCTCAGCAACCTTCACTTTGACACAGCAAACCAGGGGTTATGAGCTTGACCAATGAAAAACAGGCGGGTTACACCGATAATGGTCAAAGTTGCCCGACAAGCAGGCGGCCGCCGGACCGGCGGTTGTCTAGACTACACAATATATTATTTGGAGGCCGCGAGCTACCGGTCCACCAGACACTGAACGATAACGGAGGTGACTTGGAGAGGAGGCAAAGCTGTAACCAGGGTGCCTGTGTGATTTCGGTTACTGATCTAACCAGGCACTGGCAGCTTTCAAAACTCAGGCAGCCGCAGTGGACATTGCGCTTCTCAGAGTCCCACTGCCAGCCCACACTTTATATACACTGCAAAGCTCGCACTGGTTGCATAAGCATGAAAGGGCTGAAGGACGCTTGAATTCAGGGTAGATTTGTAGACGACTTTGTTGCCCAGATTGAAAGGTAAATGTGGGATTCAGGCGCCAAGCTTGTCCAGAGTGGCTGTCAACCGACGAGCATCTGGGTGCGGGCCGCAAAAGAAGTTGCAGTGCCTTGATATTAGCAGAAGTGATAGCTCGCCGGTGTCATGGAGTGTGTGTGAAACGCGAATCTGGCGATTTGAGCTCCGGTTAATGAGGGCGTTTTCAAGGGTTGCCCTTCGTCCAGCTCTTCACGCTCTTCAATCCACCATTGGTGCCCAGCACATTGGCAGAAACCCTCTCAACCCGAGCAGGTTCAAGTTTCCAAACCTCTCCCAGTCCCTCTGGAGCAACCACAAGCGCTGCCTTCACATTGCAACTAGAATGAGCGGACGCGAGACGAACATGGAGGACGAAGTTCCCGCTGCCGACAAGGCCGAGAGTTTCATAATGAAGAGCAAACAATCGGAGGTAGGGGTGAAGATAGCGATCGCTCCCGTAGATAGTGACGGCGCAGTTGCCACCGCACCCGTGCTTGGCCCCGGAATTCTGCATGGCGCAATTTCGGGAGGAGTGCACAATGAGCGGCGGAAGATCACGCACATTCTGTTTGACATGGACGGGCTGCTGCTCGGTGAGTAGCGTTCCGCACCTAGTTTGCGGACTTGGAAATGTAAACCCTGGCTATTTGACTGGCAGGGAGCTTTGTGAACCAGTTTGTGAAAGTCTGGTAGACACCACTGTGACGCACTTCTTTCAGAAGTCAAAGTTTGCCAGAGCAATTGAACGTGTGCGATCAATTTCCCTAATGCCCCACTTTGAAAGGAGCCATGAATCGTGCTCCGCTGCAATGTTTCCAGCAAGATTCTGTAGGGGACATCATGGGCTTCTTTCCGCTGACAATAAATCACAGTCAGGTGACAATTCAACAAGCCACGCATGATCTGCTTCCACTTGCCCTCCGTTCTTTATTCAGTGACTCTTGCAGCTCAATGATTGTTGATCCACTTCATCTTGGACTAGTCTCCAGTCTCCTAATGGACTTTTTCATTTCTCCAGACACGGAGCGCTTCTACACCATTGTGCAAGTCGAGATTCTGAAGCGGTTCGGCAAGACCTTTGACTGGGCGCTCAAGTCAAAGATGATTGGCAAGCCCGCGCTCGATGCCGCAAAGATCTTCATTGATGAAACGGGCCTGCAAGACGAGCTGGCGCCAGAGGGGTTTCTGGAGGAAAGGGAGGAGATGCTGGCCAAGTTGTTCCCGGACGCTAACCTGCTGCCAGGTGTCGACAGGATGGTTCGCCACTTGGCGGCCAAGCGGGTGCCCATGGCTGTGGCAACCAGGTAAGAGCTGAGGGGCTCATTCATTCAAGAGGTTTGACGCAGGTGCAAAGAAATTGCGTCCTTGGAACAGTAAGGAGAGGTCTTAGGTTAGGCTTTGAAATGGCAGCTTTTCGTATTTCTTTTTTTCTTGGCAGACGATTCTATCTTCGTTATTGAGCAAATGTAATTTGCTCCTTGAAGAGTCCTTATCAGTTCCAAGTATGTACGTTTGCCAGTCCCTATTTCGGCTGTTTGATAATGAATACTGGGAGGTCGATTTATCAAACACTCAGTCGCTCTATAAGCAAAAGCAGCGGAAGACTGAACGGCCCCCAGCCAACGCCATTTTCAAGAAGTCGTCAGTTAACTTGGGCTGGCAACAGATTCGCTTGTTATATGTGACAGAGCGATTTTAACTATGGTCGTCGAGTGTGTCACTTTCAAAGCAAAGCCAAATGGCAAGTGTGCCAAAATCCTGTGTTTTGAGTCTCCATCACCTCCGCTCGCAATGACGTTAGTAGGGAAGCGTTCGTTGCAATTTGCCTCTCGAAACCCTTGGGCCCGAAGCGAAGTTAAGTTTTTCACGTTTTGCTTTGGTTCTTCCGCATGTAAATGGCTAGAACGACAAATATCAGTAGGCTACCTTAAAAAGCCGACTTGATTGAAAATGATTGACCGTGTCACTTTCAAGAGACTGAGTTACGAAGCTCAACATCCTCAAGCAGCTCTTGCATGCCTTCGGATTCGCGTGCTGGAAAGTACAAGCTTCGAGCAGATGTGAGTAGTTTTGATAAGTTTCGTGAAACTGACCGAATCAAATCTTCGCACTCCGCAGCTCCCACCGTCGCCACTACGAGTTGAAGACCACCCGGCACAAAGACTTCTTCAAGCTCTTCCACCACGTCATCACTGGGGACGACCCGGCAGTAAAGAAGGGCAAGCCCGCTCCCGACATCTTCGAAGCGGCCGCCTCTAGATTCGACGTGAGGCTCCTCCATCGCTAGCTTGCAATCCGGCTTCTCCTAATTCGAGTTTCACGAACTAAAGTCCGCATGATGTGTCAGGTGTCCCGTTGCAACCTGGGATGTGGAAAACGGTTTGCAATCGGAACGTGCTGAGGTCGATCATGTCACGAAGTCGTGTGAGAGGCAGAGATGTTTCTCGACTCATAATCTGACCTAGCCTTGGAGCGCTGCTATGGGTTGGGCAGCCAACGGAAGTGTCCGTTAACAAAGAGCTCGACCATTTCGCGCCTTAGAGACTCGTTCGTTGGTTTGAAGCCCGAGTTTTGAAAGACGTCTGATCGCCCGAGCTTTGACAACCACCTGAGATGTTCTCCTCTTGCTGCAGCCCCCTGCCCCGGCACCCGAGTACGTCCTTGTCTTCGAAGACGCACCTAGCGGAGTGAGGGCAGCACGAGCCGCGGAAATGTGAGTCCTTCAGAAGTTTTCTTGCTGCGGGGGGTATGTTCTGAGCATGAATCAGCCCCATGCGGCGGAGTAGATCAGCGGAAGCAACGGCTTTGCAAGTCCATCGCAAATTGTGTGCTTATTACATCGCCTGCTCGGAGGACGCTCTCCAATTGAAAGTGGCCGCGGACGAAGAAGCGTAAGGAACACTGGCCATCTTGAGTACCGAGTTAGACGCGGTTTCTCGATCAGTGGATTCGGAACGTCTTTCACAAGGTGACGAGGCATCTTCGGTGCAAGGGTGATGCAAGCCTGTCCTCTAGACAAGTCTAAAACGAAAGTACCCGATCTGAAGATGAGCATGCAATCGCCACCTCTTACCGCGACATACACAGATCTTTTGTGCAGTGTCGGCCCCCTGCCTCTAAGGCGATCCCAGGCATTCAGCTCGCTCATTGATTGGGAGTGGTATAAGAAGAAGAACGAAAATACAAAGCAGTAAACCGGAGCCGTTGGCAACTCCGAGAGATTGAATCTACTCAAAGAATGATGGCAGGTGTTCTCGTGTATTATGGTCGCCCTGTCCATAACGTCCGCGCTTGTCCGCAGGTCGGTCGTCATGGTTCCGGACGAGAACCTGGACGCCAGCCTGCACCACGGCGCGCACCAGGTGTTGAAGTCGTTGGACGAGTTCCAGCCGCACGAGTGGGGCCTGCCACCGTACGATGAAGAGGACGGACACGTGTACGAATCGGAAACCTCAATTCCTTAGCGCATAAAAATGGAGACCGGTAACTTAGACTGGTGCTTGGGCTGGCCAAGACTCCAGCACCTTTGATCAGATAGGCAGCAAGGACTTCCACTAGAGACTCCAAGGCTCGCTCAACCAAAGGTCCTCCGTTGTTGCTTTATGAGATAGCTACCTAGAAGAGACGATATGTATCAAACAAAGAGTCCTTTCAGAAGAGGACATATGGCGATTAGGCAGGATATTATCTGAGGGATTCTGCAGGGTTCTGAGTGCGACGTACGGGGGGATGTAGATTCTCTAGGGGCGGGATGGCAGCCTCACAAGCGTCCGATCAAAACTTGAGTCGGCAATCCTTGACCCAGCATCGCCCTTATCAGGATGGTCTAGATTGTGTAGAGTCATGACCAGGCACTTTCAAGTTTCAGTAAACGCTTCTGCACACACGTTCAGAAGTTGTTGCAACAGATCGTACTAAGTTAGGCACACACACGCCGCGCGCCAGAGCCTTTTATTGTATTTAAATCCCAGCTTGGTGAAATCTCGCATCAACATGTGGAAGGTCCTCCCGCATATCATGCAATTGATGGTTGAGCAAGCCCCGCGCATGACCTTCTGACCCGGCAAAGCTTGTTGTGAGTCCACAATTATCAGTTGGCGGAAGCTCAAGAATCAGTGAAGCCTGCAATATCACTGAGCATGAGAGCTCTAGCTAGCTCGCGCTTGCATGACATGCATACTGCAGGGAACAGCACGCATACACGACAGTGTGCGTACCGCGCCTTGATGGGCGCTCCTGTCCAAGTAGAAGCCTGAGCAATCCGATGCACATGAGCCCTCAAGTGCATGACATAGCGGGCATGCATACCTCAAGCACGTACAAGTTTGCACCTTGCCGCCCATGTTGCGAGACTGTGTCATACCTCCAGTTCGCAATGGTCACTTCCGGACATAACATCATGGCTTGTGTGCAAACTGAGGTTGACTAACATGCACACACATGCGTTGACTGTTGCACTAGATTGCATCCTCTCAATCATAGCAACCCCCAGCTCCGGACGCTTGCACTATTTATGAAGTCCTCAACCTGGACACAAGCAGACACATGAGACTACCTACGTCGATCATCTAACTGCTCAAGTTGTTCCTACTCCTCCTCACCTAGTTGTTCTAAATCATAACCTCCATAGGTACCGTCTGCTCGCTAGCAACAGGTCCATGTGGCGTAAAATCTCATTAAAAAGGGACAATGAACCTTCAAAGATGAAAGGTTCCCCGACTTGCGGCTTTGAAGCAAGATAGTGCATCTCAGTCAGCTCTAGATGTAGTTCTTGTAAGCTCAGACACCAGTTCATAATTCCCTGAGAAGGTTAGCATTTGGTTGCATCAGTTTGAGATGGACTGCTTTCAACTTCGGAAAGCTTACCCCATTTTTGGAATACGTGTCGTTGTCGTCAACCAAACACGTTACTACTAATATTGATGTAGAGGGGGTTGTGTCCTCTACTTGTAGCATATTCATCCTCGAACATGCTTTGGCAAGAAGTGGTAAGAATAGACAATTTAAAGGCTAGGGGCAAGGCAGATTTCCAGAAAGACTCAAGTGCTCAAGGAAAAAAGACTCAAATTTTTGAAATTTAGGAAGTTTTCAGCAAGTAGCTTCATTATTACGTCGGGTGGTCGGAGCGCAATGCTCTTTTCGAAAATATCCTCGGCCACTGTGTCATCCACTGCTTACTCAAGCAAGATTGGAGGTTCCTGAACCAAAGGGATAAGATGGAGTGTGATCAACTCATGCCAGAAAGCTTTGCAAGCCCGCTCCGCTGAAGAACGCACCTGAAAAGTGAATCTTTCAAGTTGCAATGCCAAGTTTCCCTGAAAGCTACAACGCTGGCACTCGAAGACGCCGTTTAAGCACAGGGACTCCAGAACTGGACACGCCAAGTGAACCGTCTCCAGATTCGGAGCTCCATCGCGTACTAGCTTCTTTGGATTTGGCAGGTAAAATTCAAAGTTGCAAATTTCCTCTCCATCCTCCAAAGATAGAGACTCTGCTCTGAACCACACAGACAGGTCCTCCAACTTTTGGCGTTCATCTTGCACAAATCCACCACACAGTCATCAAACCAGCTCGCATGTTCCTCGCTGCCACATTCCTTACCAACCTCATCAATCCATACAATTGCAGGTAAAAATGCACTCCATTAAGTCCGCCTCGTAGACAGGCTGCCTGAAAAGCGTGACAATCCTTCCGACACAGCAAAATGACCCGCTCACAGAGGAATTCATCATCAGTATGTCTGCGACACCTTCTGCGCACATGCGCCAGCATACCCAAGGGGCCCCCAAGGGCCTCCAGTTGAATTGCAGACGATGAAAGGGATCGGGTATCTTGTCTTGATGGCGCCGTATTCCTCTAAGACAGGCATGGCTAAAAGAATTGTAGCACCACTTCTTCTGATGGGGAGTCCATCTGCAAGGTGGCAAGGTCTCAAGTTGTGATGATCTTCTCTGGACAAAGCACTGCATGAGGAGAAGGGAGCCCCATACCGGTATGTTGACGACTTTGCAAGGGGAGTGACCCGCCTGCTTGCAGGTCTTCTGGAAGCGCACGGATTATTCATGCAATACGATGGCGCAGCTGCGAGAAATCCGTCCAAGAATTAGAAACCTAGATAGCCGAATTCTCTCGATAAGCCGGCAACCGTCCAGGCTACAATCGTGTCAACAAATGCAGTCATGGGGTCTACCTACTTATTTGGATTTTTCTGCGCGACATATTACCAATTCAACTTGCACGATATCTTCTAGGTTACACCGTGGCATTGCCAGCCCTGAATACGCGAGTTTATGACAGCACTTGCGAGCTTCCAAATCTCCCCCTGTGAGTGTGACCTGTCCCAGTTTCTGTTGGCAATTTGCAGAGCAAGAACCGCAGTGTCTCCATTCTCTTGTCAGAAGCAGGAACTTGAAGCCAGAGGGTGTGCGCTTTTGCGAGCATGGTTCCTCGTGGGGTCAGAGGAGCCAGCTGCTGTGTTTGAGCAAATGAAGGGGTAGTAAATGCAGGTGTCTGACGCCGATTCGACGAGCCCTGCTTTTGATGCACAATCTGGGGGCTACGTAGAGGGTGGAGTCTGCAAACATTCTGGAAGGCACAGTTCAAGAGTTCCCGTCTTGGGTGCTCCACGTGAATGACGCAGGCTCTGCGGGAGTCAGAGGACGCGCTTATACGTCTTTGCAAACGAGCCTTGCGACAGAGATCCCGGTCAGCTTGCATAAAGCCGCCATCTTACGCTCCAGGTCACTGCCCGTTTCCTTACCATAGCCTCCTAGAAGAACGCTTGGCGCCCTTCCGAGCTCTTCTCGATATGTACAAGAATCAGCTTCAGGAACTTGCTCAAAGGAGCTGCTTCAACCTGCCGTCCTATGGGTGCCTTCGAGAGGGGCCTGACCACGCGCCCCGGTTCAAGGCGACTGTCAAGTTCAATAACGAGGTGTTTGAGGGGCCGGGGTTTTGCAGCACGCTCAGACAGGCCGAGCATGCAGTGGCTGAGGTAGCTCTGCAAGAGCTGTCCAAAAGGGGGCCAGCGCAATCCCTCGCCGCAAAGATGCTGGTAAGTATGGCCCCTCAAATAAAGACTCCATGGCTGGTTGATAGCATCAGCTACCGGGATCTGTATTTGCAGGGTTTGAACGGTTGAGGCTGTAGTTCAAAGGTTCAGGAAATTGTTCCAAGATGGCCAGCTTCACAATGCTGGTGGGAGTCTATCTGGAAAGGTGCGTGGTTCGCAGTGTTGTTGAGGCTTTGTACTGACGGAGAAGCTGAGGCTCTGATCGAGAAGTATGATCGATCTTCTGGGGGCAATGTTTGGATAGGGTTGCTGTAAGACTTTCCCTGTTTCAAGGACACTGGGGGCACTGTCCCGAATGTTCTTATTATTTACCGAGCCAAATCAGTAGGGGTTTGATTAGGAGAGGTCTGTTGTACCTATATCTGATTATTTACACGATTACAGAGGAGCGCCGCTTACTCCTGGGACTCCCCCATAACCATCTTCAGTCTGCTTGACAGACAAAAGACTTAAAGCTAGTGTTTGGAGACTGGTTGTTGAGAATCTTCCGCAGCCTGAAAAGCTTGGGCGCTCCCTCGTTCATTTCTATATCTTCCTTGAAATGTTACGTTTGCATCTCCCCTCTCTAGCAAACTTGCAGATGGTGCTCAGAGCTGCAGATGGTGCTAAGAGCATCTCGATTGTCTTGATGTCTGTGCTGGCAGTCTCTTAATCAATGTATCTTGTACGAACATTCTGCGTCACCTCGGCACAAGCATAGAGCCCTCTGTGTGGTGAAGCCCCCATACATCTGCACCAAATACGCACCTGGCATGCTGAGGCTTTTTGCCTTACTTCCTGGCCATGTGGCTGTTCTCACAGGAGTTGCATGCTTCTCAGTTATGTTTCTAAACAAAATGACATGAGCACTTTCCTGCATCTGCCTAAGATTGTCTGGAACATCTTCTGCCTTCTGACTGTCATTTCTGTCCTCAGCCCTAATGTCTGCCGCAAACAAGAAAGCTTTCCTCCCTGTTTACTTGCTTGCAGGCATCTTCTGACGCACGGAAACACCACTGTACTCAAGCTTGTTGTTCTCTTCCATTTGCAGGATGAAACGGGAGTCTGCAAAAACCTGCTCCAGGAGACTACTCAGAAAGCCGGCGTTCCCCTCCCTGTTTACTCCAGCAACCGGACCGGCCCAGGGCACCTCCCTGTGTACATTTGCACTGTGGATGTGGCGGGACGCAGATACAGTGGGCAGAGCGCAAAGACTAAGAAACAGGCAGAAAAGAATGCGGCCGCGGCGGCATGGGCGGCTCTCAAGAGATGTAAGGGCATCCCTGCGCTTCAGAGTTTGTGCTGGGTAACATTGATTTTGACCAAGTGTGGGAGGGTTCCCCGCTCCATACTCAGGGGGCATGTGCAGCATTCGCCCTGTGTCTTGTTCAGATTTAAAAGATGATGAAAGGGCAATCGGATCAAACGCAGGGTTCCACCTTCGGATGTTAGAAGAAGTGCATCAAACTTCTGGCCGAAAAGCCCATCAACAACAGGGCTGTCTGAATGCTGTAGGGAATCATACTTTCTGCCAGTATCTGCAAGGTCGTATAAGCCCCAATCATGTGTTTCTTTCTCTTGCAAGCTAGCACGCAGCATCTGCGACCTCCTACTACAGCACTGCTTTAGTCCGTTGCAGCTACCCTCACAAATACTGCTGAATGGTCCTGTTGCATCACAAACTGACCACCTTTGCCCTGCAATTGCAAGACCTGTACTTTTACCCCTAGTCAGGCCATCTGCCCTTTTTGACTTTTATAGTTGGCACTCTAAAAAGTCAAGGAAACCCGTCTTCTACTTGATGTATCTTTTGCAGTCCAGCACAGATTTGCGGTTGCCTATGATTTCCATCTCAAGTCCTGCTTCCATGGGGTTTGCTCGCAGTACCATTGCTGACAACCCTAATTTGTCCCCCCTCCTTGCAGCTCAAAACGTTGCGGAGAGCGAGTCAGACGAGCTGGCCCAGACTGCGGTGGTAAAGGCCCTCCTCACAGCCCCCCCCGAGGGTGACAGCGAACTTCCATCCACCTCTGCCGAAGGCCCCTTGTTCCAGGAGCAGATAGCGCTCCCGAGGGAGCCCCTGCGCACCAGCAGGCTCTTTGGAGGGGTAACCGGCATGGGGACTTCGTGGCAGAGTGCAGAGTATGGCCTCCCCACAAAGTTATCAGAGCGAGTCAAGGCAGAGGTGGCTGTTGGAACGTCTGGTGCGGAGAGGGCAGAAGAGAATGCTGACGTGGCGGAGGTCAGCAAGGGAGTGGAAAGAGTGGGCCTGCCGCCGGCGCCGGCGCCGTTCAACCTGTTCAGCGCGGTACCGTTCAGGCAGGAATGGATCAGCCCGGCGGAGGCAAAGCAGGCGAAGGCGCCTTCTTCTCCGATGGCGTTGGCGCCGCTTGTGGTACCGAGGGCGCTCCAGGCTGTGTACGCCAAGCCTGAGGAGGGGGACGATGATGACATCAGCGATGACGAGTCTCCAACGGGGAAGGTGTTGGGGGAGTTGAAGAAGAGAGATAGGCCGTTTGGGTAGGGTTGGGACGGTTGGCCAGTCAAAAGAGTTCCTGTGTCCACACACCCCTCCAACGTCAAGCGCGCTCCGATTGCAGCGCGATCATAGGACGGAAGTAGGTTACGAGAGCGGTTAGCGCGAGCTTGCAGCACAGAGCACAGCGCAGCCGGGCCTGGAGGCGCGAAGCTGGGTGATTCTTCGAAGAAATTTTCAGGCGATTGTCGTGGGTGTGTTTCTTGATAGCATCATAGATGCGAAAGTCAGAGTTAGCCTTCTGTTTCAGTGAGTTCTGTCAGTATTCCAGTCATAAAGATATGTCTTGCATACTCCAAGTCCACCGTGTCAACTTAACAACGCTTAACAACGTTCAGGGACACCACATAGTTTGATCATTTATTGTATACCAAAGTATACAGCTTTGGGGATTGAACCCTGCTTACACTTCCTTAGTATTTTTTAACAGAAGTTTCCAATGTGGAACACTTTTCTGGTTGGTGGCCAATGCTTCCTCTTAGCTAGTTGAAAGCATCGCACTTTCTACTTGCTAAACTAATCTATTCCAAGATGCGTGCATGCATGCATACTAATGCGGGCATGTGCATCATTGCTAGAACCGTGTTCGATTCATTGAAACAACCATGCATTGCAATCAGTCGTGTGACAGACTATATATGAGTTATGCAAAGCTTCTGCAGCCTTGATTGTTAGCACCATATTATAGCAGGTAATCTGCCGCCACATATGCACATGTCAGTGTTTAGTAATGCTCGCAATGCATGACTCCGATTTCAATGCAACAATTTGACATCACTGCATAATGGCAACATCTTCCATGCAGCGGCGTCATGCCGCCCTGTGTCTTGCCCGTGAAAGAGGGGCTATAGATTCTTTGTGCCGACGCGTACGGTGCACTGAGCTACATCATGTTCGACTCGTATGTCACTGCACACGTGCCTCACGGTGTGTGACGGTATAATAGTACCAGCTCATATGGGTGTATGTTTTCATGCTCGTGTCAGCAATCTTCCGTGCGCAGCGCCCCAAGTATTGAACCTAGTGCGTCCTGCCCGTGCACAATCATGGCCCTAGCATGCAACAGGTTGTTACGCCGTTAACAAACGCAAGTCAGTTGGATATGCGCAGGGCCACCATATATTTCGTGCCTAGGATTCTCCTACATGAATACCCATCAGTCAATCCTTTTCCCATGCATGTTTTGTATGCTTGCTCCAATCACATGACGGGTTACCTCACAAATCCTAAGCTAGACCTGCTGCTTCCGAGTAGATCTTTCACATACTCGCGGCTCAAGAGCTCAGCAGCAGCTGAGCAAAAGCCATGGCACTGAAATCGGCCGTCGGGCACAGAGCTGCAGTATATGCACGCACAGTAAAGGAATCCACTACGCAAAATTTCAATGGCAGCTAGAATGTGGATCCCCCCTTGGTAGGCTATATGAATCCTATGATCGCCACTGTCACGAGAGGTCTCGCGGCTCTTATGTGAGAGGCGAAGTTCAATCCTCTGGCTGGGAACAGCGCTGAGTCACCAAAAGCCGCTACATTTTGGCATCTTGAAAAACTTTTCCTTTTTCGCCGGTACTTTCGCCGGTACGGACCTACGGAAGGTCTCTCAACACCGCTTCTTCGCCTGGGATGTTGAGGACAAGGCTCGAGCCGAACGCTGACGCCGGGGTCTGGAAAGCGAAGCAGCAGGTCTGAGCATCTTGTGCAAACGCTCCACAGCGGGTTTGTCGCAGCAACTCGAGCAACACTTACATACACAGAGAGTTGCGTAGAGAACAGATCACAGAAGGGAAAAATTGCATAACGGCTTTCGAGCTAACGGAAACGAAAGAGGTGTGCTCGTACACTTGCAACCCTGCGAGGACCTCTAAGCGGAACAGTGCTCTGGAGACTCATTTTCCGTTTCAAAAGTCATGCCCACCTGAAAGCCCGGCTTCACTTGCCCGTCGAGCACTCTCCGCGCCACCTCGCAGGCGGAACTGGCAGTAAAGCCATACCCTGTGCGGACAGAACCGTCAAATCAGGAGTAAAGTGCAAGGCACCAGTCTAGTTTTTCAAGTGCAGCACTTTGAAGACGAGAGAAGCAATCACGTGGATGACGAGAGCGCCTGGCATCGGCAAGCAGAAACATTCAGGGCTCGGCGGGTGAAAGCGTTGGAACTGAAGTCGATGATAGCTTCCCCGAGCTGTCTTGCGTTTAATCTCTACTTCATTTCTGGTTCGAGAACGCACCGCAAGCAGCAAATGCGGCCGAGGACATCCCTTGCGCCTCTCATTGGCTCTGGCAACAGCGAAACTAGAAGAAGCACTATATAAGTAGCTTTTCACGTACTGGTGAGCTCTTTCGAGGCGTCAGCATACTTTCCCGTCACCAAGCGTAGGGATATCCCAGCCCATCTTCGTGATCGCTCTAAAATACCCCAGAAATCACTCCCCCGAGATCGACCAACGGAAATAACGGCGGTACTTTCAGAACTGGGTCAAGGAAAGCAGCAATCCTGGGACCAAGTTCAGGACTGTTGTAGAGAGTGATGACGAGGCGCTGGTTCAGAAGAGGCTCTCACCCTCGTTGACCTGTATGGAGGCGCGCGCAGAGCGGCCCGTCTTCTCGTCCCTCACTTCCGCCGCTCCCAGCATCTTGGAAGCTTTCGCCTTCTCCTGCACAGACGACAGCGAGTCGGATCAGAAGGAGCCAGGAACGAGCGCAAGGCGGTAAGGAAGAGCCGAAACCTTCCAAATATCACGGGTCAAGCGGCGACTCATCCAAAATGGGTCGGTTGAAATGGTTTGCTATTCACTCTCGAGGGGTTCATTGGACCCCCCAAACATGAATCAGATAAGCAGACAAAATGCTCCACGTGTGTGAAGCTCCAATCGCATGTTTGCCCCTGTCTTGCATGACAATAAGCGAAAGGGGAAACATTCGCAGGCACAACGTTGCTGTTCCTTCTCTTTCCTCCTCGTTCGACTTTTGTCGCTCCGCGGAGGCAAGGCTGCAGGTCGGAAGCTTTTCGGTCGTTCTATCTCCGTCGTTCGACTTCCCTCCAGGCCCCGACTCTTGGCAAAGTTGATCAATCAAAGGCCTGGGATTGCTCGCGTCTCACCGTGCTCGGGGTCCGGCAGTGCACGAACGCTGCGCTTGATTAATTCACCAAGACAAACTTTTTCTGTACCCTTCCCCCCCTGATTCTCTATATTGTCACGGTTGTCTGACCACAAGGGCTTCAGCAAAACGGACCGACAGCCTGAAACCGCTTCACTTCTTACCGTGCTGAACTCCGGCACGAAGGACGCGTGATCTTTCCACTAAGAAAACAGTCCCTTTTCTTTCTTATTGTTAAAACTGTCCGACCACAAGCAGTTCACTAAGACGGACCCGTCGACAGCCTGGTCGCTTACCGTGCTTGGCTCCGGCAGTGAACGGATGCTGCGCGTGATGAGCGCGCGTAGCGGCCAGGAGCTCACGACGCCGGGGCCCAGCAGGCTCAGCATATATGCGGGCCAGGCAGCGGACTTGCTACCTGCACCGGAAAAGGGAACGGAAGTGAGCGGACCGGAACGGATCGCATCTGGTCAACGCGTGCATAACGGCCAAAAGTTGACGACGCTATGAAAAAGTAGGCCCAGCATGTACGGGGGCCAGGCAGCGGACTTGCTACATGCGCCGGAAAACTTAACGTGACTGAGCGGAACGGATCGCATTTGGTCAACGCATTCGTGGCGGCCAGGCGCTGACGACGTCAAGGGTCAGCAGGCTCAGCATGATAGGGGGACAGGCAGCAGACTTGCTACCAGAACCGGAAAACGGAACGCAAGTGAGCGGGAAGGATCGCATCTCGTGACAGCGCCGTCTACAGATTTGTTGACCGGAACGGACGAGATCGGGTTGCCCAAAGAAACGAGCTACCTCTTGACCCGCTGTGTTCCAGTAGAAGAAACTTCCCGCCGCAAAATCGTGACGCCAAAGTGACCACTTGAACCTTTCTACGAAAACGCCAAGGCAGCTGCCAAGATAGCCTCCCAGATTGACACGGCGCAGCTTCGGCGAACGCAGAGTCGTTTCTGCGTGCTTCGCCAAAACGTTGGGCTACACATGTGACAGGACACTGAAGAAGAGCCCAGCGTACAGCATCCGCACGTCTGATTAAAAGGACGAACAACGACTGACCATAATTTTACACCGACGTCTGGGCACTCTGTTCAACAAGAATGAGTACAAGTAGCTTTTTACTGTGCTAACAGACACCGGACCGCAGCCTACGAATCGTGAGTCTCAGACAAGCACACAGCTCGCCTCGTCATCCTCGGAACAAATGCCGGTGTAGTGCTCAGTTACACAATGAGGAAATCTGGTAGAGAAAGCGTGCGTACCTGGGAAGTAAGTCGTAATGTTGGGAATGTTGGTGGAGTGGGCCGTTGCGATAAGCTCTGCGGCCGGGAACGAGAACCCCGGCACCGGCTTTCCACCGTCGCCAATCTCGAAGCTTCTGTGCCTGCATCAAAGGCACATTGATGGGGTGTGAGATAACGAGAGAGTTGCCTAAAATTGCGAGGAGAAGTCTGCAAGTCGGCAGAACGACATCTTCGCAAGCGAAAAAGAGGTGCCCAACACGTGACCCCACCCGTAGAGTAAAAAGGTCCGGTAAGTCTCTACCATTGAACTGAGAGCTCGAAAGGCCTGTGCAAGCTCTCAAAAAGCCTGTGCAAAAATTACTTTGCCCGGGGACACGTCATCAAGTTGGGTCCAACCCGAACCACAGGTGCCTTTCCGGGTCGTTAACTCTCAAATAATCGGATCGAACCGTTCGATTTGATCTGTGCGTCGTAGATTTGCCGCACTTGACAAAAACAGCTTCAAAGCATGGCAGGTGTGGAATCGACTACTCATCACCCAAAAAACAAGAAAATGGACCCGTAGTTGGGTAGGACCGATGATGATCTAAGTTTCGACGCGTTGACTCGAGCCAGGGGAGTTGCTTCCAAGGTTGCACTCACTTTGCACCGATGGCTGCTTTCTTGAAGGCGCCGTCCTTCCGTTCCAGCCCGCCAAAGGGCAAAATGTGGAAGGCGCCCGAAAGCATAGTCCCCTTGGAAGCCTGACGAATCAATCGAAGGGAAGGGTGAGAAGAGAGGCACAAGGGGGCGTCACAGGATGAATGAAAAGCAGACTGTATCAGGAACCTCAGACTGTCAAACGTGTAGCGGACAGAGTCAGCTATAATTTACTAGTGATCCAGGATGGCAAACGCCCCGCGATCAGAAGAACCAGCCAGGACAGGCATCAGATGATGACGCACTTTCAACATGGGCCTTGAGAACCGAGAAGGGATACACGCAAATCAGTGTACATACCAAGACGCCCGTGCCGTTCCGCATGATGAACGACTCGAGGTCGAGGTGCGTCGCCGTCGGGAGCTTCTCCTTCAGGTGTGCGCCCAGACAGTCGCCGGGGACCACGTCGAAGCCAACGGCGGGCAGAAGCATGACGCCCTTGGCTTTCGCAGCAGCATCCTTTCCCTGCGAAAGGCCAGGTCGCCGATTACGATCATGTTCATTTGGAGAGCGCGAATGATGCGTACATCTGGATTTGGTCACCTTTGACCGGCTCGACCTCTGACTATCTCGCGGGTTGAGCAGATATTGTAGGCAGAGGCGCAATGATGGGAACCCAGGGGGAGATCTTTGCATGACTCTTGAGGCACTCTGATGTTGGTAAGAAGTCAGCTCGCCAGACAATGCTCGACTAGATCTCTTGACATTCAGTGTTCCAAGATGCGTAGTGTATTGTCTGCAAATTTCTGCTGTGGTCGAAAGCCAATATTGCAGGAAACACGGAAGGATGATGCGCAACAACTCATGTCCATCAGCGTGCCACAATTACAACTTGAGCGATAAACCCAAAAACGGAACCAACAAACGGGGTTACCTGCACAAAGCCCATGAAGTGCGTCTCCCCAGTAATGTCCATGTAGTGTGCCCCGTGTTCGATGCAAGACTCCACGACGGGAGGCCCTGTCTCTGTGAACGGCCCTGCTATGTGGAGGACTGCTTCATGGGAGGCCACTGCTGCTGACAGCGCCTTTTCGTTGGTGAGGTCAAACGCCTCATACGGCAGGCCAACCTCCTCCGCAATGGCTCTGCGCATCGGGAGTTGTGAGCAGTTAACAGGTTTGACATGCTTTTTGCAAAGGTTTCTCCTGCCAGTGATCGAAATGAGCCTTTTGGGGAAAGGAAAGGTTCAAGACAGGAAGCTCCCATGACAAATCTATGCCCCCATACGCATCTTTCTAGCCTAAATTGATCAATTGCTGGAAGTCAAGAGGCAGATTTCTTCCAGATGATCATCCTCGCCGTCTCGGAGCTACATGACTCTGGTTTGCATAGACACAACCCTTCTTTCCTTGCAGTAGTCTTGGTCACCGTCAAAAGGTCCTATCACTAGAGGTACAACTTGATGAAAGCACTTTGCTTGGAACAACTGAGCCAGTAGCCGAAGTGGAGGTCAGCTGTAGCTAATCTTCCGATAAAAAGAGTGGTGGTGCAGAATCCAATGCTGATTTTGTAAGATGCAACTTTATATGTCAACGGGGTGGTGCAAAGTTTGAACCATTGGAGCACTGAAGCAAATCTTCTGAAGGGAAAGTAGTGGTGCAGATTACAGAAACAAATTGTTTATTGAGGCAGATCCTTTGATGTATGAGTGGTGGCGCATTCCAAGACAACTCTTTGTAGCACGGAGATTGAAGCAGTCAGCTTGCTGATTGAGCAACCCATGCAGTGGTCAGTTTGGAGACTTCTTACGCGCCCTATCTCAACGACATATGCACTTTCATTGGCGTACTGCAACATAGGTAGCCCAGCTCAAACTAGAAGCCCACCTGAGCTTTTCTTCATTCCGCCCTGCCAAGGTTGCGTTTAAGCCCACCTCCTTCACTTTCCGTGCCACCAGCTTCCCAGTATGCCCTGCATGTCAGTAAATGGAGTTTTGAAAGTGCACAGGAGCAGTAACAAGAAGCTTTTATGCAGGTTTTCTCTGTCGGTTGTCCTGATCAGCATTCTCTGTGCCTGGCAGCCCCACAACCAGCATTGATCTCTGCCCTAGGTCAAGTTCAGCTCAAAGCTTCACATGCAGTACACTGCAGCACGTGATGATGAAGTGACCACATGATCCCACAACCAAAATGTAAAAACCAGCGTCAGCGCGTCCTGAAAGCACAGTTCGTTTGGAGCGTACCTGTAGCTCCATAGACTAACAATCGCCCCTTTCTTTCTGCTCCTTTTGTGTTCGTTGACGAGGCGGGCTCAGCAGCTGAAGCCATGACTTTGATAGGTGTGTTGAATCGGGGCGCAATAGCAGAACGAGCGGCCATGAGAATGAAGACTTGAAGTTGGCAAGGCCAATGAGCATCAGCATTGCCTTCGTCTTCGAGTGTCACTGTAAGCCAGGTGGCAAGCTTGGATTGGACCGTCATCGCTAACTAGTCCGAGTTAATTAGAGAAACTTTGGTTGTCAATGTCAGCCTGAAATCAGACTTCAGTACAGCCTGCAAATCTCAGGCGTAGGAGCACGAAAGCGCTTCAGAAGTTGAAAGAACTGATCTGCGAAGGAGCGCCATTGTACCAGCCAAGGTACAGGGCAAGGGTCCGGAGGAGGGGCTTGATTCTGGTTGCTGATTTAGTGCCTTTTATAGCATCTCAGGGTCACGTCTGCAGGTGTGCTCGTGACGAACAGAAAGCTGGTCCGAGTACGATTTTGTAGTGCAGGAGCGGTTCAGATTCAGAGTGAGCTCTGTGTAACACCGGCCCGTCCACAAACAAGCGGCTGAGGTCTATCAGGATGGGGTTCAGCAGGAAGGCACCGTTTGACCAGACTCCACCGGATGACTTTGATCCAGAGCACCCTCGGAAAGACCCCGTCGCTTTCTATGAGCAGCGTGACTACCAGGTCAGGGAAAAGTTTGTGGAGGTTGAGGCGGCAAAGGAGCTCCGGCGGAAGCTGAAAAAATGCTACCAGAAGGAGGGCGTGAACCACCTGCAAAACTGCAGGGATTTGAGGCTGCGGTACATTGAGGCGATTAAAGCCGGGAGCTGGGGGAACCGGTGAGATGTGGCGATAAGTGAAAACCTTTGCAAGGTGCGCTGGACGACAATGTTAGGATTGTCTGTTTGTGTTGTCAAGAATGAAAGATCCTAGGTACAGATTGTGGCTGCAATTTCAAAGTGGCAGGATGGCTGCCTTTGGTTAAGGCGTACAGGACCCTTTTGGTTGTTAAAACCTGCTTAGCCACTGCCAGAATGGAGACCGTCAATTTTGACCTTATCAAGCGGCTACAGATAAAGTTGAAGGACGCATTGTCTGGTGTCGTTGTAAGCCTCTCTCCAATCTCCCCAAGGCCGTGCGATGGGAGACCATCTCCAATCCACAAACTGTTCAAGAGTCTAACATGTGATGATGTATGGCAGACTTCATGAGCTTCAGTTTCCAATGCGCTGTCTGAAAGCTTCATTCAGTCGCTGGATCAGAAGCCTCGCCACCTCGTAGATCCATGCCAGAATCTATGATGCACGGGCCCTGGGAACCACTACTATCATATTTCATTGCCACAGCAACTTGGACAATGATAGCGTCTTTTAGTATCCTGCAAACCAGGTTTAAGCCCCGAGGCAGGTCGTTGCTGGGTCACAATGTACTGCTAGAAGCCAAGTTTCTTTTTTGCTATGTGAAGCTTGAAGCTGACAGTCTGTTCATGGAACATTGCATGTACCGTATGTCGGACCTCAACATCTGATTATAATTTGCAACACTACATATTGCTTACGATGCTGCCACCTGCCAGAGTATCACCAACTCAGACTCGTGGTGTACAGCAATGGCCATGCCACGGCAAGCTGGAACTTAATGTACTTGGAGTCAGACGGTTCATGTTCAAATAGCACGAGCTTATGAGTATCGTGATGCTTATAAATGAGTTTTGCTCAATCTATGGCGATCAACCCGACTCACATGCAAAGTGAAGCATGTGGCTCCAACACTGATTGCATTGACATGGCAATATTTCATGGATACGGAAGCCGCATTGCACAATGACAAAAAGTTGTGAGGTGTCGATTGCAGTGAACTGTCAAGTGCACCCGGCATGCATCCCGACTCATAAGCTTGGGTAGGGATTTACAACTGATTGGAAGGCGGAAATTGAACTTACCGAACTCACTGAGCCTTTTTCAGATGCAAGAAGCAGAAAACGATTTTGCTTCGTGCTCGTCATCCCTATGGTGCCAGTCAATATTAGGAGAATATTCGAATGTTAGGCCTCTTCCTTGACTGGCTTCTGGTACGGCTGGTCAATAACTTCGCCCGTCTTGATCAGATACCGCACTTTCCTCCCGTCGTCCAAGACCTTATGCCCTACTCGGCTCCTAGTGCTAGCCGTTTTAGAGTACAACGCAACATTTGAACTATGAATGGGGGCTTCGAAGGTGATAATCTGACCGGTCTCCCCCTCGGCCCGTGGCTTTTGGTGCTTCGTCTTGATGTTTACATCCTTACAGAAGACCATGCTATTGAACCGAGTGATCCGAGTGATCTCGGTGACCTTCCCCTTGTCGCTTCCAGCAATCACTTGCACGGTGTCACCGACCTTGACGTGCACCTTGTGTGTGATGGGGTTTCCATTCTTGTTCAGCTTCTTCTTCTCCCAGGACTTTGCCTAGAGGAATCCGATAACAGTACCTAGGTTAGCTTGGACAGAAATCTTACAACTTGGTTGCAACATTGGGATTGATCCTGTCATTGTTCGTATCTGTGGTGAGGGCAGGGGACAGAACACGGACAAGTTGGGAGGTGATCATGGGTGGTCAAAAATCACAAGGCAATCAAGCTGATGAGCATATTCAGATTCCGCAAAACTTTAGCTGGATGACAACAAGAACACTTCCTCGTCGCAATAACGTACCTGATGTGAAGGGGCAGGCAAGCATTCAGATACATTGAGCTACAACGCTTCGGTATATCCAAAAACCTGCTGTCTTCTTATTCAATCCACTGGTCTACTTTTCATGGATAGGACCTTGCGGTGAAAGAGTGCGTCAGATGACCTGATATGGGCTTCGAAAAGAAAGTTCCTTTCTGAAAGACACAGGTCTGATGTGAAGGCTTGTAGTCTCAGAAAAGTTGTGCTTGAGAAGTCAGCCAACAGAACAACGTTAGTTCTTGCGGGACCGGAACTCAAAAGCGCAATCTAGTTCAATCACACTTTGTCGTCTCTAGACCAATGGTGAACTTGACCAAAATTACTCCACCACTGGTCAATGAGCGGCCCCCGGCAACTGATTCGGTCTTTGAGCAGAAAGATGATCCCTGAGCAAGCCGTTCTCGCAATCACGCAGGTAGAGGGATACGTACCACATTGGTGACAGTGAGTGGGCTGTAGGACACGCTAGGCTGCAAAAACGAAGGATGTCTGGGGGTGAGAATATGGGACAGACTTCTGACAACCTGACTGTATACCATCGACCTGCTGCTTTCCCAATGGTGCAGCCAGACGTTGAAGAGAAAATGTGACTGACCGAAGCAAAAGCGCGAACCCTGAACGTGACTCCTGACAGGTACTTCTGGAGAAAAAGAGACGGGCCTTGCAACAAATTGCACATGGAGGGCCACAAACAATGTACGTAACCAGCTCTCAAACTGCTGCGATGCCCAGTCTTACAGAAGGACCATGTGACCGTATACTAAGTATAAGACGGGTTTAAGAGAGAGAATGAAGCTTTCTAGGCTTTCTCAACAAAGTCGTTCCTCTATGCACTGACCCACCGTGCATCTCCAAAAGCAAAAAAGTGGCTTTACCCTGCTTTTCAGAGAAAGTCCAATAAACATTGAAGAACATTGCTCCTTCACATCCTCCATCAGCTTTGCTCTGCAACCAGATTCGGTCAAGCCCTCCGGTGACATCCACAATATCAGCTGAGAAACCATTACCAAAAAGCAATGCAGATAATGCCCAGAAACGAGCTCGTCAGTGAGCACAACCTTCGATCGGCAGTGCGACAGGAGCCTCGGTGGTAATGATGCTCTTTGAACCAATTTGGGCTGCTCCTCCAAACCCAATGACCAGCCCAGTGCACACAGCAGAAATCCTTTGTGACCAGATGCTGCTATCAGGTATATTCTCCTGCTTCACCTTTCATCAGGACGTAATGCTTCATGTGATGGGCTCAGACAGCTGCTATTTGTTCATAAAAGGCTCCCACAATCATCAAACCCTAGAAATGCATCAACTGGCCGCAGAAGTAAGCGCCTCACCTGTGCGATCGAGGTCTGCTTAATGCTGCTTCCATGGAAGGCTGAAGAGTTCAGCGAGAGCTGTGCAAAGCTGCTCCGCAATGCAGACGCCATGCTTGCCCGCCCCACTCTCGCAGGAAAGCAACAAACCCCAACCCCACCCTCCGGCTTCCGCTGTTTTACTAAGAAACGCCTCTGGCCTGGTTCTTGTGCTCAACACACTAACAAATTTGTCTTTCCTTTTTCCCTGCCAAATCCTGGAGGCTCGCAGCTCGCTTGCAGCCTTTCCCCGCTCGCCTCCTTTCCACCCTGCTTCGTCTGTCTGAGTCTCAGAAAGTTTCTGCCAAATGCAAAACCAATGCAGTTCAGCCTGTTGTCTTCCACCCCCTGCAACTCGCAAGGTTTAGCAGTTGGTCAGAACCGCTAACCCACGTGGTTTTTCTAGACCCACGTTGATTCGAACCCATGTGGCAGAACCCACGATCGAGTTCATCAAATACCAAACCTCACGCGTTAACCCTTGCCTTAACCTCAGACAGTTGTCGCTATACAGTAGGTACTCAAGACTCAGCAACCTGCCTTCCTGATGTTTCAAGGCCAGCTCAGGCTGCACGCTGTAGGTTGTCCTAGTCCTACGTACAGCATTGTGCAGTCGGCAAGCTGGAGGTTGCGAAAGGCATATGCACAGAGGGCCACCAGAGGGCCACCAGGACGCTAATCAAGAGCTTTCTAACCAGGTTGCAACTCCCCTTCTTGTATGACGTCCTGAGCCACCAGTTCCCGCCTGTCTGACTCCGAAGCCCGGGTGGCAGCTATGCACGAGCCAGCTGTGCATGCATGGTGTCAGCTTGCGGAGGCCGTCAGAGACTGTCAGGCGTCACTGGAGGCAGCCCTTGTTGGCTCCCAGCATGCAGTGGCGGCAGCACTGGAGCACGCTCAGTTCGAGATCTCAAAGGTCAAGCGAAAACGGGGCCATCAACATAACTTCCTGGCTCCAGACTCAGACTCCAGCATTGCAGACTTGACGCCTGATTACAGACCTTCCCCATTTGCTTCTCTTTCTATCGAACAGCGCAATGCTGGGCCTGCCAACGAGGCGGTGCGATGGATCCAGGGATGTCTCTGGAGCTTTCAGCATGCCGGAAGAGATGCGCTCGCACGCGTTCCCAGGATACGGAGGGAAGAGCAAAAGAAACCGGAGCCAGGGTTCCTGGTGCGTAAGAACCAGACTGCGCGCCTGAGCCGGACGCTAGAGTTCTGGCAGCGGTCGGTGGTTGTGTATGGTAGCTACAAGGTATGTGTCTGCCTTCATTTGATGGCTTACTCTCGTTTGATTGAGTGTCAAGACCCTGTCCATGTAGATCTTGCACTGTCACAAGGAACGCTCTTAAGAGCTTCTAACTTGTCTCCTTATTTCTACTCTTCACCGACAAGCTCCTTTGAATCCATGACATGTTTCAGCGATGCGCCCTTATACGAGTTATACTTGCCTCCTTCTTGTTGACACACAACTTGACGTGCCCACAGATTTGCACCCCCATATAAGTTGTTACTTTGATGAGACTTTCACCATCTTCTTTCCCCCTGTGATGTGGTCCCCCTCTTCGTGCTCTCCTTAGAATCAGGCTTTGAAGCCACCACCTTCAAAGACTTATCTTAAGATACACCATATCTTGAAACTTCATCTGATCTATTCCTGAACCCTTCCTGATTCCTGACTGTTGTCATCTCTTTACCAACCTTCCAATTTCGTATCTTCTCAGGTCTGCCAAGCCCGCGCCGCCCTCATTAGCGACCCCGAGGAAAAGCAAGCGCTCTGGGACCGTCAACACGAGGTCGCCGCCGACCGCTTATACAACCTCTGCGTCGATCTGGGGGGGTTCTTTCTCAAGTCGGGCCAGTTCTTAGCCAAGCCTGACCTTGTCCCCCCCGCCTGGGTGAAGCGCCTAGCCGTGCTTCAGGACGCTGCGCCACAAACTCCGTTTGAAGATGTGAAGAAAACACTGGAGGCGGAGCTAGGGAGGCCGGTGGACGAGGTTTTTGAGGAGCTGCAAGAGCGGCCCATCGGTTCTGCCTCGGTTGCGCAGGTAAGTGAGGTTTATCGTATGCTTGTTGGTGTGTGATCTTGTAAGTAGCATGTCTTGATGGTTGTATTGGCGATATTTCTGGAGTGTTTGGGAAGCTTTCTGTGCTGTTTCAAAAGCTTGCTTCTGGAAAGGACAACCATGCCTGCTCTATCCAGTGGTTGTCAACCTCATGGCTGTAATGGGAGAGCTTGTTGATGCTTCTAGCTGACGGTCTGAACCTGATCGACGATTCTCATAGAACAGCTCCTCGTCTTCTTTCTCTTCTCCTGGTAGGTAAGCTTCGGATTTTCACGACCTTTTAAGCATTGGCTGTCTGGTTGTATAACCTCTTCTTCTCCTGTTTTGTAACCTCTTCTTTTCTCTGTCTTGCTCGACGTAAACAAAAGCATGGACACAACCACAACTATTCAAAACTGTTACCCGTCCTCAATACATGAGTTCATCGCTACTCGTCTCCCGTCTTGCTTCGAGCCCTCTGAGATGCTGTAATGTCTGGGTTGTGTATGCAAGACTCGTATGCCCTCGCAGATCCTAAAACTCCTTACTTGTAAATCTCCATAGCCGGGCTACTCAAAGGAGCACCGGCTGGGAGTGAATGGCAGCACCCTTAGTCACCTCAACGCACATAACCAGAACCCCGAAACCTTTTTCGCAACACTTCTGACAAATTCTCAGCTCATCAGTAATTGACTGACTACATATCGAACTCTTTCAACTCTTCTTCACACCCTGGTCTTATTTACCCGCAGGTACATAAGGGCCGGCTGCGGGAAGGTCGGCGCGAGGTGGCGGTCAAGGTGCAGCATCCAGGGTCGGAGGCGCTCATGATGCAAGACCTACGCAATCACCGCAACTTTGCGGCGTTCCTCCAGAAGTTCGAGCTGCCGTTCGACCTGCTGTCCGTGCTGGCCGAGCTGGAGCACCAGGTGAGAAAAGGCTCGGAGCGAGTGTGAATGCGACTTGGCTGAGCCTGAGCATTTGGTTGAAGTAGGCGATGCAACAGTGTAAATACACCCTGGCATGGACACACACTGGAATGATTGTATCTCGCGTCCTGAGTCGAAGCAGAAGCGCTTAGTGGCGTAAAATGCATCGAGTTTCTGCTTTTCCTCATTGATGTTCTGCTTGTTAAAGATCCGGTAAGACAGTCTGTTCTTCCGGACACAACGATTTCCGGACACAACGATTTCGCACCCATGTGCAAGTTTGCCTGTGCGTGTTTAACGATTGGCAGAGCGGAATGTCAGGATCTTCGTCCTTGCGCAGCAATCTATTCAATTGCCTCGCCGTTTTCCATCTCAGAAATGCACGCTGTTGCAACTTCCACACCGGAGTCCAATACTTCGGGATTCCATTGCGAGTTCGACGATGATGTGTGGTGGTTATTGACACAAATTGCATCTCCTGTGCACCGCAGGTCCAGTACGAGTTCGACTTCCAGCACGAAGCGGAGTCGATGGACGTCATCGGGCGGTCGCTCGCAGTGGGGCCCAAGAGCGGGGGAAAGAAGTGGGAGTCACCTGTTTTGGTGCCGAGATCCATCCCTGGGCTCGTCACGAGGTACGTGTTGTCACTATCTGCTGGACAACGCGGGTTCGGTGTGGAAGGGAATCTGCATGCACAGAAGGATTTAATCGCCTGTCACAATGTCGTTCTGGAGATGAAAAGAAAAGACGTCCGACCAAATCGATGGTCACGAACAGTCCTTGGATGGAGCAAGTGTTGCCGTTTCCATGAGTTACGGTGACTGGCGATGAATGTGATGGGAAGTGTGAACGACCAGCCTCTCTATCTATCTTCATTGGAAAATGTCCCAGACGAAGGCGAGTCAAGTTGTCCTTGTTGTCCGCGTTCGGCCTTGCAAGTGCGGGCTTCATCGTAGCACTCTCGTCAACTGGAGAAATACTTTCGAGCGTATTGCTGCATGCTTATTGTTCTTCTTCACGTTGTCGCCTCGGCGTTGAGAGACGCAAGTTGCTCCTTCTGCAGCCCTTCACCCTTGGACTGCCATAAACTTGACACCAATCCATCGTTCACAGGCAGGTCTTGGTGATGGACTTCTTGGACGGTGTCCAGATTACCCGCCTCCAAGACGAGATGAAGAAGCGGCGTATTAACCCGGACGGACTAGTCGCTCGACGGGCCAAAAGGCGGATACTTGAAGACTTGACGGCTGCATACGGGCACATGATACTCCGAGACGGCTTCTTCCAAGCAGACCCGTAAGCTCTCCGACGAGTTCATAAGCTATGGGCAAAATAGCATATACTAGGACATGTTTCGTTGCTCATGAGTCAGCGAGTTGCCAATCAAGCGTTGATGCGTAGCGCATTGCTTGCGATGCTTTTGCTAATGAGGGAAAGACCTGACGTCAGCTCCAGGAAGAACTGCGCAATAAGGTGGCGCTCAGGCTCCGTATCACTAACTTCTAATAGCGATATAGAAGCTCAGGAGAGAGCTCCGGAACTGGCGAGGGCCTGCCTCTGCACGTGAGCCCTTCCTTCTGTTGGCCGCTCTCTGCGGTCGACGTGGTTTTCTCCAAAAACGTCATTCATAAGCTGACGTCAGCATCTGTCCTTGCAGCCATCCGGGGAACATCATTGTCTGCAAAGGCGGGAAGGTACGTGTGAAACTTACCTAGAAAATTTGCCGGCCTTGTTATCCCGAGGCCCAACCTTGCTCTTTCAAGACAACTTATCAGTTGGCCTTGACGCTTCCGTGGCATATCCTACTATGGCCGGGCTTTCCGAATCGCTTTGTTTATTGTGGCCCCGCGTTAGGTGTCAATTTTAAGGTGATTGCCTTGTTGCTGGGCTTTTAAGAGCTTCGGTGCCCCTCACCTGAACGCCAATCAAAGAACCGTGACTCCGGACCCTGAGTTCTGCACGATCCAGTGTCAAGTTCTGGACTTTGGCTCCCCCAAATAGGCCAACTCGACTACGATCTGACGATGCGCGTCGATTAGGATGCCAACAGAGGCCTCAAGCAGTCCCCAACACCTGTCACATCCAAGCTCGAATCTTGCAGAGTTGATCCAAGAATCGAAAGTCTCCACGTGGGCTAATGTTCAACGGCTGAAATGTGATTTTCTGCTCTCAGGTGGGTTTGCTTGACTACGGTCAGACGAAGCGCCTGCCCGAGCGCCTCCGCCTGCAGTACGCGCGCCTGGTGCTCGCGCTCAACGAACGGGACGAGCTGGCGATTACGGACGCTTTCCGGGCGCTCGGGATCCGGACGGAGAAGCCGCCGGACGTGCACTCGTTCAGTAACATGGCGGGCCTGATGTTCGACACGCGGATGCCGAAGGACCGCGAGTCGCTGAACCCGTTCACGGACGAGTCGGAGATCCAGAAGAACCCTGTCACGGTGAGGTTTCAGATGTACGAGAGGGCTTTGTGCCTTCGTTCACTTTTGCATGGCAAACGTGTGAGAGTGGCTTTGTCGAGATCAGCTCCGCAACTTCAGATTGACCGCTCTACCTCGGTCCGTCTCTCAGCTCTCAAGACGGGACGTTCATCTCAATCCAATGCCACACTTCGTCCTCATCTACTCAACTGTCTTTTCTGGTGTTCATCTCTCTTCCCTTCAACTTTTGACCCCATCTCTGAGATTGCGGTCTATGCGCAATAGCCACGCCTGCTTGTGAGGTCAAGCAACTGGCGTTTGTCTCTCAGCTCTCAGGTCACCTTTGCATCTCGCCATGTCCACCACCATGTCCTCAAGCAACTCCTTCCGTTCTGCAGGAGTTTCCGAAGGACCTCTTCTTCGTTCTCCGCACGGTGCAGCTCCTGCGCGGCCTCACTATGGGCATGGGCATTGACTGGTCGGTCGCCGAGGCCTGGAAGCCCCTCGCGGACGAAGTCTTGGCGGAACTAGGTGAACCGTCGGGGGATCCCCCTCCAAAAGCGCGGCATGGGTTGCGGGGTCTGCTGGGGAGGCCTTTCGCGTGGAGACGGAAACCGAAAGAGAAGCGGCGGCATTTAATCCCGCCGCCAATCGAGGGGGGTATTGAGGAGGCGTAGGAAGCGATTGTAAATTTGCGTAGGAGGTGATCTTAGCACGCGTTGCATAGGGCAAGAATAGGTTTTTGTATTTTGATCGACGTGGCTGATTTGGGCCGTCTGTTAGTGATGATGCTTGCACTGATTCAGGGCTGATTGCGGCTCTAGCGTTGTAGGAGTAATATCCAATTTTATCAGCTACCGAAATTCATTGTAGTTGGTGATTGTACGATCAAATTGTAAACTAGACATTGGCATTCATTGTCTTTTGTGGAAGTTAGCCGCACGATTTCAGTGAACTTTTCGTGCCACAAGTTTGAACCTTGAATGGGAATGGATGATACACCGCAGGCTTGCAATTGGAGTCTTGTGTAGCTATGCTCGTTACTACCACATGATCATGTTGAATGTACGTTATGGAGTATAGGCCACGTTAATTACGGTTATTCTGGTTATATATGGTATTTTTATTAGAGGTTGTGGTATATTCACGTTTTTACATGCATGTTACATTGGTACGGTATGTGTTATGTATTTGGTCATTCGAACGTCCTTGACAAGTTTCCTTATTGGTTGCATGCAAGGACGTCTGGAAAGGGTCCGTGCCCAGATGAATTGAACCGCCTACAAATCTGAAAGAAATGCTTGCTGATTTGTGTACACATGTACCTATGTAGATTTTGCCACACGGTTATGCAATTTTGCACATATCTAGTTTTTGCCATACGGTAAAATTTTGAAACGGGTGCACAACATCTAGTTTTTGCCATACGGTAAAATTTTGAAAAGGGTCCACAACATCGTGTAAGTAATTCCCCATGAGGTTAGGTATGTTCCGCGTTTCATCTTGATGCACGTTGTTGCCAGCAAACAACTGCAGCGCATGATGTTTAAGGTCACCCATGGGCACATGCCAGGCAGTTGCCTGCACGGGAACGACCGGCCTGACGTACGCAAGTTCGATTTGGCAAGGAGCAAAATCAACTTCCAATCCAGATTACCAGGTTCAAAAATACCACGTATGTTTACTTGTCCAATTTCCGTATCACTTTTCATTGACTAAGTTTTGAAACCGTTACATTATCGCGTGCGTCTGAAGCGTGCGCCTATCCTGGTTTTGAAACCGTTACAATATCGCGTGCAACTATAGCGTGCGTCTACCCTGGTTTTACAAACTCCTTCTGTCCACTTTCTAGTGTACCACATTACCTAGGTACACTAGAAAGTTTTCTCTCAGCCTGAGGTACGTTAAACTCTGTGCGTGCGTCTACCTTTTACTAACAAACTCTGAGTATATACATAGGTGCAATGAACCTTCCCAATTACCCTAATTCACTTCTGCCAACCTTCAACTCTCTTCCGTCTCGAACCTCCATCGAATTGAGTCAACTTAATCGAATCTAACACTGCTGCAAGTTGAGGCAAAACCGCCAGAACGATGTGCAGCTAGACGTCCAAAACCACCTCCATGCTCCCAACCTGCTCTTCCCCAACCTTGAAGGTGATCCGGTAAGCATTTTCTCCCATTCTGGACGCACAAAACCGCACCGTTTGCCCCAACCACACCAGCTTACTAAACTTAAGCTTACAATTTAGCACCCGGTAGTTTTCAATCCCCTCGAAGAAGGACACGCATTTGAGCGCGTTTGATCCTAGCACGGAAACAGGGAGTGCGGGGAGCAGGGGGAAATGACCCGCCGCTTTCGAGGCGTCCAGAAAGCGCAGCTCCCCGGTTCGCGTGTCGCCCGTGTGCAGCTCGGGGGTCTCCACTATACTGACGGGATCCACGTACGGGCTGCATGACGTCATGCTTCGGTCACCCGCCCGGCCCTTAGGGGGGAAGGCGCTTGGGGCAGCATAGCCGTGGGGGAGGGGGGGGACCGTTTTGAGGAAGGCTTCCGAAGTGAAGACCGCATAGGTAATCTCGAAGCGTCCGTAAACTTCGTAGGTTCCTGGATAGAAGCAGCAAGTATCAATATGAATCTTTGTTTCTGCGTTCTACCAGCCAGAAACTCTTGCAAGATTTACTGGTGCGTCAAAAGTTCCACCATTGCAAATGAGTATGGTCACTTAAGGTATTACTAGCATCTGGGCGTCTGATCAGACACAATGAAAGCCGAAAAGCAGTGGGAACGTGAAATACCTGGCAAGTACTAGACTCAGGAACTATCCAACTCGACTGGAGTCCAAAAAAGCAAGAGCTGTGTATGCTAGTTCTTGCGTATGCGGTAAACGATCTTATTCATACACTACTCCAAATAGGAGTTGACGTGTGGCTGTGCCGGTGGATATTCCAGTTGGAAGTTTGGACGTCGGAGCACCGACCCACAAACACGAATTGCAAGGAAGTCGCAGTGGGTCAGGACAAACCTGAGAACGAACCCTGAAAGTTTGAAACCTCGAGAGCGCTTGATACTCGTTCACACCAATCCTTTCTGGTCCGTCTTGTAGCCTCTAGTGACAAATCGATTTCCGTGAAGACCCAAATCGTGTTAATTGCGCGCAGCCCACCCCAAATGCTTCAAATGGGAGTGGGTCGCACCTTACTGCGTTAAGTTTTGTACCCGTGTCGTTCGCAGTTGTCGTCCCTACCAAATGCTGGTCTACTTTCAACATAACATCAGAAAAACACAGAAATGCAACGCAAGAATGCGGGAGCCCTTTTCCTTTAAACAAAGTAGTCCCGCCGCCGGAAAAGATAAAACATACCTGAAGTTCCCCAGTGGAAGATTGTGATGACAGCCTTGGCCATACCGCGCCGGAAGAGCGTGCACTCTGCCACCCCTTTGAACAAGCCTCCGCTTCGACTCGACTGGTCCAGGGCGTGGATAAGGTCGGCTTGCTCGTCGTCCAATTCGTATGACCGCTCTTGGCCTGTCAAAGGGAGCGATTGACACGTTGAATTCTCCGTCAACCGAATTGTACTGGAGCATAACGCAAATGCAATCGCCGTTGATTCATGGTTTCAAAATGGGACCGTTTTGTTTAAGCTCTGTTCATAACATGTATCTCATGCCGCCGTCTAGACAATTTCCAGCCACTTCGAACCAGAGTTCCATCCAACTTACAATTTCTAACCATATTTTAGAACTACGCTTTCAACCAACCTTTGGCAAGATGTTATGTTACTGAACCTTGCCTCTTCATGTCCCGCTTCTCGAGAGGATCAAAAGCAAAGCATCGTCAGGCTGCCATGAGAGCTATGCCACGAACGAACGCATGAATGCTTCGTGCGTTGAGCCAGCTCAACCAGGTTAACCTCAAAATACAAGAGCGTCATTTTGCTGCTTTCGCCAAGGATCTACTTACACCGTCTGAATTCTACAAAACCCAAGCTCGGACAGTGTCAGGTTAAAATAAGTGGCTTACCTCCTCCTTGGATGCGCTCGGATTTGGCCCCAAACGCCAGGTAGTAATGCTTCTCCTTCACCGGGTTCGCCAGGGCACACGCAACCGAGCCCATAATCGCACTGTGTCGTCCCAGCTCACTCCCGCTTATAGGATCCCCGTTCTCCTCATGCCGCCTAGACTCTTTCAAGAAGTACCCACGCACTGTAGGTTTTGCGGCGTTGCTAAGTTGCGCCATATCGAAGAGCGCGTAATAGGGCCGCTGGACGTCAATCAGCTGGATGACGTCATTGTAGCGCAGAGGGGTGCTGGGGGAAGAGACGCCCGGCAGGAGCGCAAGCTCGTCGAGAGTGTCCTTTGAGTCGGGTCGAGAAGTCACACCTGCAAGTTGAAAGTAGTGGGCAGATGCCTTTTGATATCCCATTTACTTTAGGAATGTGAATAGAGATGGTTCTTGGGATGGAGTTTGAAAGTAGGTAGTGGAAGGGTAGGTTGCATGTGCACTGATACAGCCATGAAGTGTGGCCAGCTCATTTAATGAAGCTGGAATCCAGGGTCATGAGCAACACCAACAAGGGTTATGCTTCTCGGCTGGTACCATATGAACGCAAGAACTCACCTCTAGAGAGTCAAAGAGCAGAAAAGGCATCTGAATTATGCAAACGCGGTCGGAAATGTGACCAGCTCATTTCAGATGCTCTTTTAATCCATGTTCGTCAGCAGTAGCTTAATCCCAGAAAAGATAGAAGCACCTCAGTTGCATCATTCAGGCGACTGCAGGGAACGCCTATATCGGAGCTACCCCTGATTGTGGACATGCCTAACTTCGAAAACATACTTGAGAAAACATATCCATAGTTGCTTACACACAATAAGGTCAAATGTTCTGCCACAATTCTGCCTCGTCTAGAATGAAGCGCAGCATTGCTAGTTGAGGCTCAGCGCATGTGCAGGGACAACAAGTACAATGCAAGGCATCCAAGCATGCAAACCAAAACACAAGGGGAATGTGAATCCAGCTTCTCGAGTCGAGGCGCCTTGAGCGAACAGGGGAGTTTCAGGCCTGAGTGAATGAATCTACCAACTCAACAGCGGCAAGATTGTCGCAGCCAAGTTTGGTGCAGACAAGAACGATTATCTTCTGGTGTGTTCGCCTGTTCTATGTTGCAACCTTTCCATGACGTTAACAGAAGGGCTTCGAATGTGATCAAGAGGCAAGCGAAATGGTTGCAGAGCCTAGAGTTCAGTAGCTCACCTCCAGCAATAGCTCGTGGACTGCATGTTTTGCCCGTCTTTTTTATAACCGAGTGGACGCCTCCATGGGTCGGACTTGATTGAACGTCAACCTTCGCAAGCTTCTTCACAAATGGTGGCACTGCCGATGGGGCAGCCAGAAGGGGCCGAGAGACTAGCTGAGCCACACTAGGACTTCCACGACTTCTAACAGAGACAACACCACAGAAGGGCGGAGCAGCTGACCCTGAGCTCAACTTTTGCAGTTGCGTCTCAGCCATGCAGGCAGGTCCACCAACGGCGCTCCTTGTGGAAAGCATGATCGCCCAGCCTGACTCTTTCACCCAGTTTTGAAAAAATAGTAGGGAGCTGAAATGCGATGGCTTTAGTGACCTCAACTACTGATCCTTCCCTTACTCAACTCAACGTCGTTGCTGAATGCAAGGACCTTCCGCACAATCACCAGCTAAGAGAGTGACCTGCGTCCTGATAGTAAAAGTCGCTGACTCTGATCAGAAAGACGAGTGCTGAGAGCTTCCGCGATCGGGTCACCATATAACGTCCCAGGATCACAAAGGCACTTCAAATTAGTGAAGAGTTTTGCTGGTGAGCTAACACGAGACGTTTGGCCAACTTTATCCACAAGCGCTTCGTAGGGATCCATCCATGCACTGACAAGCTTCGTGCCGTACTGACACGGCTGTGCTTTTGTTGCTCACATTCTGACAGAGTGACGACGTCTACATGCATAATTGCATGTGAATGGTGTAACTGGTACAGATGTCGCCGCGTGCGAGACCTTACGACTGCGACACTGCTGAAGGAAGCAGCTTGTCAGCAGAGTTTGCGACTCGCCACGTGCTCCGAGTCCAAGCGTCCAGTACTGCGCAGTCGAAGGTGTAAGCTGAGCCGGCACCGATGAAAACGTTCCGTGCTGTCGACATCGAAGTAACTTCAGCCGTCCGGCGGACAAGGCCGATTCGGATTCCGTACATAAGCAAGTGGCCGGCCGGCCGCGTGAGCACTACAGTAAATTACACGGCCGCGTGAACACTCAAGCAGTCGGCCCTGGCCGAGCACAATGTGACCCCTTACTAGCCCTTGACCGATGCCCTAGCGCCATCCTTGGTCCTGTCTTCGTTGTCCAGATTGATCACCCATAGACAAAGCAATGTCCTCAATCCGCTGTATTCGGCGGTTGAGTTCCCTGTCTTATCAAAGGAAGCTTGGCATAAGCTGCAAGCGCAAACGCGACTTGGAGGGCTGGCATGGCATACCGTGCGTCCTTTGTCTAAAAGTACTCGAAATTCAGTCTTCTGATTTGCGACCACTTGCATTCGGTTGCAGCTATGACAAGAGTATGAATTAGCCAGTCTGCTTGTGGTTTGTTCAAGTTAGACGCTTTGTCCATCTTTTTATTTTATATCCTGCAGGTCGCTCTTTTGAAAGGCTGAACTTGCGCTTAGTGTTTTAAGAGGATAAGAGGGATCGGAAAGGCCGGGAAACGAAGCTTGGCCACAAAGTAGGGCTGGACAATAAGGGTCGCCTCTTCGCTTACTCGCTTACAAACCTGTTCAGAGCACGATAATCACTCCGCCAGTCTTTCAAACCAGAACGTGGAAAGGCTTCCGCATCGAAACTTAATCGATCCAGGCCGTTCGAAGCGATCATATCGGAGGGGCTTTTACTGCCAGCAAATGTGCGATTAGGCGATGGTCACTTTTGGGCTCAAAAGGTGCCACTGTGCGAAAAGAAGAGGATACTTATCAATATCCTCAAAACGACCGGTACGTCGCAGCAGTACAGAACATGTCCGACTGCGTATACTATTACTATATGGACGACGGTTGATAGATTGTCACAGCGGTCGAGTAAAATCAGGAAGGGCTGCATCACCTGAAAGTGAACACATTGTTCGGGCAGGGATACTACTCTTACGAAGCACAACGAATCAGGGGCAACGCTTCTACATGATAGCAACCTGATCCCACAGCTTTCTGCGACCCGAGCAACTCTAGCACTCATCATAACCCATTGAAGCTCTTAGTGAACCAAGCAACGCACCGTGCTCGTCAGAAAGTGCGTCCCCATCGCAGCTTCTTGTGACCCGAGCAGAGAACCATAAGAAATGGCCCCCCAAAGCCTCGAAGCTAGGACAGTAAGTTTCTTGAGATGTTGACAGGCTTGCTTTGTTGGAAGGTTGAAAGGAACCCTGCTTTGTATGTCCTCATACATTGCTGCCACTCAAGAGCCACAAGTGGTACCGTAAGGAGACCCGCTCCTCTTTCCATAATAGGTACGAAAAAGGAGGAAAGAATCATCGACTTTCAAAAGAGACTGCACAACACCGTCATGTGAACACCGGACTAGCTTGGATGTACTGAACTGCTGATCCCTATACGGTTGCGAAGAAGAACATGGACTCAGAGTGAACACTGAAACCGCGTGACTGCCACTGCCATGCATGATCGACAGGCTCCACGACTGATAGCAGCGGCCAACAAAACACATGACGATCGAAGCATGCTGGGCCCAGAGACGGGAGCGTTTGCAGAATGCAAAGTATATGTCAAGCTTGGAAAGAGTCCAAATTGCTAGTACATGCATATAAACGAGCATAGATATGTACAATTTATGAAGAAAATCGCGTGCACTAGGTTGTCACATGGCGCGTACTGACATGTGCTGCATTGCAAATGTGCCCTCAGCTCAGTGTGATGTATAGACCATCTAACGAACTAGCTCTCAGTGCATGGCATCATTCCGGATTGAAGCTGCATGGTGCCATATATTGCATGTCAACGGCGTTGCTAGATTCAGCTTAAAACAGCAATTTGACTTATAGCAATTCGACTTGGAATCACATCCCAAGCTGGTGCACGTCCAGAATGAATGACAGAGACAGGCGCCCATTGAGGGGGATAGCTTCCATATGTGCAGCTTTCCCAACAAGGTGCGGACAGTCGAGGTACTTTATACACGGTTTTTCTGTTACCAACAGGACAGCGACGCACGAGTTTCTGACTCCGCCTCAAGCCAAGTACCTGTATAACCTGCGGTCGTTCTTGTCCCTTTCTAGGAATTCCCGCTCTATCAAACTCTCGATCCGCTTCTTGATCACCGCGGGGTTTGGCAAGAATCGCGATTGCAACTGCTTCGTGACCTCGCTAATGATGTTATTGTGGTCCAGCAACCGCCGCGACTTCATGATCCGCACGATCGCGGCCTCAATCTGCGGCTTCCGATCCTCCTCCACCTTTTGCCGGGTCTCCTGCTTCTCCGGCTCGCTCTCCTTCTGCGCCGACACCGTCCCGATCTTGATCTTGTGCAGCTTGTTCGTGAACTTGTCGTTGAAGTGGAACACGTCATCCTCGTCCACGTCCTTCCCGACCGGCTCCTTCCGCAGCACGTTCCGCCCCTTGACGCACGCCAACGACTGCAGATTCCGCTTGAGATCCGCCACCGGAATCTCGGTGGCCGCCTGGATCTCCTGGTACGACAACGCGTCTGCGTTGTTGAACAGCAGAAGGATGCACATCTGGTACGTCGACACGTTGAGCTCGTGTCGGCTGTGCGCGAACGTCGCCCGCAGGTCCGCCGTGCCCATGTTAGTTTGCCAGGAGAGCCGCCGGCCGGTGTGCGTGGAGAGGTAGAAATTTTTGAACTTGTCGCACTGCTCCAGGATCTCGGGGGGGAGGGTGGCCTTGGCGCCCGGCTGGGTTGGCCACGAACCTGTCGTCAGGACTTGGACCTGCACATGGGGGTTTACAGTGATGGTTTAGAAGAGGGTTGACGTTGAATAATAATAAAGCATGCCTTGGCGCCCGGCTATGTTGGCCACGAGCCCGTCATCAAGACTTGGACCTGCGCATGGGGGTCAAAGGGAGGGTTAGCAGAGGGTTGAGAAAGAGGGTTACGTAACGGATGCCTTGGCGCCCGGCTGGGTTGGGCTCGAGCCCGTCGTCAAAACTTGGACGTGCCGGGGTGGATCAGAGCGCTGGTTTAGAAGAGGGTTATGGAAAAACAAGTTTAGCGAGGTAGAATACCATGTGACAATCCTAAAGAGAAGGTATGCTCGCCAAAGTACAGGTTTTCAGGGCCGATTTGCAGGGCCGAATGGTAAGGAGATAAATCAAACCTCACCACCAGCATTCAAACCGATACTGACACAAGTGGTTTCAACTTCCTTGCTTCAACCAGATTTCGCCAGCGCTTGTGCCCACCGCCGCTTAACAGAGACCTAACTCCAAACCATCCCACCCTTCTGCACCTGACCACAAACGGTTGCTGCTTTTGCAGTTTCGCCAGAAACCACCTCGAAGCCTGGAATCTCGTGGACGCTTTACCTGCCGACTGACGCGTAGCAGTGCCTCGCTCCTGTATGAACACAGCTTCTCGGAAAAAAACAAGTGTACCATTCAACACCATCTGCCGGCTCGCTTCAGATCCAACGGAACCCCGAGCGCGTTCGGACGACCCACCTGTAGCGAAATGTCCGAGTCGTTCCCCTCTTCCACCATCTTTTGCTGAAAGGCGGCCATCGTATCCTTGGACGTCTTCATGTCGGTGAACATGCCCTCCAGCTTGGACGTGAACTGGTAGCCGCACTCCGTCTTGAGCTTCACGATCAGGCTGCGCTCCGCGTCGTCCGACACTGTCCGCCCCGACAGCAGCCGCTTCGCCAGGTGCTGCTTGTAGTACTTCTCAAACACGTCCTTCTCCTGCAGGTACCTGCAGATGGAAAGGGCGCAACTTCAGGGATGATAACAAAGGCAGACGCCACGAAGAAGGGGGAAGGTTCCCCCTTTCATACTTGGCGAACACATCTGTTCCAGAAATGCTTAAGATTGGGAGGGATACGATTTCGGCGCTGATTTTGACAATCCCAATTCGTTCCTTCCTGCGAATCCAACATTTCGGCTTATTATAATGTCTAAACGATTACAAACTGCTGAAAGCCTTTTTCGGCGAACTTAGCAGATGAATTATCGCTCCAGTTGCGAAGTCTCCCGGAAGAGGCAAGATGATCGTTCTCGCCAAAGTCTCCCCTGATTGCCCGCCTATAGTCGACCAGCGCAGTGACAGAGTCCGCAGCCAGTAGCGAGCAGGCTCCCACCAGTGAGGCCAAGACACGGGCTGCTTTCCCGTAGCCATTGAAAGGCCAAAGAGGCGGAAGCCTTCTAGCTAAGGGACCTGATTGCATCGCTACAAGACTGCGCCTTTGAGATTCTACGTGCAAATTTCACCCACTTATGCAATTTCAATCGTCCAGACGCTGCAAAAGACCGACGAGATGCACCTCTGCACACGTCACTATCATCCACGATCACGATCTCTTCCAGACTTTCGACGCGTCGCCGCCCTCCTCACACTGTCCGTCTTTGGGAGATATGGAGAGCGGCGATATATTCATGATGTCCAACAACAGACAGCCGCCCCAACGAGACCTTTCAACCAAAAGATTGAAACGAGGGTGCATTCTCGACCCTCTCAAAAAACTCGACCTTCTGCTGAACCGTAAGCTCGCGACTATAGTTTAACTGCTCGTCGCAGCGCTCACCTGAAGAGCATCATGACCTTGTCCAGCACGCCCTCGACGTCCTCCTCGCTCACGCCTTTCAGCCCCTTCTTGAGCTTGTCGTCCACGAATAGCGAGATGAACTCGGGCGAGCGCGTGTTCAGGTTGATGAAGAACTCGAAGCTGCTGTTGAGCGCGTTCTGGAACGTCTTGTCGTTGCCGAAGCTCTGCGCGATCAGCCGGTCGTACTTGTCCTTCTCGTCGAGCAGCCGTTGAACGAACTCGACCGGGTCGCGCTGCCGCTCGGGGTCCGTAACCAGCTGCTTGCCCGTCTCGCGTAGGTGTGACGTCATCAGGTCCCGCACTGTCTGGAGGCCCGTCGGGACGCGCCTGGCGAGAAAGAAGGCAGGTCAGAGGAAGGCGTGAATTGGGGATCGGAGGGGCTAACAGAAGGTTTCATGGGGCACTAGTGGAGATTGGGAGCAGTAGAAGTGTGTATAAGAATAGCTGCTACTCGTGAGCTTGTTGGTAGGAGAATCTTTAGACACTAAACGGCCGAATGGAGAGGGCAGGAACTGTGGTCGCAGGGCGCTACTTGCAAAAGAGCTTGCACGCCCGGGCACTAGCGAAGCAAACAGAAGTGCGTAAAAGGACGAGGGTAAGCGAGAGCAACACCGCAAGTCGCCTTTAATAAACGAACAGACAAAACGGCAAGAGAATGCAGCGCTCCCCTGCGGAGGCTTTGCACGTGGTCAGCAGTGGGGCAAAGTGGACGACGAGCTTGAGTAACGGAAATGCCTTCACACGAACCGGCGACAGAGCGAGCGCTCACCGGAAGAGGTTGTACATGCGCGCGAGGTCCTCATACTTGTCGTTGGTCAGCATCGACACGAGGCCCGAGTTCTCCATCTCCACCAGCAGCTTCATGTGGTTCCCGATCATCTCGCGCTCCACCACCGTCGTCAGCTTGCTCTCCGTCTTCTGGTCCAGATAGTGCGCCACCCGCTCGATCTCCTCATTTAGCCGCTTCTCGGCCTTGCGCAGGTAGTCGGTGCAGTCGCTCGTGGAGATGAACTGCTGCGCCTCCGCCTTGTAGAAGTCGGCGGTGGCGTCAAGGAACGGCTTCTCGAAGTCTTCCAGGTAGACGGTCTGCCCGAGGTCGACGAACATCTTGGTCACGTTGCGCATCAGGCCCCTGGACAAAAGGCAGGTCGGTGTCAAAGCGTCGCGAAAAAGAAAAACCACAAATCGTTTGCGAGCATCTCCGCTTGTTAGGACGGGTCTGCCTGAAATAGGTTACTCGTGCATGAGCCAACTCCTGGGAGGACGATGAGTGTGAATGGGCCAAGCCTTGCTGGAAGTTGGCTACTGGGAGAGGAGCGAGAAGCATTAGAGCAGAGTCCAAAACGCTGCGCTCGCCAAACACCGAAAGGTAACCTCCGTCTAAACATGTCTGACTGCAAAGGGAATCGCCTACGACTACACAGCGGAATAGGCGACACAAACCGGGTAGCAATTCTTGCTAAAGAGTTGCACAAAATGGGCCGATCCGTTTACAAATCAACCGCAACGCACCAGCTCAGCAATTTGCAGTGTGACAAAAGCTAAAAGTGCTTGAAGGTTCCTTCGCCCACTAGATCTCCTGCTCAGGGTGCTGCAATAAGTTGGTTAAACGAAAATAATGCCATAGGGGAACCTGAACAATTGTAAGCGAATTCACGTTTGTTTAAAAGCAGAGAACAAAGACAGGGATGCCAATTCAGCAACGTCATCAGGTCTGTAATATCATACCCCCCCAGTTTGGCAGCCGCCTCTGCTTTCCAGTCTCTGTCTCCAACGAGAGCACCTCAAGAGACTGCTAGAAAAGGCTAACGAAAACGCATCTGAGAACCGACCAGTGACTCTCGTTTCCTTCCTACTCTGGTTTCCATTCCTGCCCCAATCTGCTCTCCCACCTGTTGATCACCTCCCCCGTGCGCTCCTTGTGCACCAGGTCCAGCAGCGTCTTCAGCAGGCGGTCCCGGATCCTGCCGTTGCGCACGATAGCATCCCTCCACAGGTTCAGCCCCAGCTCATGCACCGGAACCTTGTTCTGGTTGGTGACGTATGTCCGGTCCATGTACATTAGAATGTCTCGGATCATCTGGAGCGATTTGTTGTGGTCCAGCCACTTCAGATTGAGCTCCTCAAGAAAGGTGTCCCCCTGAGCAGCGTCAATCTGCCCCGCCACCTTCTGCAGCTGATTGGTCATTGTGGTGGTCAGGCCCTCGTACAGCTTATTGCCATACTTGTGAAGGACCATGTTGTAGGCGCTCCTGTCGGGAAAAGAAAGGGGACCATGAATGCGGGGGAAGAAGGACGTTTGTTCAAAGCTGTTAGACATATGTGTCTCTATCCAATGATGAGAAATGAAATTCTCGTCTCCAACAGGAACAACTCTTCGCTTGTGGAATTTAGAGAAGAATAGCGCAAAACAAATCCTTATGGTGGCATGCCCGAAGTCAACCCAAAAAACGGTCCTGCCAAGCCAACTCGACATTGTTTGGTCTTGCAGGTTGCACCGACTCCACAAAGATCTGCAGGATGTTCTCAAGGGAAAAGCCAAGGATGATGGGGCAAATCTCATGCAACTATTCTGGAGTAAAAAAGAAATACCGTCCAGTCCTCAGTTGCAGAACGTTGTCAACTCTAAGATACGTTGAAACTGTTCTGCCCAGGCACCAATAAGCAGGAAAGTAAGCTGTCTGGCAAATTGCTGCTCAGAAGCAACCATTCCGGCGCCATGGTTCCAGCTTTGTTCACTTAAGACACCCTAAAGTCAAGTCATTGTATACTTGGATGCGGACCAGTCTTCCGGCAATGCACAGGAGATTGCCCAAGGAGAAGGGATGCAACATACCCCAAACAAGGGACCAGGCAGTTGGTAACAACCAGGCATCACAAAACTGTCGAGACAAAACTAGGGTTTCAGCAAGCATCAAGCAGCATAGAAAACCTGGGTGATAGAGCAGATATGAACAAGAGAATTTTTTTTGAACTGCGACAAGTCAAGCACCACAAGGAAGAAATGTGCCGGCTGAGTCTGCTCAAAGCAGGGTGAAACTGTCAAAACACTTGCCTGTAGAGCTCCTCAAAACTCAGGCCGCTGGCATTATGGTTGTAAATCTCATGGATTGCGTCCTCCAGCACTTTCCAGGTGTTGTTGGCATAGTCAGGGTCCATCTCCACCTTATGCTTGAACGGCTCGATCTTGAACGACTTTTTGGGTTTGGAGGCACTCATCTTGACCCTTTGACTATGTCGTCAGAGTTATACTTGGAAAAAGGTCACCCCGGTTGACCACGACCTTTTGGACAAACAGTTCTTGCTCTTTCCGTCCAACTGCTGATTCGTGTGACGCCACAATCCTACATAGCACCGTATCTGTCCTACTCAGAGCAGTTGCTTGCCACCACCGGCCTGAAAACGTAGATCATTAGATGCTAGAATTGTTCTGAAAACGCGGACGAGGACGCAGCCATTCTAAAAACATGCTATCGCTCTAACCTCTAAGAGAGCATCTGGCCACCTTGAAGTACACGGGGTCTGCTGATCTTAGATCAGGACTGCATCTGAAGCTAGGAACAGAGAGCTCTCAGAAGCAGAGCTGCCTCCTGAAATAGCTGCCTCCTGAAGGCTGAAGGTCCTGTGACTCAAGCGCCCTGGCAGCCAGCTCCAAACGCAGAACTCAAGAGTCCGGAGTCATTCAGCAGACCTGTTCAAGAATCGAGTTCTTCCTTCTTGGCGGCAGAACTCAAGTGCGCGTGAAGCGCGCGTACTATGCGTCCAAGTAGCAGGCTAGTCTGGCACGCGGGCCGCATGTCCAACGCGGCCGCGCAGTCGCCAGACGCGCGCCCGGTGCACAATGATTGGTAGCGATGGTCGTAATGGTGGACATCACCTGCTGACTCCGGCACACATCAGCTGAGCTGCGCACATCTTTCGAAGAAGGGTGCGACAAGCTCAGCGGCTTGGGAGGCCAATAGTGGAAGATCGAGGTATAGAGTCAGTGTACATGTAAAACACGCTCATTAGCTCGTCTTGGCAGCTTGGCAGGGGGCGAGAAGATCTTCCAAGCCGAAGTTTTTACTTCTGTTGCCTCTTTTTAAAGGGACGCACTTGGAAGTGAGGACATTTGCAACAGGTTTTCGGCTCAATTGAGATCGGCTGCAGCGACCATTATGAGCGGACACATGCTATCTGACCATATTAGCAGTGGATGCTGACATTGAACTGGCGAGATGGAGATGCAAGCGGGTTCGAACGTCATCACCATCGTAGCAGATACTCCGTTCTCGTTGCCCGCTGGTTTGAAGTGCCTGCATCTTGTGTTTGGGAATGAGTCCAGCTCGACTACATTTCTGAAAGATGGCACCCTTTTAGACACGTACGCAGACCCGTTAAGAGATCTGGCGTGGAAGCTCGAAAGCATTGTTGGGGAGAATTGCGCTGCGGTAGCTGCTTCAGAGAACCGCATCCTTGTCGTAGTGGAGGTACGAAACGATACAGCAAGCAAGCCTCCCGGTATACTGTCATGCTGCGCTTTGATTGCAGGCGTTCACAAGCTGCGACTCAAATGCCTCTCAGTTGGAGACATCAGAACCTTCCTGCGGCACGTTTCCGATCTTGTACAGCTGCCCTCGAATACCACCTTCGAAGAAGCTCGATCCTCTTGTCGCAGGCTACACGGAAGAAGGCAGTAAAGAAGATGCTGAAGAAAGTCAAGAAGAAGTTACAAGTAAGCCGCTGCGAATCTCATGCAGCTCATGTTCCTAAATCTGCGCCGCTACACCAGTATGGGTTACAGTGTCCATAAAAAAGGGCAGATTCGCTGTACTGGATGACTTGCAGAGGAAACGTTGAAGATTGTCAGTTCAAAAGCCTTGGATTGCAAAACCTTCGCCAAGTGACTACACAAGGCTGCAGACAGGGCAATCCTTGAAACACCGGGATCCAGGGAAAGGATTTACAGGCTATGTTTTACCTGCAGGTGTCCTTTGACAAGTCCGCTGACTCGGCTGTCGACGAAGGCAGGCTGCTCGAAGTTGCCGTTGAATCAGTTCTGAGGAGAGGACTGCGAAAACAGGGCTGGATGCCTTTCGGCAGGCTTCTTGTTCGTAGCAACTTGACAGCGGGTGTTGAGCGTTCTGTTGTGGACACGGTCGAGCTGGTGAGGAGTCAGGGCTAAGCTTCGCTTGTTCGAGTCAGTCCACAGACGACGCACTGAATCTTCATGCATCTCCACACTTCCACGGGCTTTTCTTCCGTAATACGATGTCGTAGCAGAACCGCCATTTCATACACATCGGTTTTCAATCAACGCCTGCCTTCTTTCAAACGTTTCTCCGTTTCCATCAGGACGTCCGTTTGGAGCCGAAATCCAAGATCGACCTCGTGTTGAGCTTTGGAGCAGCCCGCTTTCGTCAATTCAAGGTACTAGGAACACAGAGAGCTGTTCCTACACAGATTCGTCCGAGCTCTCTTTTGGCTCCTACCTTTGCCACCAACTTGCCTTTAGGTTACTCGTGATCAATCCGTGTGTTTCGGACTGACATTTCGAAGCTGGCGTCGAAGCCTATTCAACTTGCTTTAGTGTTTAAAGCAAATTTTTTAGTGCATCTTCTGGCCTTTCCAACTGACAACTTTCAATCAAGTTGTTTACCTATCTCTCCTGCCACAACCGTTGAAGGCCTGCTTACACGAGGCCCCTACCTGACTGCTACAGTACCTCGAAGCGCTGCCAGAAAGCCTGCGCCCCAAGTTTCATGAAGGGGAGAACGTCAACCTAATGGACTGGATCTACGCTCACAGCGAAGACAGCCTGAGCAACTTCGAGTGTCGAGTGCTTCCCACGCTTGAGCCTGGGTATTTGGTCGCAGCATGCTCCTCTCCTCCAGCAGGGGTATCCACGGAGTATCTTCGGACGCTGTGGCTCGAGAAGGTGAGAATCGATCGCATCGCAGAAGGTTTGCAAAGCGAGTCATTGCTCTGGTCATCAATAATGCTCTTTGATAAAACTTTCTGCCGTTCGAAATCCGTTTGCCGTCAGGTTTTGTTAATTGCCTGCTTTTCTTGCATTACAGTCTCTGCTTTTATTTAAAAGGGACAAAGTAAGAGGTTAAGGATCTGCCAGGATCTTGAAGGTGTACTAATCAAGTAAAGGTTGTGTCGTGTTTGCAGTACGGTATCAAACTCACGAAAGAGTTTGCTTTCCTGCGAGTGCGCTTCTCCTTCCAGCCAGAAAGCAAAGCTGTACTGTAAGCTTTGCACTTTTCTGCATTTTCTGCGGCCGGAGGAGTCGGTACTATATTGCAGAATGCTCACGAACTATTTTGTCTTCCTCGATCAATAAGCCTTTCGTCCCATCTCTCGAGCACGGAGTTTCTAAGTCGCACAGGGCTTTCCGGCGAAGACGTGATTGCAAACCTTGCGTTTGTGCAGCTTTCCCAGCTGTTGCGTTCTGACCTCTGGGGGTTTGGTTCCTGCTGCTCCTTCGATACAGAACACAAGGATGGAGCCTGCCCTTTTGCAGTTCCTCAAAGACGTTGAAGGTTCGCTACTAGCCGTTACCTGCTCGTGAACAACACTCCATCGGTGATTTGTCACGATCTTGTGCAGACCTTCCATACACAACCGAACAACAGAAATCAAGGCAATCCAGTCTGTCGGTGTGCCTGGCCCCCCGCAAAGAAGCCCTAGTAACTTGATAGCAATGCGCCAAACCGAGAACTTTCAAAATTCTCTTTGTTACGCAGAAAGAAACTGATCGTTGAGTGTCATATTGATCTGGACAATAAGATGTCTCAAAGACCACGTTCAATGATACTTTTTTTCTGCGCAGCCTGCACGTTCTTTGGAGCGGCTCCTTTGAGAGTGAAGGTAAGGCTTCGAAGTTCGAAATATCATGATTCAATATCTAATTAGAATTAGAACGGATTCCGATAGGCATTGCACAGCTTCAGGACGAGATGCAAAGGACTGTTTGCTTCTCATGACAATCATCGAACGGGTCAATGTTTGGAAGCGAGGTGTGTAAGCCCAACAGGTTGTTATAGATTGCACGACGTGCCTTGATTAAGGTGCAGAGGTAGACCGAAATGGAACTCCACTGCGAAACTACGTAAGGAAATGTCTGGACGAGCGGTTCCTGCTCATGTAACTCATCGGAGCCCGATGACTGGAAGCGAGGACTGAAAGCTGGAAACCTTACATGGAGTGAATAGGCGAGAAATTGCCATGTGTGCAGCGCCGCGAAGGTTCAGGTCAGTCCGCGAAGCCAAAACTCTTGGGCCACGCACCTGTCTGGGCCGCGGTTAAAGAAGGTTCCGAGGAGGCGGGGAAGGGCGGGCCTTTGAAGTGCCCACCCTCAAATCTCGTCGAGCTTCAGACGCTGCCTGGTAAGTTGTTGGAAACCCAATTTCTAATGAGAAGCTGCCAGTACCACTGAAAGAGTTGAGATCCCTCGCTCGGAGCAGTCACAAGATTGAGCTTCGTTCGAGGCGTTTCTTGCTACTGCCCAGTCTAAGCTTCAGGTGTGTTACCTTAAGAAACGCCGTCTGCAATCAAACCATTACAACTTTTGTATTTTAGAGTTACTTGACGTAGTATTTCTTGCAGTTATCCGGCATGAAAAGCCGGTCGTAATTAGCCGTGCTGGTAACGGAACAGATGAAGAAGCCCCTGCCAAGGTTCGCAGCACGAGCATGGAGAAGGCTTCCGTGCAACCAGCGCAGCGACCAGCAGATCGGCCACTGATCGTCCCGAGCTTCAAGAAGCGAAGCGGAACTTTTTTTGTGCCACAAGGTGCGTATAAGCCCTACCTCCTTTTATCCGTTTAAATCACTTATTGGTGCAAGGTGTTTGTGGTAGTCACCAGGATGCAGCAAAGTCCCATGGAGACTTGTTTAGATCACATCATCCATTTCCGCTGGATAAAGCTTGCTGAATCCAAACATACCGAATTCTGCACGTGGAAACGTCGTCGACGAGACTCCCGTGCTTTGATCTTTGAATGGAGACAAGGCTTCAAGCGACTTTCATGACTACAAACGCTTGCTTTTCACCACTTCCTTTTGAGACCCCCTCCAACCAATGCATTCCAGTAGGCCAACGAACTACCGACTTACCTCGCACCGCCGCCGCACCTGCGCCCCCTCCCATCCGAGTCAGCAAGCCGTCCGGAAACGCAGTTCAGAACGGCGGCAAGCTCATGGCTCCTTCTTTTGGGAGCCGACCGAAGGGCCCCGGCGGAGCCAAAGCTCCCGACACGAAGGCCTCCGGTACCAAGGTACCTAAGGCAAAGACCGCGGCTCCAAAAAGCGTGGGCTCCAAGGGCCCGTCAGGGAACGAAGACCTGCAGAACAAGGTGAAATGGAATTCTTCAGCTTGTCTTTGCTGAGGTCGCTGCCTATCTAGCTTGACATCTCTAATTTGGTTCGTTTGCGATATGTTGGTACAAGATTGTGAACATAGTAGCAGACTATGTGCGACTCCCTCTGTTGGCTTCTGTCATCTCGTGATCGACAGTGATTTGATTGACGTAGGGCTCCACTGACGTCACGACCAAGCGAAAGAAAGCCGAGGCCGGGGACGAAGGGAGCGGGAAGAAGAAGCAAAAGACGGTAAGCATATCTGGCGAGAAGCAGGTATGTCCCCAATTCTGGCTCGAAGTAGAGGAAGCATGAACCGTCGCCTGCACCAAGAGGGCTTTGGCCGCAACAACAACAGGAATGTAACAGCAAACATCTTTCAGAAATATGGAACAAATGGTGCACTTCATGCTGATCCAGGGCAGTGAAAAGAAGTCAGCGCAAGATTCCATTTTGTTTGTTATCAACTTCTTGCACGCAAATGGATCAAGGTCAGGACACGCATACACTATAGCGGCTGACATACTGACTGCGATGAAGTAGCTCATGCATAACGGGAGAGGTAAGCGGCTACGAACCGCTCTTTTTTGCTGTCTTATCTGACGGTCTGCTTCCTTCTTCTCGACGCCAGTCTGATGGTAAAGCGCACGAAGGCGCCGCTGAGAAGGCCCCCCGGAAGAGGACAACTGCCGCGGATCTAGATGTCAACGAAGTCGACGCTCTGGTAAGATGCCGCCGTCTTGATTCCTCTTCAAGATAGTACCGGTGCGCCTAACCGCCAGGAGATCCTTCGAAGCCGTGTCCTTACTTATCACAAATCCTCGTAGGAAACTGAGTGACAGACACGCGCTGTATTGCTGACTTACAGGTACGCGCGAAGTATGCGGATCAGAAGCTCAAGGATCTCAGCGTACCTCAAATGAAGAACTTCCTGAGCCAGCACAAGCAGAGAGTTGGGGGCAAGAAAGAAGAGCTGGTCGAAAGGATCACAGGCTTTTTGCAAGGATAGAGAAGCGCGGAGTCCGGCCTAGGCTCGGCCTCGCATGATAGCGCTTGCCTAACATAAATGTCAAATTCTGCTAGTGAGGGTCCTCAGCTTCAATTGGACAGGCTAAGAACTTCCCTGTAACTTGTAGGCCGACATGGAGATCCGTCTAGGAGGCTGCGGTTTCTCTGTGAGAGACGGCCGGCAGAACCGTGCAGCTGAAAGAAGGGCAACTCAGAATGTGCAATCGAACGGATGCTTTGTAAGCAGGTTGTAAGCAATCTCGACTGCCAGCATCTCAAACACCAGGAAGCAATCACCAGCCCATCTCTCTTGCGCGGACATGTAATTGGAAGCGACGAGGCAAATCTGGATAAGGAGTAAGTTGACTTGACATGTGCATCCGTGTCAAGCTAGTGTGCCAGTGTGCGAGGGTTTGCGCTACAGCCAGCATGCGACAGATTGACACGAGCGCGGGGCTGCCAGGTATATATGCGCGCAACTAATAATAGTATAGGTATATCTGATACAATCAATCGCGCCAAGGCCAAGAAAACAGCTCCAATTGCAAACTCATATAATTATGCTAGTGACACTGGCAGATTACATATTTTTGATCAGGCCTTGCATTTGCATGAGAATTCAATTAGCTTGATTTGATGCACACAAACGCTTAAAGATGTTTGGTACAGAGCTCAGTACTACAATTTGAAGTGGATGCACGGTTTGGCTGTAGCTCCATCGCACGACCGCGGCGGACGTCATGCATGAGTTCCGCTAATTGCTCATAGGCTTTGCACGATACCGTAGATGATTGGGGTGAACTCGTTCGCAACGTACACACTTGCAGTGTCCAAATTACGATACACATCCAACGCAATGATGGATCACCATAGACAATAAGAATAGGCTATTAATAGTAAGGCTCCCTGAAAGCTACAATCATGAAGTTGGACCTGTAATCTGTACAATGTTGAAAGCTCCATCCCTCCACTTCTCTAGCAGGTGCTTTATACAGCGTCAAGTATACGATCGTCCAGCAGTACCTTCCAGAGGTAATCACTGCTGCCCGCTCGGTTTGCAGGAAGAGTCATACGCAGCCTTTTCGGTATCAGGTAAGGACCCACAGATCCGTCTGATCACTCCAACCTTGCAATGACCCCGTCAACGAACTCTTGCGTTGTTGAGCTTCCGCCCAAGTCCTTCGTCAGAATCTTCTCTTCCTGAAGAACCCCAAAGACCGCCTGTTCCAAGTTATCGGCAAAGGAAGGGAATTGCAAATGGCGAAGCATCATGGCCGAAGAGAGCAGGAGCGCAACGGGGTTGGCACTCTTCTGGGCCAGGATCTTCTCGTTGCCGACGTTTCCAGCTGACGCGCCTTGCTCGAAGATGGCGTAGTCCCTGCCCACATTTCCTGCAGAAACCGGTGCATCCTTTGTAACTCATCCCATGTTTGTGTTTCTGATGCAAAAGACACACAGATTGGAACGCCCTTCAACTTTTTGGTAGACAATTACTCTCTGTCCAGGAAAAGCCTGCTTTCCCTGTGTTGAGAGCACGCTTTTAGAGCAGAAAACAGCAACTCAATTATGGCACTGCTAATTCGTAATCTCCAACTGACAGTTGAACTGGCGCCCTGCAACATCATATCAATTGACAATCTCGCAGGAATTTCATACCTCCTGGCATCACCCCTGTGCCGCCTGCGATACCAGCCGCCGTGTTTGCGACCAGGGTCCCGTATAGATTGGGCGTGACCTGCATTCAGGAAGTTTCCTGAGCTGACATAAGCACAAGATGATGGCGGCAGATGGAGGTAAATCCTAACTGAACTCTATGGCCCCCTTCTTGCTATCCTGAGATCCTGTTATGACCGGGACTCTGTAAGCTCCACCTATTGTATACCAAGGATTGCCCGGGTTTGCATTTGTTGGGAGAAGATGGCAGATAGCCGAAACAAAGCTGTGCTTCAGATAAAAACATCCTCAGTTTGCGCGCAGGATACTGACGTGCATGTCAGGAAACTAGAAATGCCAGCAAGAGCAATAAGAGGCGGTATAAAAAAGCGCTTTGCTAATCCTGATAAGCAGTCAAAGTCGGAATGGCCCAACTCACCATGACGTCAAACTGCTCCGGCCTGCTGACCAGCTGCATGCAGCAGTTGTCCACAATGATCTCATTGTACTTGATACCTGCATTCTCAATACCAAGCACGTAAATCCGCAGAAGCATGTTCTCTGATTGACAATTGCCGGAAGCAGGTTGTACCAGAATTCCATGGCCAGTATCTTGGTGAGAACTTAATTTATGGAATTGCAAATCAGTTTGCGAGCGGCAAAGAGAGGCTTGAGAGGGGCAACATATGGAAAAGCGGATTGCTCCTGCTTGCGCACGAGAAGTCCGGCCACAAACTTTTGATGTGAGTGTTCTGCAAAAGGTCTAAATTTTTGGGTTATAAGGTCCTTGGAGGGGATATTTAAAAAGGCTGTGAAGGGAAATGAAGCAGGAAGTTGCTGCACTTTTCTCCAACTTGAGCTGCTACAAGCCCTTACCCGGGTACTGCTTAGCGACCGCTCGGCAGGAGTCGAGAAATAGGCCATCAGCGAGCTTCATGATGTTGGCCTTGTGGACTGCTGTCACAGTTTTCCGATTGTTGAGGAAGGCATACTCGAAAGCATACTCAGCGATGCGCGTGGAGTTGACCTTCGTGATAACCTTGCGGAAGAGAGGCAAAGCGAAGGCCACAGCAGGCGCGTCAGCATGCTTCTTCACTTGAAAGAACTGCGGCACTTGCCTTCACTAGGCAATGTCAGGAGAACCAGACTGTACGATACTCAAAATGGACAGTTTCGGGCAAATTTTACAAAACCAACCCACTTGGCCTCGCAGAGACTCTGCAGTCCACAGCGCTCTGTTACAGCTCAGCTTAACAACGCCTGCCCCGTTGGGCTGCAACCGCAGTCAAGAGACAGAAAATGATTCCGCATTGATCTGCTGCTACAATGCTGTATAGGACGGCACAATTGCTGATCCCGCAATCAACATCTGCATGGAGCTAATGAATTTAAGAGACTGCTTGAGCTGCCCCTAGCCCCACAAATCAACGAAAGGAAAATTGAGATCCCCTACTTCTGTTACCAGCCCCAAATGAAGCAGGTTTATCCTGTCATCCATCACAGCAACCAACCATGGACTTGTCTTTTGATTCACGGTCAGGAACTTCCATTTCACAAATCAGATCATAGCTCAGCTTGCCGAAGCAGAAGACCGTACCAATGGCTTACCCAACTGCATTGAGCTAACAAGCTGCCAATTTGGACTTGTCCGCTGCAAAGCATGGAAAATCCATGGATAGATCTATCCATTAATTGCTCACCTTCAAACTTTCAACAACACCTGGGATCACTTCATGCTCCAACCCGCTGTACTCCCCCTCTGTGTTTTCCCGAATGATGGCAATATTTACGTTGTCGTGGCGAGTGTGGATCCCCGGAATGTTGAAGCAATTCACAAGATTCGCATAGAGGTCTAGCTCCTTTCGCAGCTGCACATTGAGCGAGCTGGTACCTCCCCCCGTTGACGTCTTCAGTCCTCCCTTCAGAGCAACCTTGTTCTTCTTGATCGAATCAAGGACCTCCTTCGGAAGCGTTTTCATAGATCCAGAGGCCTCGACCCTCTCGAATTCCACAGGCGCGTGCATTGCATCAAAGACCTGCTCAACGGCCCCAGTCACAAGGGGCCCCACTCCATCTCCGGGGATGAGAGTCACAGTTTTGGTTGCCCCTTCCCCAGGTCTTGGCATGTACGTCACACTCCTGCTCTGCGAATGCTCGAATGCATTGAGAACCTGCCGCCCGACCTTGGAGGTCAGCCTCAGCAGTGACATTGTTCCGGATCGCAGGGGCAGCTCGATCAGTGCGCGCACGTTAGATTCTGAAAGGATCTTCAGCGACCCTGCCCCAAGCTTTCGTTTCGGGATTGCAATTGAAAGCACTTGGACACCTGATCAGATTAGCGGCGATCAACGCTCCAGCCTCCCTGCATTTGCCCGCAATTTGAAGCGCTGCAGACGGGCTTCTTCCTCTTATGTCTCGCCTGCTTCCAAATCATTAGGCTCAGAATCCGGAAGGTGGATCCTGGAACTCCAGCCGTCCGATGAAATCCGAACGGCACGCATCTTGTTTCGGGTCGTCCAGCAGTTTGAGCGCCAAGGAGTGTGCTGCCAATCTGCTAATGTTAGAACTAAGAATTGTAACCCAGATGGACTAGCCTGTCACAGGCTGGACTTGTACCTTGGATCCCGTCAAACACGTTTGGGTTAATTCAACAGCCATCAATCATTTGGGTTTAGCAAAATACACCGCTCCAAACGGGAGCAAGCCAACTCAAGAGCCTGCTTCATCTCCAGGCTTCTTCGTCCCAGTTCTGGAGTTCTGCTCCATTGGCATGAGGCCTGAGCCCAAATTGTCCTTGCTTCAAGTTCAAGCAAGGATGCCCCTGCACCACCAACAGTACTAGGACTTAGGCGGATGCATTTCACGCCCTCAACTGATTCAAAGCCTCTCCCATTCTCCTCCCAAGGCACGCACAGGCTCAATAATGTGGTCCCTCAAAGTGGCCACCCAATCAAGCCCTTGGCAGGTCTCCCTTGCCAATAATGAAGGCCGTCAGGTGTGGGAGTACGACCCAGAGGGCGGCACGTCGGAGGACCGAAAGAAGGTGGACGATGCCCGGGAGCACTTTTGGGCCAATCGGTTTGCGAAGAAGCACAGCTCCGATGAGCTCATGCGGCAGCAGGTAGGGAAACTTGGTGGTGGTGGTTCCCCTGATGGTGCCAGGTGGCGGAGAAGGATTGCTTAGACTCTTGAGAGCAAACAACTCTGGTGCGCAGAACACTTCTGTTGGAGCCTTGAAGACGGTCAATTTGTTGGTGGCGCCAGATTTGGTCAAATATACTGCAGCGCGTTCCTCTTGGTGGCAACTTTGTTTGACACACTGGTCGTTGGGAGTTGTTGCGCACAGTCTTGCAGTCTGGGGGGCCTTTTTGCAGTTGCTGAAGATGAGGCTTATTGAACTAAGGAGCGGCGTCCCTTGCGGTTGGCACTAAGCCTCAGTCCATTACGGTGCCAATTGCAAGCCCGCACCTGTTGTTCCTACCTCATGAGCCTTGATAGAAGCGTTGATGCACTGACAAAGGGACCTAACCTTCTACTATTGAAGCTGTGTCCCTCATGAATCCCTTGTTTTGCAGCTTACACGGGAGCGCCCCAGTCCTCCTATGCCCCCCAAACCTTCCCTCCCCGCAGCAGGCGCCGCCCCCAAGGAGGCGGCCAAAGCAGCTCTCACAAGGGCCATCCGCTTCTATTCAACTCTGCAAACGCACGATGGTCACTTTGCTGGTGACTATGGTGGCCCCATGTTTTTGATGCCTGGGCTGGTGAGAATACACCCCTTTCAAGAGTGTAGACACACATGTCATTGCCAGCTGGCCTGATGAGAATACATCCTTTGAACAGTATAGACACATATGTCACTGCCAGAGCTGACGTGACAGAGGAAGGAAGTCAGCGGAAGTATGGGTGTTGAAGTAGTCCTTGTAAAAGAAGGCTTGATGACAACTTACATTCAGTATACTGAGGAGATTGTGGGCCAGGGTGTTCAAGGGGAAGAAAGGTAGATTGTCGCTGGTTTTAGTGGACCATTGAAAGCGATTTCTCTCCAAATGGCTCATAATCAAGGCACAGAAAGTCGACATGCCAGCACACAAATCTGCCTTTACTTTGCCCACAACGAACAGAAACTGGCACGTTCAATCGGAGGCCTTTTGCATGCAGTTGATTTCCTTGTATGTCAGCGGCACGTTGAACACGGTCCTCTCAGAGCACCACCGGCGCGAGATGCGGCACTACTTATATGCACATCAGGTAAGCGAATCGATCCCTTATTGCATCGATGTTGTGCATCGCTGGAAATGGCTGATGCATTCTCTTCGAAGTAGTAGACAAAAGGCTTCATTTATCTAACTTGTGTGGTTCTTTACAGAGGTTCAGGTTCTATGCAGCCAAGGTGGAGTTTTGCTCCCTCTTCCCTTGGAATAAGTGATTCCACAGTTGAAGGGAAGGGGGCTTTGGGGACCATTTCTGACAGACAAAGCTTCAAATAGGCGTTGCCTTTCTACTGTGAGTTCAGTCAGAGAAACCGGAGTTCAGAGCGAGCTTGAGGAGATTATTGTGTCAAGTCATGGGGCAGAGTCAACAACCTCATCGAGCTGAATTCAGGAAGAAGACCTGGACCATTGGCTTTCCAGGAAAACCGGCTAAAGGGGATTGGTATGGGAAGATCCAATCGCGGCCTCAAAAAAAGATTGTGTGACACATGTACCGCAGACAACGATTCCCTCACCTTTGTAGCTTCACCAGATATATGCACGTTTTACCTTGTCATCGACAAAATCCTTCTATGATCGTATTGCTTTTCTCTCAACCGTTCCAGAACCCTGATGGCGGCTGGGGCCTCCACATAGAGGGCCACAGCACGATGTTTGGGAGCGCTCTCTCATACGTCAGCCTGCGTATCCTGGGCGAGGGGCCGGACTCTACTTACAAAGACGCACCGGGGATGTCAAAAGGGCGGGAGTGGATCCTGGCGCATGGAAGCGCCACGCACATAACTTCCTGGGGCAAGTTCTGGCTGTCGGTGAGCTTTCTCTTCCGAGATGCCCGGAACGATCACCGGATGCTTTTTGAGGAAAAAGTAGGATATCTGGTCCGTTGACATACACACGTTCGAGCGTTGGAGTTTTGTTCCAATCCGTTTTGAACAAGGCGCTCCTAGAAGAAGAAATGAGTCGCTTGTTAAGTGCGAAACCAGGGGATACAACGAGGCCCAGAGGCAAATGGAAGGAACTCGAGCTGCTGCTTCCGATGCGTTTTAGGAGGACGTCCTCTTACTTCCTGGATAATCGTGAGGTCGGACTCTGATTCTTTGGTCCTGCTACGTCCGCTTACCATTTTACGTTCCGTTCGAAACTTCAGGCAAGCAAGCTAATTGGTTCTCTCAGATGCAGACGTCGAATGCTTTTGGCACAAAATTGGAACTCCTGTTCCAGTCGTTGACGATCCAACGGCTTTTCAACTCACCGTTGGACGTCTCTAACATTGCGGCCCTCATCGGCCCCGAGTCCTTTTTCAGTTCACCGTCATCCACATTCCCTGCTTGATTGTCCGAAGCGAAAGACGGATCGTCGATGCTTGGAGAGAGAGCGCCTGGTAACACGCTAGGTCAAGAATCAAAAGCCGTATCAGAGCCCCTCCCCTTCTTTCGTCCACTTGTCCTTGTTATGCTGCAGATTTTCCTGACGGGTACATTCCGATCGCAGGTTTTGGGTTGTTTTAGCTGGGACGGAAACAACCCGCTCCCTCCCGAGATTTGGCTGCTGCCTTACGTCCTTCCGATCCACCCAGGTGAGGAGCGAAGCAGTTTCTCAGGCTGTTCCTCGCTAAGCTTCCACAGTCGGTTTAAAGGGAGAGAGCCGGGTCTTGAAGATTCGCTTCGAATCGATAGATCGGGCGTTCAATTCTCAGTTTAGTTTTGGACGGAGTTTGAGGCAAGGGTTCCATGTACTCGGCCTCTAGTTCTGTAGATAGGGGACTTGGTACGAGCGTCATACGTTTCACAGGTTCGAGTGCCGACTCGTATCACTACTTTTCTGATCTAGATGCATATGTGAGCAAGTTCAGGACTGCTTGATTATCTGCGAGACACAATCTGATCCAGAAAACCGTCGACCACTTGCTGTAGAAAGCAACTTTGAAATTCCGCCCTGAGGGGTATCAGACCGGAACACTTTGTGTTCGCTCGATTCCCGTTCCCAGTGGTCTCTTGGAACTGTTTTGAACAAATGGTCCTTAATCTCGTAGTGGCACGTCTCTTTGAGATCGCTCTGAAGCTAAAAAACACCTCGCTCTCGTTTTCGCAGGTCGCTTTTGGTGCCACTGCCGGCAGGTGTACCTCCCCATGTGCTACGTGTACGGGAAGCGCTTCGTCGGAAAAGAAACCAGTCTAGTTCTCGCCCTGCGGGAGGAGCTGTTCAGCATACCGTACAGCCAGGTCGACTGGAACCGCGCGCGCAACCAGTGCGCAAAAGAAGACCTGTACTATCCGCACCCTCTACTGCAGGTGCGTGCAAAACCATCCGGGAAGTTGTTAATTGTCTCTTTTCTCAGGGGTTGTCCTTATCGAGACTGCTAGTAACTGGCAAAGAAGGTCAACTGTTCAAACGGTTCTCAAGTCCTCACCTGGAAAATGTCCAACCCTAACAAAGAGTAGCTGCCGCGAAAGCGGTCTGCCCTACGGCGTGTCTGCGGAACATTGGTACCGTTGTCTGACATCTGATTGTTCACTTCCGGGGTACCAGATAAGGGGCTGTGGTAACTGCCGGGAAATCCACATGAAGCACCAGAGCAAGATAACCCTTTTCAAGCTATCTTCACAATCGGTCCAAAACCTTTCCAAAAACGTCTTCAAGATATGTTTAGAGTCTCGTGTCTTCGATGGCAGGACGTGTTGTGGGCGACTCTTCACAAGGGGGTGGAGCCGCTGCTGAACCACACCCCCCTCCACGCGCTGCGCGAGAAGGCGTGCGCGGAGGTCATGAAGCACGTGCACTACGAGGACGAGAACACGCGCTACATCGACATCGGGCCCGTCAACAAGGTGCCGCAATCCTAAACCCCCTTTCTCTTGGTCCATTATTGAAGCTGGAATGCCTCACCCTTTTGGGCAATATTGACACGTGGCCGTCAACAAGAACAGCGTCTTGATGCTTTCTTGGGAATCTCCTTTGACTTGGTCCACCAAAGCAGTTGGAGTGGCCATCTTTCTGGGCAAAGTAATTGTTCTTTTTTTTCTCTTCAAAACGGGCTTAGTCTGGTCGCGGCTTGGGGAACGCAGGGCCGCTGGCAAGGCATTCACGAGGACCATGTCCGCCGATGCGTTCCTTAGAGGTCGAACGCATCTGTTTCTCCCCATTGCTTTGCTGCAGTTTGGGGGGAGCACAAGCCCCTGGGGAAAAAAAATCCAAGGATCATACCGATCCAGTGTATGTGTTCCGGATTTCTTACAACCTGCGTCTCCCTTCGTCTCGCTAGGAAGTAAGACATGATAAGCAGGACTGACAGAGCAGAAGGACGAGGGTATTGTTCCGTTCCCTCCGCACAGGCGCCCGTCATCAGTCCGTCCACTTTCCGTTTACCGTTTCGTTCAGCTTTCAGGGGTCAGAGACGTCAAACTCCAGCCCCCGCTTTGCGCTTGAAAGTCTCAAAACGTTGCCTTGCACTGGTCTATCGCAAGCGCTTTCTCATAACCTTGACTCTAACCTCAGCCCGGACTCTCACCCGGACCTTCACCTTGACCTTTACCTTGATTTCACCCTTAGACTTGACCTTTAGCTCGACTTGGCCCGCTGCAGGCGCTCAACTTGCTGTGCTGCTTCGTGGAGGACCCGTCCTTCACCTTTACCTTGAACACCTTTACCTTGAAATAAACCTTGACCTTGACCTTGACCTTGATTTCGTCTACCTCAGGCGTTGAACTTGCTGTGCTGCTTCGTGGAGGACCCGTCCTCCGAGGCGCTCAAGAAGCACCTGGCGCGCGTGCCCGACTACCTCTGGCTCGCAGAAGACGGCATGAAAATGCAGGTGCGTGGGCGCCCGTCCGATCGTTGGTCCTGTTTGTGATTGATCTCAGGAAAGATCAGGAGCTAAGTTGATAACAAGGGAAGGGCACAAGGACGGGTAGGATCTACGACAGGTAGAGGTGCGGAGCAGGCAAGTATCCGGGTCAGGGGTTTTCATGTGCACCGGAGCTTTCTTTACTATCTTGGCTTGCCATCGTCTTTCTTTCTGCATCAGGAACATGGTGAATTTTGGTCGTCCTTTTCTTGCTTCAACTCACCTGCTTCCATCCGTCGGCTCAGAACGAGGGTTGCGTTTGGAGGTTCCTGCTTCGCATCTGCTAGCCGTGCCTTGTTCAACGCCTTTGTCTTGTTTTTTTATGCTTCCACGTTCGGCTATCCATTCTTAGGCAGCCTTTTCTCTAATTATGCCTATCTTCCGCAAGTACGACCGGCAATAGTCACAATTGGAGTAGCATTTATGCAGCTTGCTGGTTGCGCAGGATACATATTTGAGTTATTAACCTGCATTTTGAAGTAATAGGCTGTAACGATTCTGATACGCTATGCTTGTTCTCCAGGGTTATAACGGCAGCCAGCTTTGGGACACAGCATTTGCGGTCCAGGCCCTGGCTGCCACCGAGATGCTCGAGGAGACGGCGCCGATCCTAAAGCGGGCCAATCATTACGTGGACAAAAGTCAGGTGAGAGCATACGAGATGGCGGTACCAGGCATAATCGCTGGTCATGATTGCGGCAAGACAAAAACGATGATCACTCGACCTTGATGCTACTCGGGTCAGGTTTGGACTTGATTGCTGTGAGAGCAGATCCCGTCGACACATTCTCTCATGTCGGTGTCTTCATAAAGTCTGCTTGGCTTTAAGGTGACCCAGTTATCCATTTCAAGAGCAGTCTCGAAAGCAGACGCTTTGTTGGAAGGTGGTCGTGAAGGACCTCATCCTGGCACCTCGGCCCGGAAGCATTTCAGAACGCAAGCGCTGACTCGCGAGCCTTCGTGAGCGGGTTGTGGTCTTACCCTGAGCGCTGTTCCCAACTTTGTGCCGGTTTGCTTCAAACCCTGCCAGGTTAGGGAGAATCCAAACGGCGATCACGGGTCCATGTACCGGCACATCTCCAACGGCGCCTGGCCGTTTTCCACGCGGGACCACGGCTGGCCGATCGCCGACTGCGCCAGCGAGGGGCTGAAGGTGAGGAAACCTTTTGGGGTGGCGTTGAGAAAGGGTTACGTCAATTGGATCCAATAAACGTCGAGTTTGGGCTATCTTGATCGACTTTACGAGGAGATGGGGCTAGGTTTGTCGATTTTACGTGGAGATGGGGCTACGCTGATCGATCTTACGTTGAGGAAGGGCTACGGTGATTGCTTTCACATGAGATGGGGCTACGTTTGGGCTAGGTCTCTGCCCCGGGGCGGGTGGGGTTGGCTTGGGAGTCGAGGGTTCGGTTTGCGGAGCATGTTAACTCTGGGTTTGGGATTTTGTCTTCTGCGGGCCCGGGGTACTAATGCAGCTCAGGGTAGTCCCAACTCAAGCGGAAACGAGACTCATAAGGTAAGGCCGTGTGGGGAACTGAGCGGTTCTGCAGATTGCAAATATTTTGTCCATGGGTGAGTGGTCTCCATCCGCTCTTGCCTCCCGCATACTTCTCCATTTGCGTGCATTTGTTGCTTAGTCTTTCTTTCCGGTTAAAGCCTGGATTCTGCCCGGTTCACCGGAAATTTCGGGCTTTTTGATCTGACTGTGGCCGGGTATTCCCAGAGCACCAAAGATTGGGCAAGCAAATGTACTTCGCAAGCGTGAATGGAGGCTTGCAAACAATGGGAAAGTTGCGTGGATTAAGCACCACGCTCACGCTGGCGTGATTTTGTCCTTAATACCCGACCCCTTCTCGGGGGCCCTAATGGCAGGGACAACATGTTGCTTTTGTCTGGGTTGTTCGATACCTTCCAACAAGGCGGGAAGTCCAGTGTACCGTTGAAACCCGTGAAGCTCGCGCCTGACGCAGTTGCAGATTGGTGCCGCAACACGTTGACCCTGCATCTAAGAGCCCGAATTTGGCGGTCGACGCAAACCTCACATGCTTTACACTGGTCCACGTGCAGGCTTCCCTGGCGATTGCTGCGCTGCCGCCGCACCTAGTTGGCCCCCCCCTTGCGGACCAGCGGCTGTTTGACTGCGTCAACTGTATCCTGTCCTTCCAAAATGCGGACGGCGGCTTTGCCACGTACGAACTGACGCGGTCGTACGCGTGGCTTGAAGTGAGTGCTCTTGCGCTTTCCTTGAGATTATTGCTTCTCTCCTGGAAGAACGGGAAAATAGTAAATAGGCAGTTGGATTCGGCTGCCCCAGTCAGAATGGTGGCAACGCTAGGCTGCTTCTCTCGTAGAGAGTAAGCAGGACTTACGAAGAGATTCAATCTCCTATTTGTTGTAAGTAATGGTCTTTCAGCCCCAGTGCGTCGAATCTCTCGGATCTGCAGCTGTTTGTCAACTTGCAAATTGAAGGCGTTTTCGACGGTGCTATCGACATTGTGCGGCAAGCGCAAAGACTAGATCGGCGCTCGAAAGATGTATGAGGATAAGATCTTATTCCGCATTGAATTGAGTAGACAGGACATAGCATTGTTTAGTAGACTTTCATGAGCTCATAGGGGTGTAGCTTGCCAGATTCTGAGGCAGACGTCAAGAAAATACGACTGTAAAAGCACTGACGTCAGCATCTGCTTTGCGTCCAGTACATCAACCCCGCGGAGACGTTCGGTGACATCATGATCGACTACACGTACGTCGAGTGCACGTCGGCGTGCGTGACCGCGATGGCCGCGTTCCAGAAACGGCTCCCCGACCATCGGGCGGCGGAGGTCGCTGCCGCGATCGCGCGAGCCGCCAAGTTTATGGAGGACAAGCAGCTAGAAGATGGCTCCTGGTGAGTTCTGCTGCAAGCGAGGCTGTAAGACTGGTGCGCGTCAATTTGAATTGTTAGTATCTCAAGTTGACAAATCCAAATTCCAGCATTGGGCCGAGTAAATTCGGTTTTTGTCTGCACGAGCGCGTCCCTTCTCGACGTCGCCTTTCAAAGAATCAACCGTCCTTTGAGAGATCGACGAAACTGGAGATTGGAACTTCGGAGTGCCAGGCGCTTGAAAACCGGGCATGTTCTTTCTGACTTTACGCGTTGCTGAGTGGCCACTGCTCAACAGATCTCAGCGACGAGGAGCGGTGCGAATCGTAAGATAGAGGGAGTGCTCTCGATGCCGCCCGTGGTTCGCTGCTCTCAAAACCCAACCTTTTTAACGGCCACAGCCCTAAATTTTGAGTCCCATACAGCCCTCTCAGAGTTTCTGACGATCACGTGGTGCTGCGAACTGAAGACTGTCCTCTGCGCCGTTTAATGCTTCGAAGTTCGGAGCTGAGAAGGAAGATCATGTCGTGCTCCGGGCAAATTTTGTCGCCTAAAAAAGCCTTGTAAATGGCAGTTCTCGAACATGACCTCCATGTTGTTTGGCACCGACCATTAGTCCAAAGTAGGTATCGATTTGAGCGGGCCTTTGCACAAGAAGAAGTCACCAGTGTTAGGAAAATGACGGCCCGGAGTCCTCAGGTCTAACCCAGATGAAACCCCATTGTAACCTGACCCATGTCTCCCACGTTTCAGGTACGGCAGCTGGGCCGTGTGCTACACATACGCCACGTGGTTTGGCGTCAGCGGGCTACTCGCCGCAGGGCGGCGGTACGAAAGCTGCCCCGCCATTCGGAAAGCGTGCGCGTTTTTGCTCTCCAAGGAACTCCTCGGGGGGGGCTGGAGCGAAAGCTACCTCTCGTGCCAGGTAAGCCCCCTGGAAGGATCAAACTGGGGCCCTCATGGGGTTCGGACTACCGCGCCTCAAACGGAAGCCCGATATCGACACAAAGCTGGACAGGGTGTTGGAGCGATCATACGAGTCAGAATCAGGGGCGTGAGCGCCGACTGCTGGATGTGCTGACGAGTCGAGGCGAACGTTGTCCTCACGGAGACTGCTTGCTTCGCAAGCCATTGTAGGAGAAGGGCCCTAGAAGCGGCCTTTCATTCTTGATTAGAATGAACTCGGCCTCACTCCAAAGGCACTGTGCTTTGTGCATTCTGCCAACGACGAAAAGCGCATTGCAATTTTCGCGATACAATCTCCAAGCTGTGGAATCCAATGCAAATCCTACTTGAAACGAGGGTAACAGCTTCGATCCAAGGTGCGCCTGCTTAGAAGCAGGGATGAACAGGCCCGCTATCAATAACCGCCAGATGGTCTCCGTTGTCTGTCCTTTCTAATACCCCCAATCGCCAAATGGATCCAGCCCATCTTCACACCTCGGGGCCCGACGCTCAGAGCCGATTCACACCGTCCACCTCTCCTATGCAGGACAAAATATATACCACGCTGCCAGGCAACCGCGTGCACGCCGTGATGACGTCATGGGCGCTGATCGCGCTGATCGAGGCCGGCCAGCACACGCGGGACGCGGCGCCCCTGCACCGGGGGGCCGCGCAGCTGATCAAGCTGCAGGAGGAGAACGGGGACTTCCCGCAGCAGGTAGGAATAGTTCGGTGGGAATAAGCTCGGTGGGAACAGACCCGGTGGGAAGAAGCCCGGTCGGGGATAAGCCCGGTGGGAATAAGCTCGGTGGGAATAAGCTCCCAGAGCTCTTGTCTGGTTTCTGACGCAGAGACGAGAGCCTGTCTATTCGCTCTTGGTGTCACGACGGAAGTAAAGTCCTTGGGGTGATGCTTGTCGTGTCGAAGGTGCGTCGAAGCTTGTGCTAGACGCATCCGAGCGGCGGCTGTGACGTGGAACGAGTTTGACTTTGAAAAGAACCGGCCCACGTCATCTGGAGCGTGTGCCCATTATACTGTATCTATGTCGAGCTTGGCCGCACTTTGTAGCACTGCCACATATGCAAATACGCCTTGTCTCATTGACTGTCAGGAAAAATCGCTTTGTTGCGTTGAAGTTTTGAACCTCCCTACGTCCGAAAATGGAATATTGGCGCCATCTTTCTCTTGCAGGAGATCAGCGGGGTGTTCAACAAGAATTGCATGATCTCCTACTCGGCCTACCGAAACATCTTCCCCATCTGGGCGCTGGGACTGTACCAGAAAGTGTGTGGGGGCAGTTGAGGATTAAGCACCACAATCTTGCGATTCTGTGTTGCTCACAATCAAACTCTTGAAGTTGCACAGCTGCCATGTCACACGCGACGCAGCTGCTCGACTTTGTCGTTCTGTGTACGGGGTCGGACCTGATCCGAAAGATGATGAAACGTGTTGCCAACCAATGAATGAGTTTGAAGAGCACCGAGCTAATGACAAGCTCTGTGCTTTTTCTGAAAAGCCCGTGATCGTCATTATGCAAGAAAATGATATGCTGTGCACAAGTCCAGAATGATTGGCGCCGACAGGATTGAGACTCGTGCCAAGGCCGGCGCGGGGCAAGACGGCATGGTCAAATGTGGAAGTGGCAGCATCGATATATAGGGGCAAGTGAGCGCGGACTTAGCTAGAGGCCCGAGTGCATCATCGCACTGATTCTGACACTGCAGCTTGGGGAATGTTTGTTGGATAACTCGGTTTGGTCGAGGCGCCAACCTTTACAGCGGAATTTGAACACATAATCGCTACCGTCTGTATAACTCATCTGACAAGCTCGGATCGAGGCGATACACTCTTGGGATCTTGGGTTCTGTCTTGTCTAGACCGGTGAAAGCATAGTATTGACGGTTGCATTTGGATGTGCTTGCGGATCTGGGGCGCTTCGAAATTTCGCGAAGATCGTTCAAATTTTCCGGCGGCTATAGGTGTTCCACATATTGAGGTAAATCACAACCCATCCTTTCCTGTGCGTATACATGGTCGTGGTAGCGGTTGCATCATTTCATTTGTGAATCTTGACGTAGCATGGCCGCCCAGCGTCTGAGGATTTCCAACTCGACCTCTTATATATGTCGCTCGGGGTTGATCCGATTCGAGTTAGCTTAGTATTGGAGCCGCTATAGTTCGTGACGGTTTACATAGCGTTCTAGAAGTAGCTTGCGACCATGCCCCTAACTCAGCCCGGTTGCTTGATGGAGAAGTGGTCGGGGACTTTGGATAAGATTCGTTCGCAGGATAAGGTTCGGCGGCAGTGTTAGGGGCAGCTGAGCTCCAAACACAAGGACCGGGAAATCAAATTGCTTCCGACCACTATGTCCGACCGTCACTTCATATAGCTGTGACACTCAGAGTGTACCCTCGGTGAATGTTCCACCGTGCGAGTCGCGACCGGCCGAGTAGAGTCACTGGCAACAATTTGTAATCGGCGCGGCCTCTACGAGTTTTCGCGCGGCGGTCTATAGCTACCGCCCAACGTCAAATTAGTTGTACACTGACCGTAGAGGCTGGACTCCGTAACCGTACGGTACCTCTGCGCAATCTGACAGGTTTGGACCGCGTGGTATATTGGCTTGCCTCTTCCTCTTAGGAAGAGGGGAACCATAGGGATCGATCATTTGGGCACTGTACGACGCCGCGGCGCGGGTCC